CATAGGTTCCACATCCCTGATCTTAGATATACAGCTACAAACAAGCAAACAAACAAACAAACAAACAAACAAACAAACAAACGTGTTTGAACTGTATGTTGGGCAAAATATTCCTGTACTGGAGATAGCTGGACTAGAGGACCCTCATGGTCCCTTCCAACTCTACAATTCTGTGAGTTTATATGTGCCAAGCAGCCCTGGCTCTCACCTGATACAACACATGGGTCAATTGCGCCACAATGTTCAGAGTTTTCCATGGCCCCACTTGAGACTCTCATGGGGAGGGAGAGGCAAGGAAGGTTTGAGGTTGGGGGTGCAGAACAAGAAGCCATGGAGCAGAGAGTGCCTTCAGAAAGGATGTTTGTGCGTGTATTTATTTTTTTTCCTTCTAAAGGAGAGGGGTGCTATCAGGATTTATTATTGAACCAGAATTTTCCAGGAAATCACTTTCTCTTGCTGGAGTCAACCATATTATTATTGGTTAAAAGGGAGGCACTGTAATGAAACATCCCAGTGGAGGAGTCAGTGGCCGAGTCCCAGGCAAAGCAGGCTATGTCACTAAATGAAAGTGGATGCCATAGTTTTTTCTGCCATGTTATGCTTTGAGATGACAGTAGGTTGGCACGTTTTCTGGGACAACTATAATGTTCTCCTGCAAATAATTGATCACATTTCCAGGCTTCCCATTGGCATCTGGTCATTGTGAGAACAGGATGGTGGAGCAGAGGGACCTTTTGGTCTGACCCCATAGGGCTCTTTTTATTATCTTAACTGTGAGGACTGCTGCGGTGGACTGGCTAAGAGCTATGAGCCAGGAAGTCTCTGGTTCAGATTTGGCCTTTGCCATGAACCTGATGGGTAGCTTTAGCAGGATGATCCATCTCATGCTTGGCTTCCCCATTTCTGTTTTGAGGACAGCAGTACTGAGATATAACATATGTGAGTTACTGGAAACACCATAAATTTGTTAGCATGTTTAAAGCACATAGCTTATGCCAAAGAATCCTGCAAACTGCAGTTGGCCCTTCACAGACCTACAGTTCCAAGCACCCTTAACAAACTATAGTTCCCAGGTTTCTTTGGAGGGAGACTGTGTGTGTTAAATGTGTTTCAAATATGTGGTGTGGGTGAGTCCGTCTTTCGAGAACACCGTCACGCTCTTCCTGTACGCTTTATTAGAACTATGATCTTGTCACTGCTTGTTCGGTTTCACTAGAGTACTGTCTTATTGTTAGAACCATTCCTTTAAATACTTTTCGCACACAAAATAGTTATAGGAGAGGTATGAGACACCTGGGACCCTCCAGGTGTTTTTGGACCTCAGCCTCCATTATCCCCGACTATTGGGTATGCAGATGGGACTCTTGGGAGTTTGAGTCCAAAATTTGGAGGGCATTGTTGTTCCCAGCGACAATGCTTCCTACAGCTGAGATTGGAGGAGGGATCTTAACGCCTGGTCTTCACCTGAGACCTTGAAGAATCATTTACAGCAGGCGACCTTGGAGAGATAAGTACAGTGGTCCCTCAGGTTAAGTACTTAATTCATTCCGGAGGTCCGTTCTTAACCTGAAACTGTTCTTAACCTGAAGCACCACTTTAGCTAATGGGGCCTCCCGCTGCCGCTGTGCCACCAGAGAACAATTTCTGTTCTCATCCTGAAGCAAAGTTCTTAACCTGAAGCACTATTTCTGGGTTAGCGGAGTCTGTAACCTGAAGCATATGTAACCCGAGGTACCACTGTAGTCTGCAAATAAGGCAGCTTTCTTTCTGTGTTTCATGGGGGGGGCATTCTTACACCCTTTAACAGTCTTACACCCTTTAAGAATCCTGGGGACTCTAGCTCTGTGTGGTGTTTCCTAACAACTCTCAGCAGCCTTAACAAACTACACTTCCCAAGGTTCTTTGGGGGGGCATGATAGTTAAAAGTGTCATAAGAGTACTTAAATGTATGGGGTTGATGTGACCTGAGACTGCTCAACCTTTTTCCCGTTCTCTCTGCTTCTTTAAGGCCTCATATTCATGTTTGCTCAGAAGTGCATTCCCACTTCATTCAGCAGGTCTTGCTCCCGAGTCAGTGTGCACAGGACTGCAGCCTTAAACTTGCAAAGCTTCCCCATTTAGGTCATGTCTAGGGTAAATTTGGGTTGTATCCAATGTTAGAGCAGCTCAGAAATTAACACAACTAAGATCCATTAATTTCAGTAGGTCTACTCTAAGTAAAACTTAATTGAATACCATTCATTGTGTCCTGTTAGAGAGGCTGTCCCTTGATATGAAAATGTCCTCTCTTTGAAAGGTCATCTGGTCCTGTTTCAATTTTTAAAAACTCTTAAGAAGGGAAGGCAGGAGGGGTGTTGAGGTCACCCATCAGTAGTTCACATCTGGAGAGCAAACTGAGCAACCACACAGGGCACCTGCTCACAGCCTTCCCAATGAGATGGATTGTACAGTATTTTTATTTAAATTGAATTCAATTAGTTCCAAATCTATACATCTATATGCGTAAATTAGCATGCACACATTTTGTGCAGATGTGTTTCGTCTTCTGGAAGTGCATGTGTGAAGTATTTCCCCATTTTGCGATGCACAAACGAAGGCCACCTTGCCCATGATCCTCAAGTGGGAGAGCAATAAGCCAAGGGACTGGTCCGTGATTTTCTGCTCATTAGATGTAAATAGATCCGAAGGTCAAAATGGGACAATGGAATAATTGAGTCTGGCCATTTTGTCATTTACAGGCCAGACACATTCCCCCTAGTTAATATTATATCAAACCCATTAAAGACTTTATTAGTCTAAACGCATTGACATTGTTTTAATGCCACATTTGTTAAAGAGGCCTTAATTGCTGTAATAATTGAGAGAGTGACCTTGAAGAAGCTCTGGCAATGAAGGGAATGCACACAAGGCATTTTATTTTATTTTTTTGCTTTAATCTGCCTCCTGGAGCAGTAGTCCAAGGGCCATGAGAGGGACACAAAGAGCTTTCCAGATATAAAACTGTGTTATTGCTAGCTAGTGAAAAAGAAATTTATGGGAGAAAAATAGTATCTAAAAGCAAGGCAACGCCAATACATTTTGAATCGGAAGGAGAAAATCCACATGGTGCACACACAGCCCTCCTCACACACAGATCAAAATCAGACATGACCCACTGGAACATTGCTGTTGTTCCTGCTGTTGCTACGATGTATTATCCGTCCTTCACCCTAAAGTCCAAGGGCAGATTATAACAATTTAAAGTGCAACACTAAGGAAAGTTTTTTAAATTTACAATCCCGCCCCCCCAAAAAAACCTCTACCACAATCCCCCAAAAGTGTGTATGCCTCTATCAAGCTGCCCCTGTTCTCCGATTCCTATTCCTAGTAATCCACTATGGCTAATGTGTCCACCCGTTTTGGCCTTTTGTGAAGTGCCTTCTTAAAATTTTGCCAGTGCTAAATTTGTCGTTCTACACAGGGTTCATCTCTCCCTGCCAGGTTTCCGGATGTGAAGCATCTTGAGAGGGTGATGGATGAATCTTGTCCCTAACACACATTCTGGTAAATTGCATGTGCATGGGTGTGAGAATTCCCAGGCCAGCCCCATCATTGGGCAGTGAGGTAGATACTTCAGGTGACACACACACTTTCTGAGCACCCTCTCCTGTTCCCCTCCTCCTGAGCCTCCATCCTAGCAACAGCAAACTTTGATTTTCTTTCTGGTCTTGTAACCTCTAAGCTGCCCTGCTGTCTTCTGTGCAGTGGAGAAAACTGCCCCCAATGCCATGGTGGAAGTGACATTCAATTGCCAGTCTGGTCTGATTCTATATGATAGAATGGCAGGGGTAGCAGCATGTCATCATTCCCTAAGTTGTCAAATTCCCTCCCATGAGAGATGCATCTGGCTTCTTCACTTTCAATGAATGCTGAAGATATACCTCTTTACCCTGGCCTTTGGCACCTAAGAAGTGTTTCCAGGGCTCACCTTATTCCTTTGATTGTAATCTGTTTTCATTGTTTTGAATTTTAAATTGTCATAACCCACCCTTGGACCTGCTGGTGAAAGGTGGGTAATAAATTCAACATCACCTTATCCTTCGCCTCAGGCAGGAAAATGCATTGGGCCAGCCTTGCAATGCAAAGTACCATTTCACACGGCGGTGGCCAATGCATAGTTTGAATACTTATATTGTCACAACTATTCTTATAACTTTAATTAAGAAGACAAACAGCTGCTTGGCTTGTAAATCAGGCTATTGCAGTGCTACCCAAGATGGGGATTCAGAGTAGAACCTTCAGCAGTGTGTCTTTACACACACACACACACACACACACACACACACAATCATGCAGAGTGCTAATTCACTCTCTATTTTAGTCCATTCCAGTTTTCTTTCATTAGGCATTTACCATTCTAATCTGGACAAGAATTCACAGGAATGCAAAGATTCATTCATTTATTATCCAAAGCAGCCTGAAGTGGGGGAGGGGGAGAGAGAGAGAGAGAGAGAGAGAGAGAGAGAGAGAGATCAGCTAAAAAACCATTAACATTTCAGACTGAGCACAAACTGGGCAACTCTCATTGTTTCGAAAAACTGCATTCCAACTTTGATAAATTGCTGTGATTTGGGGTATCATTTTAAAAAATAAATTGCTAACAGCAATCTATATTTCATTGTTGCTACAAAATTGTTTTAAGTTTTGTTTATAGATTATTTTAAATGGCCATTTCTGCACATTTAAATGTTTTTGGGTTTTACTAATGATCCTGTCTACTGCAACCATGAAACTTATTGATGTTCCTTTTAATTATCATCTATTATTATACTATAATATAATAACCAATCATTAGTGGTATTTCCACCATTGTTTGAGTTCAGTGGAAAACACATTCTTGGGAATTCCATTGGCTTAAATATCAGCCTAGGTAGTAGCTTTAAGCCTTTCAGTTTGCAAACTCTGGTTTGAGCAAACCAGTGCTATTTTGCTAGAAAAAGAGGTGTTGAAACTCACTATGAATGCCTCCCTTGTTCTCTTAAAATGGCAATGGAGCCTACCTTAGAGATGCCGGAACTCAGTTTCGGCAAATTCTGGCTAAAAAAAAAAGCCCTGGAGCTAACCATGGTTAAAGTGAATAATATACTGCTCCACCATGATTAGATGAGAACAGAATATAATTTTTAATAAGTATATGTATGCTAGGAAGAGCAAGAGTGATAATCCAAATGCAATAATTTTATTTATTTATTTGAATCATTTCTATATCCCTTTACATTTCTCATAATATCCACATTTAGAGAAGCATAATTAACAGGAAAGCAAAATATTCTCATAAACATAGGGAAATGTTCTCTTAAATATGATTAGGAGATGTGATTAGGAGATGGGGAACATTCCATGTGCACTGTTGGGCCTTTCAATGAAAGAAGAGATGAGGAAAGGTATCAGGCAGAGACACGAGGGGGAGGGGATTGTACGGGAAAGATATAAAGAAAGGATCAAAATGTGCTTAAGATCAGTCACTTGTTCTATACAACTGCAATATCCTGATTTACTTGTGTTACGGCGCAGGGTGACAGTGCATTCCTATACACTAAGTCCCACTAAGTTCAGTGGAGCTTACTCCCAAATAAGTGGATATAGGATTGCTCCCTGAGAAAGGTGACTCCACTTCATGCAAGAGTTCTAACAATGTATCGGTCCAAATTTAGGGCATAACTCGTTAGGAATTTCTGCTGGGCAAGCCGCATGGACACCAATGAGAATTGCTCATTCATTTTAGCCGGGCTTGTGCAAAGGAACACCTTCATTGGGTTGTGCCTGCCATTCTCCTTAGCACCCCTGTTTTAAAGTGTCCACTGGCCCAAAGTATTATTTAAAGCTATTGAAGCTGAGATGTTTCAAATTACTATAAAAAGGGGAAAGAAAAATAAAATTCTGAGAACCATTTTCTTACTGTACATACAAGCCTCCTTCTCCTGTATATTCTGAAGATATAACCTTATATTTGGTAAGTGTTTCTTGTGCTATTTTATCACGTGATCTGTTTATAAAAATATATATTAAAAAATTTAAAAATACAGAATATCTGATTTACTTTTTACACCCATGTCATTGTATGGTAATGTATATAAAAATATCCTTGAAGCTGACCACCTTACCTGTGCAAATTCAAGATCTAACAGCACAGGGCTGAATCAGAGAGTTGGCGGGTGCCTTGTAAGACACCTGTGTCCACATCATACATTTGAAGAGCACTACTTATTTCTACTTATTATTATTATTATTATTATTATTATTATTACAGAATCCTGGGAACCGTAGTTTAGGCCTCACAGAGGTAAATTCCCGGCACCTTCAACAAACCACAGTTCCCATGATTATTTGGAAAAGTAATGTGATTTAAATATTTGATGTGTATGCAGCCCTCGTCCAGCCTACTGCTCAATGTACAGCATCCCCAGTAAAACAGGGCCACATCACATATTGCACAAAACATTTATATAAAAGGGGGGAAAGGAGGACTTCCTGTGCTAGAAAGAACGTGCAACTTCCAAATGAATGTCCATGCATTGGGAAACACGCATCTGTGAGCATCACATGTGATGATACACACATTGTTTCATGAGTGTAGCCAGGATTTTTGTTGGGGAGGGGCAGGCCTTTTGTTGGGGGAGGGGGCAGAACCTCAGTTTGTTATGTACCTTTATTGATTTTTATTGATTTGAGGGGGCAGCTGCCCCTCCCTGCCTACATCAATGCATGGTTTGCATATTATTGCCTACACAAAAATGTGTACTGTAGGACTCTCACAATGACAGTTGTTCCCAGTCTGCATAAGGGGGCACACTAATGCAAGGGGCTAAAGGGTTCCTTGCAAAATTAAGCCACTATTTTGGATGCAACATTTCCCCGATATGTCCCCCTGGAGTGTTGAAGCCCTGTGAACATAGTAATAATAATTTATTATTTATACCCCGCCCATCTGGCTGGGTCTCCCCAGCCACTCTGGGCAACTTCCAACACAATATTAAATAAAATAAAGTAATGCATCAAACATTAAAAGCTTCCCTAAACAGGGCTGCCTTCAGATGTAGTCTAAAAGTCTGGTAGGAAGCCAAGTCAGACTACTGGTCCATCTAACTCAGTATTGACTACACTGACTGTCAGCAGTTCTCCAGGGTTTCAGAACTGTGTGACTCGCAGTCCTACGCCTAGAGATGCTGGGGGATTGAGCCTAGGATCTTCTGCATACAAAGCTCAAGCCTTTCCCCTCCGTGCAGCGTTGATCTCCCACTCAGTCAAAATATGGGCAACAGAATCTCAGGGGAGAAAAGGAGAACCAAAGACTCCTTGATACAGGTGGAGCAATAGGGGACAGAGATAGCAGGAGGGAAGTGTCCCAAAGCGTGACCATTGCCCAGAAGCAACTGTAAGAGGTACCTTACAGCTTTCCATCAGGCTCTCATCCAGTGTGGTGGCAACCATTATACACGATCATCTTTATTGTCATTGTCCCATACAGAACGAAACTACCAATGAAACCCAGTTTTAATCTGGGGCGGGGATTGCATCCAGGTACCAAAAATGTGGGAACTGTAAAACCAGTGAAAACCAATTTCATACTCCAGATGGGGTGATTCTATTTCAAGGCTTGCATGTTTTTCAAAGAAAACCTCCCTCCAAAAAGAAAGGCAGCATGTCAGGGAGAACGATGCTAACCCAGACCACTCCCTGCTGTGCTAGTTTTCTACCTGCAGGATTAAAAAAACATAAAATACACGGGAGCATTGAAAAACGCGATTCTCTCCCCCGCCGCCCGCGATCCTGCGGAAAAACGCAGTCGGGGGCGACGAGGAAGCCTCTCGCCCAACGCCCCGCGGGCTCGCAGACGAAGGGCCGAGGAGGCGGCGCGGCCAGGGTGGGGGGCCGGCAGGCGGGAAGGCAAGCAAGGGCGGAGCGGCCTGGCCGGTGGCGGAAGGGGCCGGGCGAGGCGGGCCGGGTTTCCGCGGCGGAAGGAGAGGCGGCTGCCTTGAGCGACGGAGGCCCCGCCAGGAGTGGCCGCGGGAGCAGCGATCGGTGAAACCGTTGGCCCGGCGGCCTCGGCCCGCTGCCAGGTGAGCTGCCGCCCGTTTGCTTTTGCTTTTTACCTCAGCGCCTCGCCCGGCGCTCGCTCGTGAAAGGCTGAGGGAAGCCAAGCCAGGCTGGGTAGGCCTCGCGCGGGACTAAAACTGCTGCGTATTTATATATGCAGCGCATCTTTTTGAGCTCCCGAGACATGTAAAGGTGAGGAAATGCTAGATTGAATACATTGCATGGCGGGTTTGGTTGTTGTTGTTTTTAAATTAACCAAAGCTCAGTTTTAAAGCAAACTTTAATCTGTGGTGTTGGCTTTTTATTTTATTTTATTTGTATTTTTTTGGTAATCGTTCTTGCTTTCATTTCCAATACGCAAAAAACCATTGGTCACAACGATATAGGGAAAAGCGTGGGGGGGGGGGAGGAGAGAGGAGGGTCGTGTTACAACAAAATAGCATTATAATTCCATACTATTGTTCTTCATAAGCGTGTTATCCAATAACAGTTTTTTCCAAAGGAAACCGTGAGAAGAGGGCGGCTGCTGGTCGTGTTGCTTTAATTTGATGTGTTCAGTAAACGGATGCCAAACTTCAGAAAAAGTTGTGCTTTGTTTTTTGATAGTGTAGCATTCAGGTATAATTTGTTAACTTTCCATTAAAGCAGTGGTCCAGATCTTATGATTTTTCATCATAAGGAGACTCGTGTTACTTAATGTTTGCTCTGCATTTCTAGGCACGGCTCCACAATTTAAAGCTTCCTGTCCAGGCTGCAAAAACCTGCTCTTTAGTGCTGAATCGGAGCAAATCCACTTAAAACCCAAATTGCCGTTTGCTCCGATTTGGGGGTACAGATTGGGTTTTCCTGGGGAAAGTGGCAGAAAGAAAAAAAGTGCCTGGACGCAGACCAGGAAAGCGCAGGGCAAAAGGTTAGTGTGGATGATCCCAAAAATACATGTGCTATTAACTGTCAGTCTTGCCAATTAAAATTGATCCCTCCCAGCAATATATTCAACTGGGGTGGCAATGCTTGTTTTCAGCCCTCGTTTCAAGTGAGGGAAAGGTGGGATATTCAGTAAATAAATAAATTACCTGCTGCCTTGCAGGACATCTTTGGGAAAAGAAAAGGCCAAGGAGTAAACCCTACACAAATCCAGAGTGGAGTCCCTAAGGCGGTTGGTTGGATGTCGTCTTGTACACTTTCTGGCAACTCCTGCAGCCAAGCTGGTGCCAAACGTATTTCTCTGCTTCCCTTTGGACCACATCAGCAAGGCAGAGAGGGGGGTCTTGTCCTCTGGGCAGTCCAGGACCTCCATGCACACTGCCCAGGCTTGTACCCTAGGGAGGTCACTTTGGTGCTGCAAATGCAACAATAAGAATTGGGGGGGGGGGCAACAGTTATTAGTTGCTGGTCTCTGCAGCCACGGCAGGTGCTGTGATTCTCCAGCAGTTTGACTTCACCCCTGGAGGCGCACTCCATTTCTATTGAGACAGATGGATGACAACAAATAAATAAAACATGAAAGACATTAAAACATTTGCCTTTAGTGGTGTGTCAGTTTCTTTTATGCAGGTTCTTCTCAGAAGCAAATGGCAACTTCTACAATGGTGGGTACTGGTCTTGCTTCAGTGTCCAAGGCTTTGAGAGAGATGTTTATTGCCTAACTAATTCTCTCTCTCTCTCTCTCTCTCCATGTGTGTGTGTGTGTTGGTCTGCATCCTGAACAATTCTGTCTTGTATTTCAGAACTTTGGTGAATTTCTTCAGCCAGAAGCTATCCGGGAAGTGAAAAGTTTCTGTCAAGAGTCTGCTTGAATGTAGGAAAAGAAGTGCTTGATGGTTTACAAAGAAATTTCCACACAAGGTAGACCTAAAGCCAAGTAAGCTTTCAATGCAAATTGGAACAGCTTGCAACTAACTCTGGAGTTGTAAGCATTGGCTTTATGTGATCACTTCATGACATTTCCTTGTGTTAAGAGGCTGCCCGTTTCTGGGTAGGTCCTTGTTTCAAGTGCTGAATATTCCTTTTTAAAAATGAAACTTTAGTGATAAGGAGCTTGCAAGACTGAGTTTAATTTTGTGAAGTTGTCCATCAAGATACAGCTGTAGACGCTCCTGCTCTGTGGTCATTGGGAGATCCCTCGGAACCACAGGGAGCCCCTCAGAAGGCAGCCATGGAGAAAATGGCTAGAGTGACCACTGCCCTTGGTGGCAATACCATCACTGGACGGACCATGTTCTGCCACCTGGATGCCCCTGCCAATGCCATTAGTGTATGTCGTGATGCTGCCCAGGTAGTGGTAGCTGGGCGTAACATCTTTAAGATCTACTCTATAGAAGAAGACCAATTTGTGGAGAAGCTGAACTTGCGTGTTGGCCGCAAGCCATCCCTGAACTTCAGCTGCGCCGATGTGGTGTGGCACCAGATGGATGAGAATTTGTTGGCCACAGCAGCCACCAATGGTGTCGTCGTGACGTGGAACCTCGGCAAACCATCTCGTAACAAGCAGGACCAGCTCTTTACCGAGCACAAAAGAACAGTTAACAAGGTGTGCTTCCACCCCACGGAGGTGTACATGCTTCTCAGTGGCTCCCAGGATGGCTACATGAAATGCTTTGACCTGCGCAAGAAAGATTCTGTTAGCACATTCTCAGGTAAGGAGTCATTTCTGAATTTGCCGTGCCTGACTCTTAACACTCTCAGCAATGGTCAAGAGTACCTTTTTCTAGTTACACCTAGTCAAAGGGCAGTGCTATGAGTTTGTTGGGGCTGGGCCGAAAGCAAGATGTGACCAAATTATTGAGAGAGAATCTGATTTGGCCCTTGAGCCTGAAATCTGTTGTGCTAGAGTATGATTACAAATGGTGAGTGTCATCTAGATGAGCTGCCAGATATGAAACTTGCTAAATATGCTGTCTGTTGCATTATCTTTCAGGTCAATCAGAAAGTGTCCGTGACGTCCAGTTTAGTATACGTGATTACTTTACCTTCGCTGCAACCTTTGAGAATGGAAATGTTCAGCTGTGGGACATCCGCCGGCCTGACCGCTATGAGAGGATGTTCACAGCCCATAATGGGCCCGTATTCTGTTGCGATTGGCACCCGGAAGACAGGTGTGGACTGCAGGGGCTAGAATTCTGCACTAAGATTTTGTTCTTTGTCTTCAAGCATATCCTCATCTGACTTTATTCTTGTGCACACTCCTTTTTTCCCTTTGACACCATCTCACGTTGTGCACTAGGATTCTCTGTTCTGTAGCTCATCTTTCTTTCTCTGTTCCCTGCCCATGGAACATTCTTCCTTCTTAAATATGCAGTTTTCTCCTCCTATTTTTAAACATTATTTTAGACAGCCATGGAGAAGTTACTGTTCTTATGACTGCCTACCTCAAGTAAAAATCTTCTGTGCAGTGCTTTGTTTTTAAGCATTATATTATAGAAATGCATCTTAGAAAACTCAAAGCTCTTTCTCCAAGAGCTTGTTTTTGTTAGTATGCTGTATAAATTATTTTCCTAAATTTGAAATTCTAGGCTAAGAACTGCAGCACAGGTTCCTAACTTGTGGCCCTTCAGATGTTGCTGACGTCTAGCTCCAGTCATTCCTGACTAGGGGCCATGCTGGCTAAGGTTTATGGGAGCTGTAGCCCAACAGCATTTTGGGATGTATGAGGGTTTTGTCATGCAGATAAGAAAAGAAGACACACAGGTGTGTGAGAGCAAGGATCGGGATGTGTGCTCACCCCACCCCTCACTGTCACTGATGACCTCACTATAAGCCCTCAGGAGTAGAGACACGGGGGCTCCAATTCCCATCAGCTCCAGCCAGCATGACTGCTGGTCAGACATGATGGGAGTTGTAGTTGAACATATTTGGAGGGCCACAGGTTAGCCCCTCATGCTTTAGCAGTATTGTGAGTTGGTAGCTGGGTATACGGTTAGTGTAGATCATGTATAAGAAAAGTGGTGGTTGCTGAACTGTTTACTGGCCGCTTAAGCTTCTCTTCTCTTCATCTAGGGGCTGGTTGGCCACAGGAGGCCGAGATAAGATGGTAAAGGTCTGGGACATGAACACCAACCGGGCCAAAGAGATATACTGTGTGCAGACAATAGCCTCTGTGGCAAGGGTCAAGTGGCGGCCTGAATGCAAACACCACATTGCCACATGCTCCATGATGGTGGACCACAACATCTATGTGTGGGATGTACGTCGGCCTTTCATCCCCTCTGCCATGTTTGAGGAACACAAAGATGTCACCACAGGGATTGTGTGGCGTCATCTCCACGATCCTTACTTCCTCCTGTCTGGCTCTAAGGACAGCACTCTTTACCAGCATATCTTCAAGGATGCCATCCAGCCTATTGACCGGGCTAACCCTGAGGGGCTTTGTTACAGCCTCTTTGGGGACCTGGCTTTTGCTGCCAAGGAGAGCCTCATCTCCTCTGATTCTAACCGTAAGCGTGATCGGCGCCATCCTATCTTCTTCAAGCGCAAGCTAGACCCCACAGAACAGTTTGAGTTCATCTCCTCTTCCAGTGCCCTAAGTGTATTTGAAGCGGACACAGAGTGCGATGCTGGTAGCATGGACTGGTTTGTGCGGACCGCCAAGCAGTATGTGCTGACAGGGAGACCGCTGGCAGAGCTGTGTGACCATAATGCCAAAGTAGCCAAAGAGCTCAAGCGCAACCAGGTAAGGGCTCCCTTTGTGCAGGAGTTATTCGCTTATAATTCGGTAGATTTGGGGAGGGGGCTACAACATATCCTAGTCCCAATGGGCACCCAAGAAGGAGATGCCATGGTTGATTGTATTGGAATCCAAACCTGCAGCATGTATGTTCAACTCAGAGTACCAGAAGTCTCTTTGCTGAAGTTGGCGGCTTATGATGAAGCCAGAACATGAGCCTGAATTAGAGCCTTAAGTCAAGGGTGGGGAAACTATGGCTTTTTTGATGTTGGACTCCCAGTTCCCATCAGCATCAACCAGTGTGGCCAGTGGCTGAGGATAATGGGAGTTACTGTCCAGTAGCACATGGGGCTCTATTCAAGTAACTTTTACTTAGAATAGGCCCATTGAAATGAATAGTCAAGACTAATTTTAATTCCAGTGAGTCTGCCTTGAGTGCAGTTGATGGAGGGCCACAAGTTTCCCATTCCTGCCTTAAGTGGCACAAGCAGAATGTGTAGTGAGCAGAAGTCTATACTTGTAGTATTTTATAAGAGACCTTACCAATCCAGAGATATTATACTTCCTACCAGTTGCCAATCAGAAGGTCAGGGGTTCAAATCCCCGCGATGGGCTGAGCTCCCATTGTTCGGTCCCAGCACCTGCCCACCTAGCAGTTCGAAAGCACGCAGTGCAAGTAGATAAATAGGTACCGCTGCGGCGGGAAGGTAAACGGCGTTTCTGTACGCTGCTCTGGTTTGCCAGAAGCGGCTTAGTCATGCTGGCCACATGACCCGGAAGCTGTACGCTGGCTCCCTTGGCCAGTAAAGCGAGATGAGCGCCGCAACCCCAGAGTCGTCCACGACTAGACCTAATGGTCAGAGGTCTCTTGGTCTCTTTACCTTTACCAGTTGTAGAGGCTGATGTTGCATGTGTTATTCCTCTGCTGTGAACTAAGTCTCTGTCCTGAAATTCCTGAGAGACAGCTAAGAGTTTCCTAGCATGTAAAGAGGAGTCCAGGGCTATGTTCAGCCCCTCTCCCATAAGCATTACCTGAAATTGTTGTGGTGGTGTGTGGTGGCCTCCAGCCCAATACCTCACTCTTCATGTCTCATTTGCCTCTATTCCTTTTCCTTAGCTGAAAGACGTGGCTGTTGATAGTTTAACTCTTTCTGTTCTTTCTCTTATTTGTCAGGTTGCTCAGACATGGACCATGCTCCGAATTATTTACTCTAGCCCTAGCACTGTTCCCTCTTCAAACCTTAATCACAGCATTGGGAAGAGTAGTTCCAGCCTTCCACTCATGAACAGGTAAAAAAGGCTTCAGCATCCTTGATCTTAGTTGTGAGATGGGAGGTAGAATGTTGACTGTGGCAAATGTAGGTGGGCTGGTTGCATGAGAGGTCTTATTTACACATTACCAGCACCATTTGCATTAGGTAGAGTATTCATCTGGATAAAAGTGAGAAGACTCGCATTTCCACTCTTGAGCTCTTGGAAATAGGGCATACTCCAGGGCAGAAAAAAATGCACCTTGCTGATAAGTTCAGAAGTGCTACTGGTCTTTCAGTAGGTTCTCATGTGAGCCGTGAGAAAAATTGAACTCAAAATCTTAATGATAGAATATTTGTGTGGTTACTTGGTTACCAGGAATTGCAACCAGTGGGGGACTTGGGTGCCGGGATGTAGAAGGGAAGCTGGAAGCATCAGGTTTTACCTGGGTGTAACACAGATTTGTGTTTCCCTTCCAGCTTTAACTTGAAAGATATTCCTTCTGGAATAGGCAGTGAGTCAAGGATGGAGAGGAGCAAGGGAGAGAACCGACCTGAAAACATCCTCATGGATTCTTCCTCCACACTGATCAATAACGATGGTGAGAATGGTGACATACCTCTCCCCCAACACTGCATAGAAACCTAAGAACCGTTTCTCACTTCCTTCTCTGCTTCCCTCTTTTTTTTACTCTTGGATGTCTAGAGAACGAAGAGACTGAAGGCAGTGATGTCCCTGCAGATTATCTCCTTGGGGATGTGGAAGGAGATGAAGATGACCTGTACATGATAGACCATGAGAATCCTCACAGTGAGTGTATATACTCTTGAGAACTGTTGGTCCTTCCTGTTCCCCTTTCTGTGTTGGGTGGAATTGTTTATCTTTCCCCATCTGCCTTCCCTCTCATGGGTCCATGTTTTCTTAACAGCTGAGGAGCAAGAGTACATCCTTCCCCAGGAGGCCTTCCCTTTGCGTCATGAGATTGTGGACAATCCCTCTGCGCTGGATCACTTACAAGACAAAGCAGACTCCCCACATGTCAGTGGCAATGAGGCAGAGACTGTGTCACTGACACCTGTGGAATCTTTCTCCCTGATCTCCATCTCTCACTCTCTGTATGACAGCCGTCTGCCTGCTGACTTCTTCAGCCCCATTGTCCGTGACATGTTGCTCTTCTATGCTGAGCAGGGGGATGTCCAGATGGCGGTGTCTGTACTTATCGTGTTGGGGGATCGTATCCGGAAGGAGATTGATGACCAGGCACAGGTACCTCCCTGTTCTGTATTTTAGGATTAGGATTGGGGGTCATAATTACCAGATACCTGCTGAAAGCTGCACACTCAATAAGGAGCCCATCCCAATCCACAAAAACTCCTATCCTGCTGCGCCTCCTCCTAACTGTTGCTGCCTATTCACTTGCCCTCCCCAAGTGAGCAAGCAGCAAGAGATACAAGGAGAAGGAGTAGTAAGCTCTGCACAACTTATCCTCTGCCTCTATCAGAGCTGGTGCTGATCAGGCACAGAAGGAGAGGCATGTGGAATGGGCAGTGGCCCTGAGGAGGTCTGGGTCTGGTGAATGCCTGGATGGGAGTCTGCCCAGGATCCATTTATACTCCACTTTGAATTCCATGTTTACTGAAAGTCAGCAAGTGTGTGAAATAAAATAGCTGCTCTTCATGTTAATGCTTGTGGTAGTATATTAAGTGGAGTTGGTCTAGATTGTCTGGCTATCAAAGCACACCTGCCAGTTATTTCCAGTATGATGGGCCAGGGCCAACTTAAAAATATCCATCTGCAGAAGAGGAACATGTAAAGATCCATATGAATTTTGTGTTCTATTTCACCTGCATTAGAAGTTGTTCATAGACTTGAGTGCATCTTTTTTTAAAAAAAAAAGATGAAAAGGCAATATACGAGTATTTCAATAAAATAAAGGGTTTGAGTTGCAAGAGACGGGTTGAAAGAGATTTCTGGAGACGAATACTGTAAGTGACTTGTGTGCAATGCCTTAAAACCCCACAGGAACACTGGTACACTTCATACATTGACTTGCTGCAGCGCTTCCAGCTGTGGAACATCTCCAATGAGGTGATCAAACTGAGCACATGCAGAGCCATCAACTGCCTCAACCAGGCCTCCACCACACTGCACATCAACTGCAGCAATTGCAAAAGACCCATGAGCAACAAAGGCTGGATTTGTGACAGGTGAGAGGCCTCTGCGGAGACACACTATGTGCATGTATGCACATATAGAGGTTTTAGTTTTGTGACATACTGAGAATAATTATATGAATCTGCCTTATTCCAAGTCAGACAATTGTTCAACTGATCTGAAATTGCTTACTCTGGTGGCAGTAGCTTTCTGAGATCACAAGCAGGGGTGTTTCCCAATCTTCAGGACTGGGGATTGAAACTGGGATCTCCTGCACCCAAAGCATCTTAAATTATCTTCCCTCTTTTAAGTAACCCTTCGCATACATACTTCCTGATAAATATAGCTAGAAGTGATTTTGTTTTCCAGGAGCTAAAAATCATTTTACCACCCCCACACTCTGATTACATGAAGGCTTTTGAAGCTAGGTGTGCCTTACTCGTTTTATAGGAGATCATATGATGTGACCTATGATAGTCGACTGATTCTTGAAGGATGTAAAAAATGCCAGAATGGCCAGTTCTGGTGTTTTATTTTTAAAAAGTGTAAATTTACAACACAGTGTGCAGAGCCTCACTGACTTTACAGATGCGGAATGGACAGTACAACAGTGAGAGGTTGTCATGACTTGTCAGCGCCCAAGCAAATGTGTATATACATCCTTTATGCACAAAGCAGCATAGGTCATTTTACCCAGAACCTCCCATCACACCTGGCTGGTGAGGCCATAGGTAGCAGTTATCCAAGGCTTACAGATAGCTCCCCTCTCTGGGCCGAGAGCCCAGCATTCCAGGGTCCACAGATAAGCATAGCATTAAAGCAAGCCAATTTGCATATATCAGAGGAAGTGAATATAAACATACATCAGCTCATTATTGCAAAAACGACCAATTAATTGTAGCGTTATCTCGACTACCAAGATGGTGTTTGCAGAGCTTCTGGAACATCTCGCCTTTGGTTCAACACAGTGGTGTAGCAAAAGTGTTTTTAAAAATTCCTGGGAAACAAAATCACTTCACGACTGCTTACATCCTTTTTCATGCAGTTTAAGAAGTATAGTGGAATACAGAAATTTAGAACAGACCTCCTCAATTTATGCTACATCAAGCCAACAGAGACATCCCAGGGACTTGATTACAATGCGGTCATAAGAAGGCTGCAAAACATAAGTTTTTTGAGCTCCTGATGGGCTCCTATCCATTCATGACTGATGTGTTGGTTCTGTGGGTCAGAATGGACCTCTTGCGAACTTTATGCATCCCAATAATGCACCTCCCAATAGTGGTGAAAAATGAATTGGTGTATAATTTCAGGTGAGCCATGCTCCTACCAGCTGCAGAGACTACAACTGCTTATCACATTCTATTTATTTTTTGTATTTCTTACAATTATATCCTACTTTTGCTCCAAGGAGCTTAGGCAGGCCTGCATGTTTCTTTCTCTCTCTCTCTCTCTCTCTCTCTCTCACACACACACACACACACACACACATGACCATGCACCATTTTATTCACACAACCCTTTGAAGTAGGTTAGGATGAGTGAGCGTGATTGACTGAAGCTTCATGGCTTAGTGAGGGACTTGAACCTGGGTCTCCCTACTCCTTGTCCATCAGTAATCACGTTAGCTCTCATTGGGACTCTTATGTTCCAGGATCTGTGTTGTATTTGACTGCTAAGATAAGTCATTTTCTTCTGGTTGATTCATTCTGTGGTCTCGTTTCAGATGTCGGCAGTGTGCCAGCATGTGCGCTGTGTGCCACCACGTAGTGAAGGGTCTGTTCGTGTGGTGCCAGGGCTGCAGTCATGGTGGCCACCTGCAGCACATCATGAAATGGCTGGAGACCAGTTCCCATTGCCCTGCAGGCTGTGGTCACCTTTGTGAATACACCTGAACCTAATGGGAGTCTTTGTCCGCTGGAAAGCAAAACCTTGACGCACTGGCTGCTTAGAACTGGCACTGAGCTCTGTTTATGGGAGGCATTAGAGGCATAGTTGCACAAGAGAACTTAGTGAGTAGGATACTGTGAAGGAAAGGTGACCTTCGCTACTTCACAAAAAGCAGTGAAACTTTAAACGCTCAGGCGATTCTTCTTGAAAGCTTCTGGTCACTTACATTCTCCCCCTTTTTTACTGCTGCATAATATATTTTTTTTGTTATCACGATTCTGCACAAACCTACTTCTTAATGAGCCAAGATGGCACCATGAGACACTTTTGAGTTTCATTCCACTTTTTATACTGAATTAAAAGAACACAGTGAACTTTACTGCTTGCTGCTTTCTATAGAGTTCCCGAATCCTTTTGCATAAATGCTCCTAAAATTAGTGAGCTATGGCACAGCATCTGAATTTCTTCCTCAAAGAGGAAATCTCTTTCCAGGATATGTATTCAGCTGTATAATTTTAAGCAACATTTAAATTTCCTGCTCCCAGATGCAGAGCATAAACCACTGGCCAGCAAGGGAATACTATATTTGTTACCATTTTTAGAACTTTGTAGTAAATTGCAGACTGATAAAATGCAAGAACTGGAGTTCTCTAAAGATCATCTTAATGAGCTTCTGCAAGTCAAGGAACAAATGGTTATGACTATTACTTAGAAGTAAGTCCCATGATGTTCAGTGGAGTTTACTCCCAGTGCATTAGTTTGGCATATTGGTCTTCCTAGCAGCAATAAGAAGACAAAAAGTACAGCTATATCTTCTGTGGTGGGAGCACCTAATGATGTCAGTGCCTAGTCTCTTGAGGAGATAGGCGATCCAACAGGATCTTGGTCCTAAACTGTGAAGGGCTTTAAAGGTCAATACCAACTTATAAATTAACATAAGGCAAATTGGAACTACTGCACATAATATCTAACAAGTGCCAAGTCAAACCATATTGTTGTTTTCCCCCTGGTCTTTGGTATTGCTATTCTTTCCATTTATTCTGAAACATCAGCCTTCCGTGCTACAGGATAGCATAGTTGGTCAAATTCAGATTATTGATCCAAATGATCCCTAAATCTTGGTGCTGCTTGCCTGGCCAGTTATTCCTCCCTTATGCCCATGCTGCTGCTCTAAGCTTTATATCTCATACCATGCCCTTGGGAGATGTAAAAATAATAATCTGTTAGTGAGTTGAAAAATTAAATATGGATTAGGTCAGAAGCAGCCAGCATTCATATCATATGCAAAAGAACTGTTTCAATGTTTAATATAATGTGCTGCCATTTTATTCAAATGGTTTTTAATATCTCAGGATATAAATTGGGACAATCATGAACAGATTACATTCTGGTTCACCCTCAATTTGAGATGTTTAAATCGTGGCCCACTGTGAGTCAAAAGCTGTCTACGCATCAATTAATTTTATTTTAAATTGTGTGGGGAAGGGTATCCAAACCTCAGATGCTGCTGTCGACTGTGAGCAGGACCACTTTGCTTCAGAGGACAGCCAAGATTCTAGAACCTGGTCATGTCAAGGATCTCATTATGGGAGGGATTCTGGAACCTCTGAACCAATCACACCCTTTTTCCAAGAGGAGGGTTAAGTGGAAGGCCTGGCAGCTCTTTGTGCTGCCTCCCCCCACCTTGAAAAAATGGATGATGCCTCTGCTTCGGCGGGGTACTCCCACCGCCACATGGAGAGGAAGATGAGTGCGATGGCTTGTACAGTCTTCAACGAACTTCGACTGGAAGGGAAGCTCTGTGACGTGATCATCAAGGTCAATGGGTGCGAGTTCAATGCCCACAAGAACATCCTCTGTAGCTGCAGCTCCTATTTTAGGTCAGTGCTTCAAACAGGCAAGAGTTGGTTTCTCTGGCAAAATTCCCAGGAATATGTCTTGATTTAAGGGCTCGTTTTATTCAGTAATAGATGCTTGAGTTCCTGCTGTCTTCAAAGATGTGGTTGGCTGCTGGTTCACCCTCTCTGTCCCAGATTGTAGTTGTGTGGAAGTCATAACCACTAATTAGTAGGTTGACAGGCAGTTGAAATTTATTAGTTGTTCATCTGCCTTTTAACTGATCAATTAAACTCAAATAAGTGATCATATTGCCAAAACCACTGAATAGGTTCCCATTTAAATGATAAATTTAGTAAAACAAAAACTACCAGAATAGGTTTTTGTTTGTTTGTTTGTTTTTAACTACCAGAATAGTTGAGAACCATATTGTAATGTAACTTTCATTCTCTGTTACAGCAACATTTAATCAAATTGTCTTAAAAGGTAAATGAGTGTGTTCTTAACTCATGTCCACCAATTAATAGTTTCAGGTTGTGTCTTCAAGTCAAGGGGATGCCAAATGGCATCCAAAAGCATAATTCAGAAGCAGAGTCTTTTATCAAAGCCAAATAAGTCAAGAAGAAGGTTAATGAAATACCACAGGATAGGAATAAAGTAGAAAAGACAGGAGGGGGTAAGATTGTCTAGGTTTCCAATTTGTTTGAACAGTGGATTCCATAGCAAGGATTTGCTTGAATAATGAGACCCTACCATCCTTGGCTTTTCATGCCCATCTAGGATAAAATACAGAGCCCACACTTCTTCTGAGTCATTACTGACTTGTAGTATTGGGAGACTCATGGTGCTATTTGAGCAAACAGGTTTTTTGTTTAATATCTGGTTGGCTCTGTTGAGTAACGGTTTCTGAGATTTTGCTGATACAGTCAAGTGACGGTACTTCTTGCCTTAGGAGCAAAATCTTGTCGCCCAGCAAAATCTTATCAGCCCAGTAGCTAAGGAGGACCCAACTCTTCTAGCCCAAGGAAGTTATCAAATGTGAGTTGGAATATGTTTCAGTTGAGGTATGTAGAGTACTAAAATAATAAGCTGCCAATGCACCAACATGACTTGAGAGCTGTCATTGTCAACAATAGTTTACACTGGCAACCAAGTCCACAGGTTGAAGCCATGATGTGCCTCTTGATGTGCATTCCATCTGTTGTAACTTTTATTTCACCCCAGACCTGATGTTAGACAATCTGGTCTGAATATTTTTTGTTTAGTTTTTATTTATTTTTTGGCAGTCTGGCCTAAAGATGGGTGTGGTTACAGTGTCAGCATTGTAGACAGGTGCTGCCTGTTCATAGGATCTAGTGCAAGGTTGCTCAATCTTGCATTGAATTCCTAGTCAGGCAGGTGTGCCCTAAATACTAAAACAGATCACCTCAACTTTCTAAGCATCTGGGTAGGCATGTCTAAACAAGAATGTTTTAGCAGGTGCCAAAACAAGTACCATGAAGGCGTTTGCTTGATCTCAATAACCAGGGAGTTCCAAAGTGCAAGCGCGCTGCCACACTAAACAATTGAGTTCTTACAAATGCCGAATGGGTATTACGCGGCACCTGTAGTAGTGTCAATTCCTGTTCAACTTTTAGAAGCAATATGAGGCTTGCAGCTGTCATGAGCACCAAAAAGTTGTGGGGATTGCTATAGAGGTTCAGCGGGTTAGCTGGAGGATCCCGGTGGACCCAACACCATCCCCTTGAGGAACAGGACCCCAAGATGCAACAAAGACCAATGAGAAATAGTTGTGTTCTTTTTCAGAGCTCTGTTTACCAGTAGCTGGAACAACTCAGAGAAGAGAGTATATAATATTCCTGGCATAACCCCAGATATGATGAAACTCATTATCGAATACGCCTACACAAGGACAGTGCCCATCACCGTGGACAATGTGGAGAGGCTTCTTGTGGCTGCTGACCAATTTAATGTGATGGGCATCGTCAGAGCTTGTTCTGACTTCATGAAATGCCAGCTGTGCCTGGAGAACTGTATTGGTATCTGCAAATTCACAGAGTACTACTTCTGTCCGGAGCTGCGGCAGGCGGCCTATATGTTCATCTTGCACAACTTTGAGGAGATGGTAAAAGCGTCTACTGAATTCCTGGAGCTCTCGGTCAATGAGTTTAAAGACATCATTGAAAAGGACGAACTCAATGTGAAACAGGAAGACGCCGTCTTCGAGGCCATCCTCAAGTGGATTGCCCACGATCCCACAAACCGAAAGCAGCACATGGCAGTCCTGCTCCCTAAGGTTAGCCCTTTTAAATATCTTGGGGGTCCATCCATCCCCTGTCCTTCAGGTATCTAGGACCAGATTTAACGAAATACTTGTGCTAGCAGGAGCCAGTGCAAGGACTCCCATTAGCGCTACAGGGATTCCCCCCCTTCTCCCCACTGTGCGTCCCTCCATAAGCTCTGGGGGTGGTTTGGGAGAACCCCCAAAATGGCACACAGGGAGGAGAGGGGGAATTGTTCCATCTGGCAAGCAGAACTGTGTGAGATGACAGAATGATGGTAATAGTGTGGTGTTGAATCCTACTCCTTATGTCTCCAGATCTACAGTGCTGGCTAACTTCCCAACCAGCTTCATATAATGGCTGTGTACTACCTTTGGTGCAAGAGGCAGTATGCCTCCTGAATGCCAATTGCTGGGAATCACAAGTGGGGAGAGCTGTTGCACTCGGGCTCTGCTTGCAAGCTTCCCATAGTCATCTGGTTGGCCACTGTAAGAGCAGGATGCTGGATTAGACGGGACATAGGCCTGCTCTAGGAGGCTCTTGGGCTGTTACGTATGTCGCCCTGAGTTTCATTCATGTATTTATTATTGAAAGGCTGCTGTTGCTACCAGTCACTGGGAATCACAAGTGGGGAGAGTGCTGTTGCACTCAGGTCCTGCTTGTGGGCTTCCCGTTGGGGCAGCTGGCTGACCACAAGGATACAAGCGTCATAATTTGGGGGAGCACTGTAGCTCAGTGGGAGGGCACCTGCATCACATGCACAACACCCCACTTCTCAAAACAGTTCATTCAAAAATCAAAATATAAATACAGTAGTACAATAACAATATCCAATAAGCCATGTAGTGTCACTGATACATAACATCGCAAAACTAATAATCAGCAATTAATGCAGCTGGTGGAATCTTCCGTTGGTGATCCAGTGAATCCTTGGCAGCCAGGGTTTCAACCGTCCCGGAGATGCTGCTGAGTCCCAGAACATCAGCTGGACAAGCACCAAACAGTTGCTGTCCTAATGCCTGTACTGCAATAAAATTATTACGTTGGTAGAAGGAGGATTGCTGCTCTCTGGATCCTCCAGTGGCAGCAGTTAATCACAGTAAAAAGAAAGGGTTCATAACTGGTATCTTAATTGATTAGGATGTTTTGAATCATAGCACCAGCTCTGCATAACATAATTTTTCTTCATGTCATGGAGACCTTCACCGTGATCTCACAGCTAGACAGTTAAATGCAGCTTTAGTTATACTCCTCCACCTTCCTGAGAGGATACCACTTCATAATAAGACTCCTGTAACACAGTGGCCAAGGTTCACAGGCTAAGTGATGGTGGGGAAACAGACCTGTCTCATGAACTTGAGAATAACAAGGCAGGAATGTGCCTCATTCCTATTAGGCTTCTTGTTTAGCACCAGTCCTTTTCACTCCCCTCTCTGTAGGTACGCCTGGCCTTGATGCATGCTGAATATTTTATGAACAATGTCAAAATGCATGACTATGTGAAGGATAGCGAGGAGTGCAAGCCCATTGTTATCGACGCCCTGAAAGCCATGTACGATCTCAACATGAACGGACCATCTAGCTCCGACTTCACCAACCCGCTGACAAGACCCCGTCTGCCGTACGCCATTTTGTTTGCCATTGGCGGCTGGAGCGGTGGGAGCCCAACCAATGCCATCGAAACGTATGACGCCCGTGCAGACCGCTGGGTGAACGTCACGTGCCAGCAGGAGAGCCCCCGGGCGTACCATGGTGCCGCCTACTTAAAGGGCTACGTCTACATCATTGGGGGTTTTGACAGTGTGGACTACTTCAACAGCGTCAAGCGATTTGAGCCCGTCAAGAAGACGTGGCACCAGGTTGCACCCATGCACTCACGGCGCTGTTACGTTAGTGTCACCGTCCTTGATAACTTCATCTATGCCATGGGTGGCTTTGACGGCTATGTGCGTCTCAACACAGCTGAGAGGTATGAGCCCGAGACCAACCAGTGGACCTTGATAGCCCCCATGCATGAGCAGAGGAGTGATGCAAGTGCTACAACCCTGTATGGAAAGGTAATGAGAATGAAAGTAGGCCAATGTTTATAAAAGCTAACCAGCTGCTAAGGCTGACAGGTCACAGGGATAGATGTGAAACTTTAGGGGGGTTGCCTCTAAGAGAAGAAATTAAATATTAAGGGAAGATTAGGAAACGAGGCTAGACTGATGTCCACAAGGCCCCTCACCATCCTGAGCTGCTTTCTAAACTACAACCCTTTTCCAGCCTTTGTTCCTTTCTGTAAAGATGACAACAATACAGATAACGTAAACCTGGTTTTAGGACAGAGGGGGGGGAAGCAAAAATGTTAATGACACCAAGCTCTGTTTTTCTTTTTCATCAAATCCACATGGAAATGCTGTGGAAATGCAAAAGAGTTGCTTTTGATTGATAATGAACCAGAGGGGGCAGGGATGAGGGATCCATAAACTGAACCTCAGTTCAGATGAGATGAAGGTGTTGTGAGTTGGTGGCTCATGTGACCTGAGAGGTGGTGATCATTGCAGTTTGGGGAGTGTTGCTGGATTTGGCCTTATCTAGAGAGGCCCAAGTGGCCTCTACATCTTGAAATTCCTTTTACCAGCTGAGGCTGGTGCACCTGGTGTGACCCCTTCTGGATGACAATAGCTTGGCCAGTTATCCACACACTGGCAACATCTTGTTTAGAACACTGCGATGTCCTGTACATGAAGTTGCCTTTGAAGATGCCTTGAAACCTCATTTAGTGCAAAATATAGCAGTATGTTCATTAATTGGGACCACTCATGTAGAACATATTATGTCAATCTTAAATCAGCTACATTAACTGTTTCTGTTCAGAATGGAAAGTTCTGATTTTAACCTAGACATCCTTAAATAGCTTAGAGCCCCAGTGCAAAAACCTGTCCAGCCTTTGAGATCATCCCTGCTCTGCCATCAACTGAAGTAATAAACATCTTTATTTTATTTTCGGTACCAGATGAAAATCTGTCTAGACCTTTTAATGCTGTATGTATTTTATGTTAGATTTTTAAAACCTTCCGTATCTGTTTGCAATGCTTATTATTGTGATAGTTTGCTTGGCAGTATTGTTTTATTGATGGATATACTTTTTTATTGCTTATATTGGTCGCCGCTCTGGGAACACTGTCAGATGAAGAGCAGAGCAAGATAAATGGTGGCAACTTGTGGCATCTTAAACCCTAACAAACGTATTATGACTTGAGTGGTTATGAATTAGAGCCCTACTTCATCAGACACCATAAGACTTTCATTGTTTTTGTACAACAGCTATCTCTCTGGAAATGAAATGAAATAAATAAGCACTTGAGATCTTTTTTAAAAAAGAAAAAAGATAACAGTAAGCACCATCAGTTTCGGTGCAGTATCCATACTTGAGCAGTTCCTCTGATATAGGGTCATAAACTGAGCATGAATATTTAAGAATCTTAAATAATTTTAAGGAATAAGGCTGTAACTCAGGGCGTAAAGCATCCATTCAATCCCAGGCATCTGCAGGTAGGACTGGGAAAGACCTCTGAAACCCTGGAGAGCCACAGCTAGTCACTATAAACAATACTGAACTAGATAGACCAATAGTCTGTTTCAGTGTAAGGCAGTTTCCAACATCCTTTTAAATTTGGCTTCTTGTAATCCCTGTGTGATTTCTGCCACATCTGGCTGGAAACAACCCACCGGCCACATAAACTGACCTTCCAGGTGCCAGATAAACCCAGCTGGCTTTGCAATGTCAGGCAGGCTGTAACACAGAATGTCTATTAAGCTGCTGGTGGACCATCATATCAGGCATAAATGGCAAGTTGTGCAGACCTGCTCTAACATCTTAAGCAATGAGAGGTTATCCAGCCAGCTATTTCAGCAGGAAAAGCAACCTTGGTTTCTGTTACTATAAACCAGTGATGAAAAATCTGTGGGCCTCCAGCTGTTGTTGGACTCCATCGGCCATCATCCTTGGCCATTGGACATACCAACTGGGGCTGATGGAGTCCAGCAACATCTGGAGGGCCACAAGTTCCCAAACCCCAATACAAACTTTTCAAGTGTATCCAGGGTAGGAGCTGGTGTGGGTTTCGTGGTCATAGTAGAACTATGGAGAGTAAGCTTCAAATCCCTACACAGCCACAAAGCTCACTGAGTGTCCTTATCCCGTTCCCTCTCTCTCAGCCTAACGTAGCCTCACAGTGTTGTTGTAAGAATTGCATGGGAGGTACGTCGTACATTGCCTTGAGGTGCTTGGAGGAAGGCCAGGATTAAAAAATTAATCACACTTAACAACAGTCATTCCTTCTCCCAAGGAATCATGGGAGCTGTAGTTTTACCCGGGGGCCTAGGAAGCCTGTGAGAATTCTCAGTGCTTTCACCAAACTACAATCCCCAGGGTTTTTTTGGAGGATACCATAACAATTAAAAAGCCATCAAACCAATACGTGTGTAAAGTGGACAGGGCCAACAATTCTCTCTACAATGGCACCAAATTTATTTCAACAATATTTTCACAAACCTATTTTTTGCTTTCCTTTTTTAAAAAAGGTCTATATATGTGGTGGGTTCAACGGAAATGAGTGCCTGTTCACAGCAGAAGTGTATGACGCCAAGATTGATCAGTGGAGCTTGATCGCACCCATGAGAAGCAGGCGAAGCGGCATTGGCGTGATAGCGTACGGAGAACACGTCTACGCAGTAAGGCCAGGGTCCTTTTGTGCCCGTAATGGCAGGCAAGCCTGCAGCACCCTTTGGCGGTAAAGTCGTTGGAACAATGCTGCCCCCCTTTGGTTTGGTGTAGACCAAGTCCTGGCCAAGCTGTTGCTCATGAACTGTATATATTTAAGGAAGTGAATAGGCATAAAATGGCAAGAATGCTGTATCTTAGTGGTCTTCTGAGGGGTGTGGCGATCTTTTCAGCCTGGTATCAACACCTGGCATCTTCAGGCAGCTACTGGGGTCTCAGTGCCTGGCACTAAGACCTCCAAGCTGCAGCCTGTCCTGGTGGTGATGGCAGCAGGGCCAGCCTTACCGTAACATACATAGTATTTGGTAATCACTGAGTACATGCAATTACACTCAATGTTGGGCCATTCTTTCAGGTGGTTCTGCTGAATCCTCATCCCACTACTCACACCAAAGTTCTGTTCTGTTGTGGGAGGTTGCCAACGTAGGAAGTTGCCGACACACATTCTGAGATTACTGAATAACAAAGAACACTTGACTTGGTTTGGTGCATATTATATAGCTCAGGTATCACTAATGCTAACTAGCGACATTACCTGTACCCGCACATCGTTTACAATTACCAAATACCATATATTACACCTATTGTTAGGCAAGATGTGGCAGCTTATCACCTGTGTTTCTGCATGGCCTATGTGTGTAGTAGTGCATGTTTTCAGGAGGCTTTGGGATCAGGGGCTACACTGAGAGCAAGGGAAACCCGAAAGCAGGGCCTCCAGTGGCTTGTCCATAGTTTGCAGTGTTCCACCCTCTCCGAGACATCAGTTTGATGCTGCGGGTTACAACTATTGCTTCCACAGTCTCTCACTGAAGTTGGAGTCAAGCTCCTAAATCACACACTCCCAACACTACCATGCATTGCCACATGTGTGTTGTGGCTTTTTCTGTTTCAACCTGCAGGTTGTATGGAAGGAAGAGAACTTCTGAGCATGTTCAGAGTGACTGTCCTTCCTTATCAAGGCAAAGCCATTTCTTATGCTCCTGTATTAGGGGCACATGACTGGTCAGTTTAAGTCCTCATATACCACTTTTCTTTTTTAAAAAATTAAATGCCACCTGTGACCTCTGCCTAAATAATTTCAGCCTCTCCATGTCAAATTGCTTTTATGTATCAGTTTTTAAAAAAAAATCCATTAAAGTTTCTTGTTGATAACTTATAATTCCAAAACATGTACCAAACAATTTAAACCACAGAAATCCAAGCCACAGTGAAAAAGACAGAAGTCCTCAGCTTGACAGTGCTTTGATTCATACTGTTTGGGCTGCACCAGGAAGGAAATGGGGAAGTCAAAACAAATAGCTGAGTGCAGATATAATGGATTACATAGGAACACAGGAAGCTGCCTAATTCTGAATGAGACCATTGCTCTGTCCAGCTCACTACTGCCTACATTGACTGACTCTGCAGGGTTTCAGGCAGGGTTTCTTCTCAGTCCTACCTGGAGTTACCTGGGGCCTTTTGCATGCAATGCAGATGCTATAGGATCCTTCTCCTGATTGCTTGTAGCCTATGGAATAACCATAGTTGCAAGCAGTTGTACACCAGTTTAAGGATTTAAAGTGCTGTATTGGTAACCCATACAGCAACCCTCTATAGCAGGTCTTTGCTTTTATCCCACAGTAAAGTTAAGGCTACAATTGTAGTTTGCATATAGGCCATCAAGTGAGTCCATGCTGAGGTGTAATTTAAAGTGGGGAGTCAAATGCCTCAGTGAAGTCTTCTACTGGAACAATTTGTGCTGATTTAAACTAGTGCTATGCAAGCTTTCAGTGTGCACAGAAGACTTGATCAGATGACAACTCTCTTCTCTGGTCATTGGCCCCTATGGCAGCTTCCCTCTTGTGCCATCTTGTCCTTCATCTTGGGCAATAAAATGTCCTTCTGCACATGCCCTGACTACTGCTATTGCATGGAACTGATGGGAGTTTGGGCCCAGCACCCGCACGGTGCCTCCTTGATCTACCTGGATCAGTAGTCTGACTTGGTGTGAAGCAGCCGCCGCCGCCGCCTCCTCCTCCTCTAAATGACTCCCTGTCTTTTTGCTGCCTTACAGGTGGGCGGATTTGACGGAGCCAACCGCCTTCGGAGCGCAGAAGCTTACAACCCCATCGCCAACACCTGGAGGACCATCCCAACCATGTTCAACCCTCGCAGCAACTTTGGCATCGAAGTGGTGGACGACCTGCTCTTTGTGGTGGGCGGCTTCAATGGCTTCACAACAACGTTCAACGTTGAGTGCTATGATGAGAAGACGGACGAGTGGTACGACGCCCATGACATGAGTATCTACCGCAGCGCCCTGAGCTGCTGTGTGGTGCCAGGGCTGCCCAACGTTGGGGAGTACGCTGCCAGGCGGGACAACTACGTGGGGTCAGCTCAGAGAGATGAGGTCAAGTACTCCTCATCCACAAGTACACTACCTGTGTGAAAAGCTCTCCTTGACTAATAAAGCCCTCTAGCAAGAACTATATGCACAGGTGGATTCACCTTTTTTCTCCCCCTCCACCTTAAGCTGTGAGACTGGTCCGTGTGGGTGAGCTGGTGGCATATGTCCCTCCCCTGCCCAGGACCTTAACCAATCCCATTCTTTTATCCTTTAGGAAGTCATAGAGCTGACCTATAGGATATGAACAAAGCTGTTGAGAACAGTGATGGGATTCAGAGAAGAGCCACGAAGGGGAAAGAGGGATTTGCCATTTGTGCTGCTATTGCGCTGACACACAAAAAAGAGTAGTAGGGGAGGACTCTCAAGGCACTCGGAAATGTTAAAAGGCATGCAAAGGCTACTACTAGGAAAATGTTGATTGTGGGTTAGTCTTGCTTTATATGTATCCAGTGATATAGTTCCTACCCTCCATTCTGCCAGATGAAGAGCCATTTGTAAGTAGAAAGCTTGCATATTCCTGCCGCGATAGAAGCTGATCCAATAAAACCCATTAAGCCAGACTACCCATTTTCCATTTCTTATTCAGAACAGCAGTAACAGACCTTGCCAAGCAAAACAGGCATTCCACAAGATGTCCCTGTTACAATCTGTAGTTTTCTTTAGACACTTGGCTTACCTAGTTGTACTTAACAGATTTTATTTTTTAAATTTCAAAATATCGTCATTTTGGCATAATGTGTAATTTCTTAGGAGAATCTTCATAAACAGAAAAAGTATGGAGCACTGAATGTTTCTAATAGTTATGCCAAAACATTCCTAGGAATGTGCATCTGCCACTGAAACAGCAACCCTACGCTCTGCCTCCTCTTCCCTAGCAATATGCATTACTGCAGCCTGTGTGACCTCCCTGTCATTAGGTGGTGGAGTTGGGCTGTATGTGCTGGCCCTACCTGCTGTATCTTCATCCTCTGTCCTTCCACTCTTCCCTCCAGACCTCCACGCCTTAGACAGGAAGTCTGATTAAGTGAGGAGCTTGCAGGTGCATATACCATTCCCCCCTTCAGACCTTCTGCCCAGTGCATAGAAGTGGGCTTTCATTGGGTCTACTCTAAGTAGGACTAACATTGACTACCACCCATAGAATCTAATAACAGATCAGCAAACACAAGTATGGCATTGTCTACCTTGCATGGCTGTGGTTCTCTAATTTCATGCATAGGTTTTTCGCATCACCGGTCAGCTGATCCTTTTAGCACAGCAGGAGAAGGGTTTTTTATGACAGGTGGGGGGGGTCCTATTTCCTTCCCTTCAGGGCCTGGAAAAGACTACAGAGCTTGTGTTTCAGTTGGTTGGGCCCCTGAACAACAGCTCTCTGCTTAGAGCAAGGATAGGGAATAGGTGGTCTTGCAAGTGTTGATCAAGCCAACGTGATCTATGGTCAGCAATGAAGGGAGTTGAAGTGCATCAACATATGAAGGGACTACAGTTTCCCCATCCTTGACTTAAAACGGTGGGAATGCCCTGCAACATTTTGATTCAGGCCCTGCTTGTAATACCTAGTTCTCTAAAGAGACCTTCTGCAAGTTTAGCTTTAGTTCATCCTGCCTCTTTTCTTCAAATAGCACTAATGCAAGCACAGAGTGGTCTTCCTACTGCAGTTGTTAACGTTCTAGGTGACACGGCACACACTCGTTATTTGACGCATGCTTTTGGGAATTGTAGTTTAAAATATCTGGAGTGCTCCCCCTTGGAAAGCTGTTACAGATTGTAGCCTTGGTCTTTTGCATCATGCCCAGGAACATCTTTTTTTTCTCCTGCCCACACTTCTGGCTTTGGGTAATATATCTTAACTGAGGAAGACTTTTGTGAAACTTGAAAGCTTGCTCTCTTCTGTGTTGTGACTTTTTGTTGGGCCCTACTAAAGCCAATGGGGGAACATTTTAGTTTCCCAGAACAGTCTGCAGCTGATCTGAAGGTAACCATTACTGGGAAAAGGAACTTCAAAGGCAGACTGTGAAGCCTTTGAATTGCAGTATTTCAAGAAGTTCAGTGCTATCACTTGTGGGCTGAAGGACTACAACTACCTGCCCACGATCCCTTTAAAGCACATTCAAGGCACATTCTTTCCTCAAATAATTCAAGGCTCTAGTTTATATCTCACAGAGTTACAATTCCCGAGAACCCCTTAACCAACTACAGGGTCCATAATTTTTTGAGAGGGGGAAATGTGCTTTAAAGATAAAGGCTGTGTACACACTATATCATGCTACATGTCTTAAATGAGTTACTGATGAAGGATTGTGCTATCAAATATTTTGGGTAAGAATGGTTTGCTTAGGTTTATTGCATTTTTTAATTGCTTGCCACAGTGAAAAGCCTCCAAGTGATTTACAAAAAGAATAAAATACATAATAAAATTGTGTTAGCATCCAGTCACTCTTACCCAAATGTCCACTGCAGGGAGGGGGGGATGTCTTTGCTACCAAAATGACAAAGTTGGTTCCAGGAAAGCCTCCCTGGGGAGAGCACTTCCTAGGGCTGGGGATCTACTACAGAAAAGGTTTGTTCTATCATTGCTACCCTCTAGACCTCCCTTGGAGGAAGCATGCAAAAAATGGCATATGACAATTTCAGGGTCCCTATGGATTCATAAAGGGAAAGGCAGCTCTTTGGTTATAGGCGTTCTGAACCATATACGGCTCTAAAAGTCAATACCAGCACTTTTGAGACCAGAAACAAATTGGTGGAGAGTGCAGTCAGACCAGAACCAGAGTGAAGCATTCATGTTTTGTCCCCATTAACAGCCTAGCAGATGCTTCCTGCACCAGCTGTTGTTTCCAAGCCGCCCTCAAAGGCAGCCCCATGTACAATGTGTTGCAGTAGTCTAACCTGTTAATAAGGCAATTGTCACCACCTGTACTTTTCTGTGCTTCCTTTTCCCTCTGACCTCACTTTGCAATCCTCACAAACATGTATATTTGTACCTTCATTCATCAAGTTATACCATAAATGTGTTAGTCTTAAGAGATCCCAAAACTATTTGATTATACTTCAATGTTTGGATTTCTCCCCCTACTGGGCCAACACTTGTTGTTTAGTTGTTTAGTCATGTCCGACTCTTCGTGACCCCATGGACCAGAGCACGCCAGGCACTCCTGTCTTCCACTGCCTCCGGCAGTTTGGTCAAACTCATGTTCGTAGCTTCGAGAACACTGTCCAACCATCTCATCCTCTGTCGTCCCCTTCTGCTTGTGCCCTCACTCTTTCCCAACATCAGGGTCTTTTCCAGGGAGTCTTCTCTTCTCATGAGGTGGCCAAAGTATTGGAGCCTCAGCTTCACGATCTGTCCTTCCAGTGAGCACTCAGGGCTGATTTCCTTAAGAATGGTTAGGTTTGATCTTCTTGCAGTCCGTGGGACTCTCAAGAATCTCCTCCAGCACCATAATTCAAAAGCATCAATGCAATTTTTATTTGAATCACGAATTATCAGGAGGTGTGCATTAGGAAAAACAAGCCCACATTGAGGTAACGTGACTTTGGGCTTTCCAGTCGTGGCACATTCTAACCCGACGAGCTCTCCAGCAGGGCAAAGAATACGTCTGGTTTTAGGATGCTACTTTCTCTTCCATACAACGCCACCCTTCCCAGAGGGGAAACTCAAGTGCGTCGAGAGAAGAAAGGGTGCGCGTTTCAGCTGCAATGCTTTGTGGGTGATGTAGTCTTAGCCCTTGTATCCAATACCAAAACAGCCGGCTTTCGACATTCTTTTGCGGGGGGGGGGGTGTTCTCCCTTTCTCCCTTTGGCTTAACTCTGTGCCCTCTGTGCCTGCTGGGTAATGTAGTCCTTTCTCTTTTCCGGCGCTGCTACAGCTGGGATTAATTTTTGCACATTTCCAACTTGGAAAGCGGCCAGCGTCGCGAGAAATAATGTTGGGTGTTGCCTGGCTGGAAAGTTGAGAGGTTCTCACGGTGAGGACTCCGTTTCTCGGAGTGGCTGCAACGTACGGACTACAATTCCCAGATCCAAAGGGGCGAGGAAGGGTTGCCCGTTCCAGGGGGCTTGGCGAGATCTCCCAAGGCACGAGCGCCCGGCGCGGTAAAGGGAATGCGAGGTAAAGCGGGAGGGATGGAGACGCAGGTGGGCTGAGCAGGTGGAGGGATGCAGGGAGGAGAGAGGCGGGAGGAGCGTCTAGGGACTGTCTGCTCGCCATCAGTCGCATGGAGCCGCTTACGTGTCTCTAAGAAAGAGGAAATGCAGCGCCGGGAGTTGCGCGGGGGCAAACGAGGATACAGATTTGCCTACAATTTGCAAGTGGCAATTTATGCCTATAGATGCAAATTTAGAAATAATTGCTGTAATTTAAACCAGGAATAAAACGCATCTCGCCATAGCGGGGGGAGACTGGCCAGGTCAGCTGCCTGTCTGCTGTCTGGGGATGGGCAAGTTCAAGCCATCTCTACGCTGCTTTTGCTTCTGATGGGGTTTGGTTGTTTTTTTTAACCTTTCAACTACAATGGGACCAGGCAGCCCTTCAGCAGAGGGCTGTCCTTTGTAAAGTAGGGGGCACACACACACACACACAATCACAATCTGAACACTCTGGCATGGGCATGAAGATGTAATGCACTTACATGCACTTTATAATTTTGCATCTTTTTTAATCCCCCTCGTTATGGGGAAAGGAAAGGCGTTACGCAGTGTACTGAAGCAGCCAGGGTTGCTGGATGAGTCTTTTGGAATGATCCTCTGAGGTGGCCAATTCTCATGCAACAGTGAACCCGTGTCCAATCTTATCAACCACCCCTTGTGGTACAGTATCAGCCGAGAGGGTCCGCCTTCCTTATGGCCTTCCTTATAGCAAGTTTCGCAGCTGAGTGTAGATTTGAACCTGGATCTTTTCTTGTGTATAAACTGCTCCCTGCACTTTACCATCTTCCAGATGCAGCTGAGCACCTGGCCTTAAAGCGTTTTTCCTGAAGGAGGTTCCTCTCAAGGTTTTCCCACTGCATCCTCAGCCTGCAAAGGATCACTGCTTGGAATGACAGATGTGTAGGATTTTGGAGCAGATGGGACCCAGGGACCAGCACTTTTTGCTCTTCCCCTTCTTGATGCTCTTCCTTCTGCCTGGATATTTAGCATTGCTGGACACTGATGGAGGCTGGTGAGTAGGTACACAGTCAAAAAATGGATCAGTGAGATCCATATATAATCCCTTCATGCATGAACTCACATTTTGAAAGGTTCCCTTCCTCCTGTATCACATTTTTGCCTCAATTTCAACCAATGCCCTGTTTGTTTGTTTGTTTAATTCGTTCATTGTTGCACAGTCTCCTTTCCCTGCTTTAGGGCCGTGTCTTTATTTGTTGTACTTTAATTGTGATCACTTTAGCATGTTACTGTGTTAATAGCCTTGAGAACTGTGAAAGCAGGACCTGTAGAATATAGAAACAAACAAATGAGCTGGAGCTGGTTTTCAAGTGCTCAGGTCTGATTCATTCAGGGGGAGTCAGAGAGAGGGGAAGTGAGAATAGGGGTGTCAGAGAATAGGGGGTGTCGGAGGGGAATGGGGAGTGTCGGGGAGAGAGAGAGAGAGAGAGAGAGAGAGAGAGAATGCTCTGTCTCCACCCTTTGTTGGTTTGGCCTTGCCCCCACCCCAGCATAAAGAGACCAGGACCCTGCATTCATCATCTGAGGCCCTTCTTCATGTGCCTCCTCCACAAGAGGTCTGGCAACACGAAAACTGGCCTTTTCTGCAGTGGCTCCCCATTTGTGACTCCCCTCTCCCCAGGGAGGCTCACCTGGCGCCTTCATTATACATCTTTAGGCAGCAGGTGAAAATGTTCCTCTTCAACCAGGCCTTTGGCTGCTTAACACTCTGTGTCCTTTTAAATATGTTTGGGGGAGGGGAGGTTTTTGTTTTGTTTTGTTTCTTTTCTTGGTTTTTATTACGTACTCTGTGGGGGGGGGGGCAGTTCTGTATTTTTATGCTGTGAACCATCCTGAGATCTTTGGGTGAAGGGTGGCACACACAATTTTTTTAAAAAAATATATATATATAAATCTAATAATAATAACATGCTGCCCCCAGAAAGATTACCCTTGAGAGAATGAGGCCCTCAGCTGTAAAAAGGCTCCTCACCCCTGCTATAAATGGATATGAAAAATATCCTGTATTTTAAGGACTGCCTTTCTCCACTCCTTCTCCCCTCAGGTTGACAAGCAGCCACTCTGCGTTATTGGAAGAAGACAGCTGTACCATTGAGAGGAGGGATGCCACGCTAACCTACTCCCAGTTCATTGAACAGTAAGTGGCAGGGGTGCAGATCTGAAGGCGCAAACCATCCCCCGACCCAAGCTAGTTCGTTAAGAAAATCCCCAAACTCGGTTCCATGGGTGACCCTGGGTCATCTCTCTGCGGTAGCTTTTCTTAAAGTTTTAAGTGTCTATACGCTTATTGCATTTATAAATTTTAAATTTATTGTTGTACATTGTTTTAAATGTTTGTTTTCCTTCTGGGATTTTACCCCCAAGTGTGTTTTATAAGCTGATCTCCAACCGTAATAAATTATCTTTCTATCTTCTGAGTGGCAGGGACGTTTTTTCTGCTTACCTGTTTTTGTCATCATCAGAGGGCGGGGGGGGGTCCACATTCTTGGAAAAGGAGGGAGGGAGAGGTCTGTGAGATTATCATCTTCATTATACCTGCACCTTCCTTCGAAGGAGCCAGGGCAGCAAACGTATCAATAGATAATTAAAAAAAGAAAAGAAACAGTGCAAAACAACCTTCTAAAAAGAAGTCTATAACTCCTAAAAGCAATCACCTATTCTTAGACTAATAATTTCAAGGTTGCCAGGGCAAAAACCTTAAAATGCCTGGCTATCCAGGCTTGGAGGGTTTCCATCCTTTTCCACATATACACAAGGTTATCACAGGTGACCTTTTTGCTGTTTATGAGCAGCACAGTCCTCTGCATGCCTACTCAGAAGTAAGACCCACCGAGTTACCCACATGATACCCTGCTCTATTCCATGGGCAGCATCTGAGGTGCCACAGGCTCCCTGTTCCTATTATAAATATAGTGTTGAATCTTAGGGAACTTCCAGAATGATGTGTTGGCTGAGCATTCGCCCTGATTTGTTTGCCGGGAGATTAGAGGATGTTGGCTATTTAATTAGCATTCGTTCTGATCTGTTTGGTGATAAGCCAGATAAGCAAATGTTATCCCATACTTTCCAGTACATTTCCTCATCACTTTGCTTATCTCAAAAAGACTGAACTTCCTCAGGTCTGTTCCACAAGACCTCCCAATCAGCTATATCTGCTCAACACGAATTTGCATGCAATTGATTGAATTCCAGCCAGGAATAAGGACAGGCGTGTCTTTGTTGTCGTTATGGTGCCTCTTCAAAATCTTCCTTTTTCTCCTTGGAAGTGGAGGTTCTCATCCCCATCTGCATCTGTACATAGGAAGCTACTTTATATCTAGTCAGTTTCCTTGGTTCATCCAGCTCCATATTGTCTACACTGGCTGGCAGTGGCTCTGCTGGGTTTCAAGCAGGGGGCATTTCTAGCCCTCCCTGGAGATGCCAGTGGGATTCACCCTGTGACGTCTTGCATGCAAGGCCTTCCCATTTGACATCAAAATGTTTTAATACAGTGGTACCTCGGGTTACATACGCTTCAGGTTACAGACACTTCAGGTTACAGACTCCACTAACCCAGAAATAGTACCTCGGGTTAAGAACTTTGCTTCAGGATGAGAACAGAAATCATGCTCCGGTGCCGTAGCAGCAGCAGGAGGCCCCATTAGCTAAAGTGGTGCTTCAGGTTAAGAACAGTTTCAGGTTAAGAACAGAACTCTGGAACGAATGAAGTACTTAACCCAAGGTACCACTGTATATGCAATTGTTTTTTTAAATGTAAGATTGTTGGAACTGTGTTTTTATTGTTAAATCGCTTTGAGATGTTTTATAGGCAGTGATGCATAAATGAAACTAAATCAAGAGCTGCCTGTTATATACAACAGTGGCTGACATTGGTGTCTCAGATTTCAGTGGCACCTGTGCAGTGCCAAAATCTGGCAAGCCACCCCCCCCATCTCTTGCCTTCTGTTGGATGTCATAATTGCGGCGCCCCCTGCAGCACCCCAGAAGCTCTGCACCCAGTGAGATCGTACTGGTCACTTTCCCCTAGATCTGCCTTTGCATACAACAGCTGTACCTGTCTTATTTGCTTCTTAGGTATGCCTTCTCTCGGCCAGTTATACTCCAAGGAATAACAGACAACTCGGTGAGTGTCTCCACAACTGCACATTCAGGTTAAACATTAGAAAGAAGACTTGGTGCTGGCCCAATTTCATAAGCTGGATCTCCAGGGTCTCAGGCATGTGTCTCTCCCAGTCCTGCACCCGGAGATCCCCAGGGATTGAACCTAAGATCTTCTGCATGCAAAGCAAACAGATGCTCTGCTACTGAGCTGTGGCCCTTTCCTTTAGGAACACAGGAAGCTGCCTTATTATGTCAAAGTAGATCATCGGTCCATCTAGCTCAGCACTGTCAATGGGATCTTTCGAGATTCCTTCCAACTCTGATTCTACTCTTATCTCCTTCTATTACCTACAGGAGTTCCAGGCCCAATGTACCAAGGACAAGCTGTTGACCAGGTTTGGGGACCGCCCTGTCCGTCTTAGCACCGCCAACACCTATTCTTACCGCAAAGGTGAGGGCAGGGTGGCCAAGATGCTTTCTGGAAGGAACCAGAGTGGGCTGGGCTTGAGCCTGCAGAAGGCCAGTTGCTCCACTGTGAATGGAAAATGGTCAGTAGTTCATAGGTGGGGAACCTGTGGCTCTCTAGATGTTGTTGGACTGCCAAGTCCCATCATCCCCAGCCAGCAGGGCCAGTGTTTAGAGGTGAGAGTCTCCTCCATCTCTGGTCTCATGCCAAGTAGGACACCTCTTTGAGGGAGATGCATGCCCATTGGCTGCATTCAGCATCACTGACTTCCTTTTTGCAGTTGACCTGCCCTTCCAGGAGTATGTGGATCAATTGCTGGAGCCGCAGGACCAGACCTCTTTGGGGAGTGGTGAGTAGGGCTTCCCGCAACACCAGAACTCGGGACCAGCCGATGAAGCTGAACGCTGGAAGATTTGGGACAGATGAAAAGAAGGACTTGCTCATGCAGTGCCTAGTGAAACTATGGAACTTGTCCCCATAGGAGGCAGTGAGGGCCAGCAACTTGGATGGCTTTAAAAGAGGACTGGGCAGATTCCCAATGGCTACTAGCCATGGTGGCTCAGCTCTGCCTCCACTTTTAGAGGCAGTAATGCTTCTGAATACCAGTTGCTGGAAATTTCAGGAGGGGAGAGGGCTCTGGGGTGTTCACATAGGCAACAGGTTGGCCACTGTGAGACGAGGATGCTGAACTAGATAGGTCATTGGTCTGATCCAGCAAGCTCTTCCTATGGTCTTTGGTACTGTTTTGTTCTTGGAGGCTAAGGGGAGAATATAGGGACATCTCAGATGTCACAGGAGAGTTGGAGCAGCCTCCTTGCTCTGCCTTAGCCTCCTTCAGCTAATACTGCCCCTCAATGAATCCTAGCTGCCCTGTCTGTCTGCTGCCTTTAGTTTTTCCTGATGCTACACAAACCTGTTTTGCACCCAATCCAGCCACCTTGCCCATGCCCTGACTTTTCCCTTGCCAACCACAGGATTAATAGATGCTATCCTACTCTAGAATTGCTTCCCCTGCTTTTTAACACCTGCCTCAGGAGCTGAGCTTGGCCTCCATCCTGCCATGCAGTCCCTGGTGGGTCGTATTCAGGGGCCAATTCCTTGCTTCCCCCCCTCTCCTCCCTGCACAACTGGCAGTGCCACCTTTTTGCTGTTGAGACAGCCAGGCTCCACTTGCTGCTGGCGCAACAGGAAGGCTAAGCTTCTCTTCTCAGCCCAGCTCTTTGTTCAAGGGACTGAACATGTCCTACCGTCATGAAAATCCAACAGTTTGCTTTCGGAACGGGACACAAAATTGATTACAGGATGTTTTTTCTGTTAAGTAAAGGTCTACGGTTGTGCTCTCTCTCCTCCTTGCAGAAACACTCTACTTCTTTGGGGACAACAACTTCACGGAGTGGGGCCCTCTCTTCCAGAAGTATACCCCGCCACCCTTCCGGATCCCAGGCACCACTGGAGCCTACAGTTTTGGGATTGCAGGTCAGTCTCTGGGGCATCAAAGGGATGGAAAGGCAGCCGGCACTTGGGAATTGTTATCCAATGTGTGCTTTGAAGGGGCCTGATCCTCACCCCGAGCCTACTCATGTAGATATTTTGCCCCAATTGCTCTGTTTATTTTTATTTTATTTATACGCCACTTTTCTTCTAAGGAGGTCAAGGTGGCATACATCTTTCTCCTCCCTCTCCATTTTCTCCTCACAACAACCCTGTGAGGTAGGCTAGGCCGAGAAGCAGTGCCTGGCCCAAGCTCACCAGGTTTCATGGCTGAGTGGGGATTTGAACCCTGGCCTCCCGGCTCCTAGTCCAACACTCTAACCACTACATCACACTGCCTCTCAGGCTCTATAGGGGTTTTCATTTCTGTGAATTTCAGCTGGTTTCAAGGCAGACCCCAGGCCTTCACCCTCGATTTATTTCTTTAGCGGTCTTCCATAGGGATAGGGAAACTCAGACCTTGGGGCCGAATGTGGCCCTCCAACACTCTCTGTCTGGCCCTTGGGACTCTTTCCAGGTCATGCCCCTTCCCTCCAGGCCATTCCTCTCACCGACGCTACTTTGCACTCTCCCTGAATTTTTTTGCCTGGCTGTGGAATGTGTCCTTGAAGGCTTCTTGCTTGCTTTTCTTTTAATGGTCATGGGATTCCGGGCATAGCCTTTCTGAGGGAAAAGTGCCAGTGAATTGGTTATCTTGCCACCTGGGCAGAGAGACGGCTGCAGGATTGCTCAAGGTCATAGTGGTGCAGCAAAACTCAGCAGCTGCAGCTGTGTAGCCCTAACAGTGGGTACACTCTCCAGTGCTGGAAAGTGCTTGGCTAAAGGAGAAATCTACCCTCCTATATCGAAACCTTATGGTGTGAAGAAGAAAACAAGAACAAAACATCCAAGTCTGGTAATGGCAGCAGAGAGAACCTGAAGCAGCAGCAAGATTATTCCCATGGCATTTGCTGCCATCAGCCTTCCTCTGAGACAAGGGAATGGTCTGAACACCTGGATCCTACTCAGCCCAGGTTGGAGGCAAGTCCTTGAGTTTCGTAGTGGAAGAAAAGCAAGATATGTAGCTCTTACATTTACAGTGTAGTGTTCTCCACCCCCACCCCCATTTTGTCGTCACAACTCCAGGAGGCAGATCTTTTAATGTTGTGTTTTAATTGCTGTAACCCGACCTGGGACTGTAGGGAGATGGGCAGGTAATGAATTAACTAATAATATCAGTAAACGGACTGAAAGCCAGTGGCTGGCGCAAGGCCAGTCAGCAAACTTCATGGTGGAGCATGGATTTGAACCCATGTCTCCAAGGCCCTAATGCAACACTCCAATCGCTGCACCACACTGTCAATCAGAAATCTAGTCTATAAGCAGCCCAGCCATTTGGTACCGTGAATCAGCCTGCATAACTCAGTTGGTTAGAGCATGGTGCTGATAATGCCAAGGTTGCAAGTTTGATCCCCGTAAGGGACAGGTGCATATTCCTGCATTACGGGGAGTTGGACTAGATCAGAGCTTTCCAAACTGTGTGTCGTGACATGTTAGTGCAGGTATAGGCAAACTCCGGCCCTCCAGATGTTTGGGACTACAATTCCCATCATCCCTGACCCCTGGTCCTGTTAGCTAGGGGTGATGGGAATTGTAGTCCCAAACATCTGGAGGGCCAGAGTTTGCCAATGCCTGTGTTAAGTGTGTCGGCTGCAGTGTGTGACACGAGTGCTCCCTGCGCTCCTTCCAGGACTGGGAAGGAGTTAGTTTAACCTCTGGTTTGCTAGTACAGGTGTCTAAAAAGTGTGTCGCCAACATGAAAAGTTTGGAAAGCTCTGGACTAGATGATCCTCAGGGTCCCTTCCAAGTCTACAATTCTGTGATCTATGTCTTGATGGTAATGCTCCTTGAAAAGAAATGCTAATTTCCTCCCTTTTTTTTTCCCCTTCTGTGGTCGTTTGCAGGCCCCGGCTCGGGAGTCCCGTTCCATTGGCACGGCCCAGGTTACTCGGAGGTGATCTTCGGCAGGAAAGTAAGTGCTTCGGCTGGAGCAATGAGAGGGGCTGTGATCGCCCACCTTTGCATGCAGGTGGTCAGCCTGCACCTGCTAGGTGGTCTTGTTTGAGACATCAGCCATGGGTGGGGTGGGGTGGGGGGCTAAACTGGACTGGATGCTCTTCAAGAGCCTGTTCACCCACCATCTGGGAGGCCACAGGTTCCCCATCCCTTTTACTGTTCCTACCAGCTAAGCCCTTCCCTCTGTCTCCGTAGCGCTGGTTTCTGTATCCTCCAGAGAAAATGCCAGAGTTCCATCCCAACAGAACAACACTGTCTTGGTTGTTGGATACATACCCCTTTCTGCTGTCGTGGGAGAAGCCGCTCGAGTGCACCATCCACCCCGGAGAGGTGAGTCACGGCTGTGGCCCCATTTCCAAAGTTCCAGCCCTTGCCTACATTACTGTAGAGCCAAGTCAAACTGTTGGTCCATCTTGCTCAGTGTTGCCTGCATTGACTCGCCATGTTTCTCCAGAATTTCAGGCAGAAATCCTGGCTGGTGCATATCTACACAAATTGCTGCACTCTAGGGTGGCGCTGTGGGTTAAACCAGAGCCTAGGACTTGCCAATCAGAAGGTTGGCGGTTCGAATCCCCACAACAGGGTGAGCTCCCGTTGCTCAGTCCCTGCTCCTGCCAACCTAGCAGTTCGAAAGCACGTCAAAGTGCAAGTAGATAAATAGGTACCGCTCCAGCAGGAAGGTAAATAGCGTTTCCATGCACTGCTCTGGTTCACCAGAAGCGGCTTAGTCATGCTGGCCACATGATCCGGAAGCTGTATGCCGGCTCCCTCGGCCAATAAAGCGAGATGAGCACCGGAACCTCAGAGTCGGTCATGACTGGACCTAATGGTCAGGGGTCCCTTTACCTTTACCTAGCCTGCCACAAGCTTGTGTGGCATCTCTGGTCAGGTGTCATGGGCCCACTGCTGTCACCTGCTCTGAAATTGGCTCTGCAGCCTCGGAAGGTTGACCTGGATTGTTCTTTAGGAGATCTGCTTCATGTCGGACTGCTTGCTTAGCTTCCACTTTTGCTTCCTTTAAGTCTCCAGTGTTCCTTCATTGCAAGGAAGCTAAACATGATAGCACAATCCCCTGAAACCTCTCACAGGAGGGGTGTGTAACAATAGGGACTTTAGCAAGGCATGGTGTTGCCAGGCCCCATTAGTCCTTGCTTTGTTCTCTCCCTCTCCTCTGCCTTCCCTATAGGTCCTGTACTTCCCAGACCGATGGTGGCATGCTACCTTGAATCTGGACACCAGCGTTTTCATCTCCACATTCCTGGGTTAGCAGATCTGCATGGTGGCTCCTCCTTGGCCTTCTTGCCACTACTCCTGTGATGGTGTACGAAGAAGCAGGATTTGTCGACAACATTTGGGGAATCTGGGGCTAGTGATGGTGGAGCCACCCCAGTCTCTCACTGGATCATAGCACAGAATTAAGGAGAAGGCAGGTGGTGGTCTGCTAGTGGACTTCCCAATGTTTTGGACTACAACTCCCATGATCCCTGCCCACTGACAATGCTGGCTAGGGCTGATGGGAGTCATGATCCCCTCCAGATGTTTGGACAATGTCACCTACCCCTCGTCTGAAAGATGACTTGCTATAGCCTTTTCTAATCTGGAACCTACTAGACCGCAACTTCCATTAGCCTTGACCACTGGTTCTGTAGGCTGGGTCTGATGTGGGGCGTTGTAGTCCAACATAATCTGGGGAGCCATGGGTTTCCCCATTCCTGGGTAAAAAATGGACAAGATGATGATGAATCAGAAATTTCCAGTGACCACCCTTTGTAATAGGCAGGTCCTCTAATTATAGCCTTACATTCCAGGAAGGAAATGTGACTTCCGAATGACTTAAGAGTTGAAAATTTGAGAGTCCTCAGATGAAGTTAAATAGGCTGTTTGCATGTAGTCACCTGTGATAAACAACAGTAGGGTACTCTTTACAGCTGGATGCCCATTTATTTTTTAAATAAGCCCTATTCCTATCCGGTTTAGCTGGTGCAAAAAAATTAAGCTGGTGATGTTGTTTCTCTTTCTTTCCCACCAGCTGGGCCTCTGCTAAGAAAAGCTTCACTGGTGAATTTCTGCATATCAGGCTGATGTTAGGGGAGTAGGGCTCACCCACAAATGCAAGGTTTGGGGAAATTCGAGTTTTTACAGATCTTCTTTGTACCACAAAAATGTGACCTATTCCAAGTTTTCCCCGTTGATTCCTCTCGTCTTCGCTTCCTGCCATGAAGCCCCAGTTCCATTTTTTGTTTGTCATTCATCATCTCTGGCAGGGAACCTCTGGCCCTCCAGTTGTTCATGGGCCTCCCGTCTGCATTGCCGATGGTCTGGGATGATGAGAGAGCTCCAACTCAGCAATACCTGGAGGGCCACAGGTTTCACACTTCTGTCCAAGGCAATCAGGGATCACATCCAATGCACTTGCAGAGGTGTAACTCAGGGGTGAGGGGTCTTGTGCCCTCCAGCTGCTACTGAGACTCCTCCAGCTCCATCAGTTCCAGCCAACATGGTAAGCAGTCAAAGATGATGAAAGTTCTAGCCAAATGACAGCTGGAGGGCCATGCATTCCCCAAGCTGCAATTTAGTGCTTTGTGGACAGATGCTGCCTAAATGGTTTTTCCAGCCACATGAGACTTTCCAGAAACACGTTTGCCTCTGACGTTCACTAGTTTGCGATAAAGGCAGACTCAGCCCTGCTTCTGATGCCAAATTGGATTTGCAGCTTTAGGTCACTCACATGCGTTCATAGGAACATGGGAAGCTGTTGTCAGGCTGTGTGCCCAACCAGCCCAGGATTGTTGAGTGATTGGCAGCAACTCTTCATCAGTCAGATAAGAGCCTTTCCCATCAGCCCTTTTAACTGAAGGTGGCTGCCATGGAGTTCCTACATGGCTTCTCAGCTTGAGCATGGTGCTCATCAAGTGATAAACTGCAGGACCAAAAGGGCCTCCGCCGTTCCAACAAGGCAGTTTATATCAGGGGTTGTGAACCTGTGGCTAGCCAGCTACCGTTGGACTCCCAACTCCTAGCAGCCCCAGCCAACATAGCCAATGGTGAGGGGTGATGGGAGATGGAGCCCAACAAAATCTAGAGGGCCGCAAGTTCCCCAGATGTGCTTTACCCCTCTTCAGATTAAATTAGATCTGCTAACACCATTTTGCTTCTCAAAGTTTTACCTTTTTATAAAAAAGAAAAAGGGTTTTGTTTTGCAAAGTTCTTGGAACAAAGGCAGCAAGTGGAACATTTGCCAGCAGAGTGCCCCTATTTTACAGAGAACAGCTGGGCTACATGTGTGTGCTTGTATGGGGAAAATCTCAGCAATAGAGATTGAGAGCCTTCACTGTCTGCATTTGCTGGATGGTCCTTGTTGTTCATGCTGACCTCCTAGGAATAACAGTGGAGGGATGGGCAGGGAGTGGATGGGACCAATTTCCAAAGAAGTGCTTTTGAAAGTTGAGTCTGGGGTCACGCTCAACTGTTTTTTCTTTGCAAGCGATACAAAACAAATGCAATTGTTTCTTGAAAGCAGTCAACTTCGTTTTTGGATTTAAAATATGTTTCAAAAACCTGAACTGCTTGTAAAGTGGTCTTCATGTAGTTTTATTTTGGGGGGTGGGATGGGGGAAGGATATAAATGGGGAAATACATTAAAAACAAGAGAGGCTGCACTGCTAAGGTTTGTGTGGGCGTTTTAAAGGAATGCTTTCTCCTTAATTCTGATTTCCAAGTATATAGTAAACAGGCTGTGATTGCTGGAGGTAAAGCTTTCTAGACGGGCAGTTCTTTTAATAATGCAGAATTGCATGCGCTTTTTTTGCAGCAGGGATGGGGAACCTTTGACCCCTTTGGATATTGCTAGACTTCAGCCGCTCCAGCCAGCACACCCAGTGGTCAGACATAATGGGAGCGCTTGCCCAACAAAACCGGGAGCACTTTACAGAAGGGGTGAAAAGGCTAAAGAGATAGGGAGGGCTAGTAGATGATGCTCAAGCAAGGCCTACAAGAAATTCCACCCCACCTTCCATTTCCATTTGCTTCATAGAGTGTAAGAGCAAACTCATTTCCCCCCACGGAAGCACAGTCAAAACAACAGCACCCAGACCAGAGAGGTAGCAGCAGGTTTGGGGGAACCCCATGGATTGCAGAAGTACAATTGTACCCCCCTCAAAAAACCAAAACGGCAGTGGGCACAGGATGCAGACTGCTGAGGGGGAAAATGGGACAGTGGGAAATGTAATGGAGGCCTCAAAAGACAGTGTGGCTGACGGGCACCTGTAACTAAAGCCTGTCACGCACTGCAGCAGTTTGTCTCAAGTCTCATTCATAATGTTAGTGGGAAAATGTGGGATATACCGTGGTACCTCAGGTTACATACGCTTCAGGTTACAGACTCCGCTAACCCAGAAATAGTGCTTCAGGTTAAGAACTTTGCTTCAGGATGAGAACAGAAATTGTGCTCTGGTGGCAGCATGAGGCCCCATTAGCTCAAGTGGTGTCTCAGGTTAAGAACAGTTTCAGGTTAAGAACCGACCTCCGGAACGAATTAAGTACTTAACCCAAGGTACCACTGTACATTAAAAGCTGGGAGATACCTACCACACTAATAGCTAGCCAAGAGATCCACCTTAAACAGAAACTGCCCTTGCCCACAAAACCACCACCCTCCTCAAAATTTCATGCTCAGATATTTATTTACCAGTGTAACCAAAATTGGAGAGATTGCATGTTAATCCCTGCCCCCTTTTAAAGGACCAAAACTCCCCGCAATAATATTAACTATGCTTCAAAATATCCCTTTGTTATTAGGGAGGAGTTTTAAATAAAACAACAACAAGAAGAAGGAACTTTCAGTGGTTTAATGGGAAAACAACTACCTGGAACAGAGCCGGGGGCTCAGCTTCCCACACAAGCAGGTGCTTCCCCCAACCAAACCCAAATTCCAGTCGTCTGTATAATAATTATTAGATCTCTGTGCCCACCTCCACCACCCAGCCCCAAATATGTGGCTATTTATTTACAGAGTAAAGAGGCCAAACAATAAAAATAAACCCAACTATCCTGGGCAGGCAGGAAAATGGAACGAGGTGGGAAGGGAGGGGTGAACCTAAAACTTTGTACAGAGAGAGAAAGGAGTGGGAAGAAAGCTCAAAGCCAAGCTGGGGGGGGGCTGGGGAGAACCGGGAGGGGGGCAGTCCAGCCCCTTCAGCTTGTGGCTTGCCGCAAAGGCCGAGCCCAACAACTGCAGCATAGTCAAAGTGGGAAGGGATGTGTGTGTGTGTTGAGGGAAATGTGTCCATCTGCCTGGAGGGCTGTGGGGTGCAGTTTGCGGGGCCGACGTGGTATCCTTCATATGCCACTGTGGGGTGTCTGCCCCTCACACAACGCATTTCGTGGCCCTCAGGGAAAGTGCTGCTGCGGGCCTCCCTCCTCGAAACAGGGCTGGTCTTCCCCGCCACCTCAGAGCCAGGCCTGAGGCTCCCAGCTTTGCCCATGTTGGAAAGCGGCCTGGGACCAAGCCGACGCCAAGGAGGCTTTTCTGCAGCCCTGGCCCACCCCAGGGAGGTGACATACGGGCCCCGAGCTGGCACAGGATGAGGCGGCCCGGCCAGCCGGAGCAGGAAGAGGAGGGAAAGCAAGACAGACAGTGAGTAAGGCATGGCGCTGGCCCAGCAAGCTCAGAGAGCCAGTCTCTAGCAGTCCGGTGGCCTTGGCTGCCGCGGCTGGGGGGCGCCACGAGGAGGCTGCAAGCACAGCCTCTCCCCTGCGGTGGTCAGTAATCTTCTACCCAGCCGTTTTCCGATATGAACGCGTCTATCACCTCTTTCATGGCAAGGTTGGGGATCAGCTGGTCCTGGGTCAGGGGGCTGCGGGTCACGGGGTCAAAGTGGCCGACACGCTGGAAAGAACCCAGAAGAGAGTCAGTCAGGCGGCTGCCCAGGAAGCCTCTCGCGTCTCCCCCAACAAAAATGCTCCCACCAGCCCCCAAATGGTCAGATTCAGGGCCCCCTCTGCCCCCAAAATCTGTTGCATAAGGCAGCGTTCCCACCCTAGCTGGATTGAAATCAAAGACATTTTTTTAAATCCCTAAAATGGTTTAAGGGTGTAAACTAATGTTTCACCAGAGTAAGCCTGCTGAAATGAGTAAACCTAAGTTCTGTTTGTTCATTTCAACAGGTTGACCCCAAGCACTGGACACCAACCCTATTTTTTTAGGCCTCTGATGACCTTTCAAAAACTATGTCCTCTCTTTCATCTTTGAAACGACTGGAGGTGCAATTCTCAGAGGGAGGTGAGAACTATCTGAGGGCAGAGAGCCCTGCTGCATCTGGATCGCTGCACTGTGGATAACAGAACGATCCCATCAAACCTGGTGCAAAGTTGTGGCAGAAGTGCCTGCGTTCTTCAGAGGCCTCCTGGAAGGGTTCCTGGCCAGAGCAGTAACTCATCCAGAGATACTGCAGGCATTCTCCAGGGACAGGCACTTGGGGCTCCTGCCTTTGCTTACACAAGTGAAATATTTCTCATACCACCTTACTATCCAACACCCATGTATGCGTGTGGAGCTCCTTGACACAAGATTGGAAGAGACACACCCTGCTCCAATCAGGATCCCCTCATGGGGGGGAACTTGACACATGTACAGCTACATGCTGGCCTTTGCAGCCAGCTGAATACAGAGATAGAGTGGCCCCTCTTGCACATCCTTTCAATGTGTGTGTGTGTGTGTGTGTGTGTGTGTGTGTGAGAGAGAGAGAGAGAGAGAGAGAGAGAGAGAGAGAGAGATCCGAGCCCCTTCTACCAATTCGTGGTATAGCTGGGGTCTGCACAGAAATATGATGCAATTCTGTTGATTGAATGCAAGGTTAACAGCTAATATAAAAACCATGCAGCTGTCCCCCATTTCTCTCTTCTGCAGAAATTATTCTGGTGGCCTTTTCATTTTGTCTTACATTAGAACTCTCTTGTATTTGCTCTGGTCTTGCCAGTCGGGTTGGTGGGGCACTGAGGCTCACCCTACCAAACCAGTCCCCTTGTCCAGCCCCCTCCTGGCTTCTGAAATTCTCGCAGTCCCCACCTTCTCAGCTCTAAGGCAGGCATGGCGGAAACCTTTGTCCCTCCGGATGTTGCTGAGCTACAACTCCCATCAGCACCTAGCAAGCATGGCCAATGCCCAATGATATGGGAGTTGTAGTTCTGCAACAGCTGGAGGGCCAAAAGTTTCCCTTTTGTGCTCTTTGGGCAAGAAACTCAACTTTTCCTTCCAAATACAAGCTGTGGGGCTTAGGAAGCTGTTGTTGCATTTGTTCTATATTAGGAAGTCAATGCACCTCCCCTTCTGAACCCTGTCACTACCATCACACCTGCGCAACCATCGTGCCAAAAGGCCTGAATTACCTGGAGGTGCTCTTCAATGTCTTTCCTGTCATACGTGATCCCGCTGGGCGTGATACAGGGTTCTCGCATCAGTTCAAAGCTGATCTTCCCACACAGGTAATCCGGGATGTCACGCTTCTGGCTCAAAGGAGAAAACCAGAGTTAAACTTAGGCAGATTTCAAGTAGGGAGGGGAAACCTCTGGCCCTCCAGCTGTTGGGACGCCCAACTTCCATTAGCTCCAGTCAGCATGATCAATAGTCAAGGCTGATGCGAGCTGTAGTTCAGCAACATCTGGAGGGGCCACAGGTTCCCCATCTCCTCTTATAGGGTATGTGATGGGTATTGGATGGAACAGCGAGATGGGGAGTGGAGAAGCCTGGCTTCCAATTCCTGTTCAGCTACAGATGACTTTGGGCCGGTCATTCTCTCAAACCTTTTGACTGTTTAAAAAGGGACCTCCAATAACATAGCAGCTTTAAAAATTATTTTAGCATAAGAATTTCATATAATAATGTGGTTAGCAGGCACACACTCTTATTTCTCTCATACGAGGGAATGCCTCTTGAAAGAGAATGGTCCCTGCGACATGTGGGCACATCATCTAAAGTCAAGCTCGCTCTTTTCTAACAGTCAAATTAAATCAACTATCTGTTGTTTGGTTCAGACAAGTGTGCAATGTTTAATATGACTGAATTAGCAGTGAAGGCAGCTCACCTTAGGCAAGGTCATGGGGCCGCTCTCGAGAGTTAAGATTCTGTTTTCTATGAACGTTCTATTTATTGTATAGATCCAGTTTTTCAGGTATAATTCTTACTATTTTATGTATGTATATTTTATGTTTGTGTTTGGCTATATCTTGTATTTGGCTGCCTTAACAATAAATTTGATCTTAACAGCCTGAAATAAGTATGTTGATTATAATATTCTGTCCTTCTACCAAGAAGGCACCCAGGGTGACAAACTCATCCTATATATATGCATTCTAAAAACAAATTCTAAAATCAGTTAAAAACATTTTCTCATGGGTCAGTGCATCTGGCTGTTAACCAGAAGGCTGGTGATTTGAGCCCCCCCAGGGAGAGCTGTGGGCAGGATTCCTGCACTGCAGGGGGTTGGACTAGATGACCCTCAGGGTCCCAACTCTATGATTCTATGATCTAAAGGTTGCCATAAAACAGTGTCCTTCAGCCATCGAATCCCTGGGCAAACAAAAATGTTTTCAAATTTCTCCTGGAGGTTAATAATGATGGAGACAGAGGGCATTCCACAACCGGGGGAGTCAGCACTGAAAAGGCCCTGTCTCAAGTCAGAGCCACACCAACAAGGTTTCACTGGCCGATCATAGGATCTGAGAGGGCTGATGTACAGATCTACCCAGGTTGGGCCAACCAAAAGTCATGTTACTAATCAACTTCAATTAGGGGGCTCCAATGAACTTGGATGAATTTGAACTTTGAATGAAACATGAACCAAATCAGTTCATTTTGTAAAGGGACAAAAGTTAACTGGAATTTGTTCCCTTTTTTTTTTGACATGTCAAACTCGTCCCTTTTAAAAATGAACTTCCCAAGCTGTCTGGGAACCCCCATGGACACTGCCTTGGGTTCCATAATAGAAGAGTGATGGAATATAAAAGCTGGGGAAATACGCAAATGGAGCCGAGGAGCATGGCCCTCTGCTTGAGCTTGCCCTCACCTTCCGCTTCTCATCCACCTGGGAGAACAGCTCATCCATGTCTGCTAGGTACTTTTCCTAAAAGAGAAACAGATCCCTTAGCCGGAAGGAGCAGAGGCTCAACGCAGAAAGCAGGTGGGGGAATTAAGCAGCTAGCTATAGATGGGGCAAACAGTCATATCTAGATGATGAACGCAGACAAACAAGAGGGACAATTGCACCTCTTTATAAAACAGCAGTTCAGGTCAAGTTTATGAATGGTCCATAGATCTCCAAATTTACACACACACGGGGAAAAACCTAAACAACACATTTTTCCATTGTTAAATATTTGAACAAGATTAGTACAGAAACTGAAACCTCTTAGCACTTCTGTAAAAACAGGGGCAGGAGAAACCTGCAGCCTTCCGGATGCTGTCAGATTCCAACTCCCATCAGCCCCAACCAGCACGGCCAGCAGTCAGAGATGACGGAGTCTGACAACATCAGGAGGCCCACAGGTTCTTCCACTCCTGCTGCAAAAGTTGCTTACAAAGCGTTTTAATTTGGGATGCAAACACTGCAGTCAGCTCAGTTATGCCAGCCTGTGTATACATCCCTGAACAGAACAGGAAGTCCATGTGCCGCTCTAGACACCTTCCTTGGGAGCAAACAAGAGACAGGTATGTCCGGTTCTTCCGTATCAGTACAAATTGCGCAATAGTAACCTGTTCCGTACAGTTTTGAACTCATGTTCCTAAATTGCACGTGGAATGCTGTGACACCTTTCTCCTGAGGATATCCTGGACTTTTCAACAGCTCCCCGTACAATCCTGCTAAGTTCCCTCTGACTTTCCGCTGTGGGGGACATCTCGGGGCCAGGGAGCTGGACAGCAACCCAGACGGGGCTTCCAGTCCTAGGGCAGGGATTTACCTGATCTGTTGGGTTGCAGCCAAGATTAGTCTTACTCAGAGTAGACCCACTGAAATTGAGGTTTTTAAACAGCAGTGGGGTGGCCATCTGTCAGGGATGTGGTTTCTGCATTGTAGGGGGTTGGATAGCTCGGTCGGTAGAGAATGAGACTCCCGAGTGGTGGGTTCGAGCCCCGCATTGGGCAAAGGATTCCTGCACTGCAGGGGGTTGGACTAGATGACCCTCGTGGTCCCTTCCAGCACTACAGTTCTAGAATTCCATCATGAACATTGAATAGCCACTTCAATAGGTCTACTTGGAGCAAACGTTTAGCAAGAGACACCCCACTGGCATTTCTGGGACACTGGCAGTGTAGAAAACTGCCGAAGGGTCCCGATTCCCTTGCTCCTCCCTCTGAGGTTGAGGTCAGAGCAGGGCTGAACCCTGGCAGATCCCCCCCCAGTTAATGGGGGCGAGGGACAGATGTCTCACCCCATCACAGCTGCTGACACCAAGCAGTGACAACCCAAACAAAACAGTCAACCGAGGGCCCTTAGATAGGCTGAGCCCGGGCAAAGATTGACAAGGGTCCTCACATGTTTGGCTTCGATGTTGGCCAGCTGCACGCGGCTGCGACTTTCCTCCACGTTCTCCTCTTCCTGCGCCCGTCGACATTCATCCAGCTCCCTAAAAGAGAAGTGGGGATTGGGCAACTTCACGGAGCTTGGCAAGGCTATCTTTTTTAAAAAAAAATTTATTTCAAAGCCAAAAAAATTTACAAACATCAAATTCAAAATCCATATTCATTTTCTAACAGCCTATTACATAGATTACCTAAATTAAATTATATCTAATTGCTCTAGGCTTCCCTTTGCTATATGTAAATACAACGCAATTAGCAAATTATATTATAAATGATATCATAGGTTCCCATATACCCCCCACTCCCCTTCACCCATGTGTGATCTCAATATTTTACTTCTTCCATCTTGTTGTGTTGTTATAATTTAATAATTATTCAGTTGATTCTATTATTATTTTCTTGCTTACCCCTGCACGTTTTACACATTCTCTATTGATATTTCAATTCCAGAACCATATTTTTTCATGTATTCCTTCACTCCATCCCACTCTCTAATTATTCTTTGATTTGAGTGGCCTCTAATAATTGCCATCAATTTTGCTATTTCTACAAACTCACAGAGATTGCTTTGCCATTCTAATAGTGATGGGATTTTCTCCACCTTGAGCTTGGCAAGGCTATCAAGGGCTACCAGCCATGATGACTACACCCTGCCTCCACCACTGGAGGCAGTAATCCTTCTGAACAGGAGGGGGCAGGTCTCTTGTGCTTGGGTCCTGCTTGCCAGTTCCCACAGGAATCTGGTTGGCCACTGTGAGAACAGGATGTCAGACCACTGGCCTGATCTAAAGTACCAGTCTTATGTCACTTATCAAGAAACACAGCGATCGGGAGAGGGAGGTCAGAAGCCACTGCAAGTTGCAGGAAGGCACTGTCTCTCAGGGTCACAGCACATGAAAAGGTTTCAGCTTCAGTCCCTGACACCCTCAGCTTAAAAAGAGCCAGGCTCAGCGGCTGATGGGAAAGAACCTCATCTCCCTGAGAAGCCAGATAGCTGCTATCAGTGGGAGGAGACAACTCCTACGACTTCTGAGGCAGCTTTTAAAATCCCAAGTCCTTTTCACGTTGTTGTGAAAGACCTGCTTTAATTTGGTTTAACTCTGTGCCACGTTAAGTCTGTTCTAGATTTCCAGTTTTTACTTCTACTTGTAAACCACTCATCAGAGAACTCTGGTGACGGGCACAGAAATGTAGTTAATAAGTAAGCTGCGTGGGGAAGAGGCACTCAGGCCCACGGATGAATATGGCCCTTCAGACCTCTCAATCAGGCCCTCAGGACTCTCTACAGGTGACAGGTAGGGAACCTCTGGCCCTCCAGATGTTTCTGGACTACAGCTTCCACCAGTCTTGGTTACTGGCCATGCTGGCGGGGGCTGATGGGAGTTGTAGTCCCACAGCATCTGGAGGACTGAGGATCCCCACCCCGCCCTTGCTCATTCCATCTCCCCCGGGCCACTCCTTCACTGATGTGCTCTGCAAGGTCCTCAAGTGCCTGGAAAGGGGCTTTGGATTGTGACGGTGCATCTTGCTTCCCTGGATGGAGAGCTGGGTGTCCTGGCTTCTGGGTGGCTGTAGCGCAACCTGCTGTACAAAGGCTATGCATTGCATCCATTGCTCTGCCCACCTCTGGCATATGGCCTCTGAATGCTGCCCAACAAAGGAGTGTGGCTGAAAAAGCTTCTCTACCACTGCAGTATATAAAACAAGCTATGCACCCAACACACACAAAGTCCCCTTTGTTCTTCAAGAGTTTCTCCACCCATATCTGCCATCACTCCCTCTCTTTCATACTCTCTTTTACCTCTCTTTCTCTGCCATGATGAGCTTGGTGAGATAGGAGTGCAACTCGTTTTCCTGGTTGATCCGCTTCTCCTCAATGTTGTTCCAGCGCTTCTTCTTCGCAATCCGCAAAGCGCTTGGGATGTCGTCCCCAAAGTTCAGTCGTTGCTCTTTGGCTAAGTTGTAGGCTGGAGTAGAGGGGAATATATATCAAGGAGGAGGAGACGAAATAAAGATCTTGCAATGCGGTGTGCTCTATGTGGGCCTGTGCCAAAGGCTCCAGCTGGGGCAAAACTAGGCTGTGTTGATGGGGACAGACCATTGCTGGCATGCCACTCTAGTGCTCTAAAGTCTGCACTGACTGCCCATACACATGAACAAACCTGAATGACTTTCAAGTTGATACCTCACTCTTTTCTTCTTTCTCAGCCCTGTGGATAGCTCAGTAGGAGCTATTAAGAGGAGACTCTTAATCTCAGGGTTGTGGGTTTGAGCCTTGCATTGGGCAAAAGATTCCTGCATTGCAGGGGGTGGACTAGATGACTCTCATGGTCCCTCCCAACTCTACAATTCTAAGGAGAAAAGAAACCTTGACTTCTACTTTTAGTCAAACCAACCAAACCTTTGATTGATTGACATCCTATGCCCTTTTAAAATGTGTTGGGGGGCTGTTACAGGGTTGTTTTTGTTTTGATTATGTATTTTGTGGTTTTATATTTTGATTTTATCCTGTGAAACACTCTGGGACTTGCGGGTATAGGGCGGTATATAAATTTAATTAATGATTATGGTGATGGTGGTGCCTGAACTGAGGGAACTGAAGCTTGTTTAAGCTGTGGTTTCGGAACAAGCCAGACTGGAAGCATGGCTTGGTCCTGGCTCATTCTACGAAAACAATATGAACAAACCACAGTTTCTGACTGCGTATAAGTTGGATGCCTAAAGGCTTGGCCCCACAATTGCTCTCAGGTCAAAGACATGTGGCTGTTCTAGACTCCCTGGCTAAAACTGCTATTCAAAGACAAAGCTGTCCTTGCCGGATTGTTAAGCGATACAGAATTCATTTTGACTTGGGCAGATGCCTGGTTCAAACCCTGGCAAAGGCTGGGAGAAATCCCTGCCTAAAATCCTGGAAAGTGGCTGCCAGTCAGTGTAGAAAGTAGTGAGCTAGATTGACCAATGGTCTGGCTCAGTGCAAGGCAGCTATGGTTGATTCTATTCAACTGATTGGTCAACTTGTGACCACCTTGCACTGAAAGGCGGTACCTAGAAAGACACACCCCTACCCACTCGTCTAGCCTGGAAACGAGAGCCAGCTTACCTCTCTGAAGGTTAGCAATGGCCTCGTCATAGTTCTCCATCTCCATCTGGCACTGCCCCAGGAAGAAGTGCGCCTTCACGGACTGGCTGTCCAACTCCAGGGCATGCTTACAGTCAGCCAGGGCCTTGTCGTGCTGCTGCATCTTAAGGAAGCATAAGGCGCGGTTGGTGTAATAGACTGCCACTAAGGGATTCCGGTTCTAAAAGAAAAGAAAGAGAATATAAGCATGAGGGGCCAGATGGAGACTAAAACAACCCTCAAGGGATCTATGGGAGAAGGTGAGGCCCCAGATTCAATCCCTCCAATCGCCAGGTAGGACTGGGAGAGACCCTCATCTAAAATTCACAGAAGAGCCATTGCCAGTCAGGGTGGCTTAGATGGGCCATTGCTCGAACTTGGTATAAGACAGCTTCCTTGGTTTTGGGTTAATACAGCCTTTTCTTCATGAGGACTAGAAACTTACTTTATTTGTTAGTAGACATGCCATAGCCCAGAAGCAGAGCACATGCTATACATGCAGAAAGTTCTGGGTTCAAACCCCAGCATCTTCAGGCAGTGGGGGAAATCTCCAGGGAAATCCTAAAGGAGCCACTGCCAGTCAGTGTGGACACTACCAAGCTAAATGGACAAACAGGGCAGCTTCATATCCTTGGATGAAATCATTTTCAGGCGGGTCTCTATTTCTTAGATTATTGTTGTTGTTGTTTATTACCCACCCTTCACCCTAAGGTCCCAGGGCAGGTTATGGAATTAAAACACAACATTAAAAACAATTGAAAGCACCTTACAATTTCAAATATAAGGAAGGTTCTAAAAACAGACACCAAGTGTCAAAAGCCAGTGTTAAGAGGTGTGTCTTCAGCATTCACTGAGAGCTGTATATTGAAGGTGCCACACACACCTCTAGGGGAGTAGTGCAAGCCCATCCAGGGCAGCTCACCTCCCAGAAGCGAGAACTCAGGGCACATGACACTCTGTCTTTTCAGGATCCAGCTTCAGTTTATGGGCCCTCATCCAGCCCATCACTGCCTCCAAGCACTGGCCTAGCACCTCAACTCCCTCTCCTGATTCAGATGGAACCGAGAGATAAGAGTTGGGTGACATCTGCATATTGGTGGCACGCCCCTCCAAATCCCTGGATGACAGTCCGCAGAGGCTTCACATAGATGTTAAATAGCATGGGGGACAAGACGGAAGCCTGCGGGACACCAGAGGAGAACTCCAACGGCGCTGAACAGCAGCTTCCCATGACCACCTCTTGGAAACAGCCCTAGATGAGTGGAACCACTGAAGTATGGGGCAAGGCTACAACCGCTACAGAATGAGAGGCAAGTTCCGTCTTACTGATCTCTCAACTTGGACCAGGGAGTGGTTTAAGTACAGTGGTACCTCGGGTTAATTACTTAATTCGTTCTGGAGGTACGTACTTAACCTGAAACTGTTCTTAACCTGAAGCACCACTTTAGCTAATGGGGCCTCCCGCTGTCGCCGCGCCGCCGGAGCATGATTTCTGTTCTCATCCTGAAGCAAAGTTCTTAACCCCAGGTACTATTTCTGGGTTAGCGGAGTCTGTAACCTGAAGCGTATGTAACCCGAGGTACCACTGTACAGTCAGATTTTGAGTTTGCCCCACCCTGCAAAGAGCAGCGTTTTGTTTTTGTTTCGTTTTGCATGGGCAGAGTGCATTTCCTACATTCCATTTAGAATCCGAGAAAGGGCTGCCAAGTCTAAGCCATGGCTTTCGAAAAGGCTTAAACCCCAGTATATCTTCAAAGAATCACAGAACTGTAGAGGTGGAAGGGATCACAAGCGTCATCTAATCCAACCCCCTGCAATCTTTTGCCCTACTTGGGGCGGGAACCCATGACCCTAAGATTAAGAACCTCATGCTCTACTGACTGAGCTACCCATCTTGTCTGTGAGGTTGTATCATTTGAGCAGCTGATTATTTATCATTATTCCTCCAGGCAGGCAGCTACCATTAAAAAAAAAAAGTAGCGTGCAGCCGCTTAATCTGAAAGGTAGATCACAGGTCTCAAAACAGTGAAGAGAACTGGTGCAGATCTCAGGGAAACCCCTGGAGACAGAGTGATTGCAACCAGAGAATCATGTATTCTGAGTCCCAATAGAAATAATGTGCAGCCACAGAAGTGCTAATTGTTAAATGTGCACCTGTGGTGTTATCAGCCTTGCTGCATGGATAGGGGCACATGAAATCTGGCTGAAGACAACCTAAGAACTCATTTTTAATCTGTACTCAAACGAGGAAGGCGGGACCTTTATTCAGAACTGTCCAAAGTAGGAAGGGTTGAGGCTTACAAAGAAGGGTGGCTGGCAAAAGGTCGCCAAGTGAGTTTGCAGTGAAAAACAAGTCTGGAGGTTCAAACAGGATGCTGCTTTATACTGAGTCCCATCTAGCTCAGTACTGTCTCCACTGACTGGCAGCAGCTCCCCAGGATTTCAGGCAGGGTTCTCTGCAAACCCAACCTGAGGATTGAAATTGGGGCCTTCTGCATGCAAGGCCTTAAAGCATGCTCTCTGTCCATGCTCAGAAATGCTGCCTTTCCTCACTGCCTCCTATCACACATTCCTGGAGATAAAACTGAGCATTAAAACAAGGTTTTTTGGCAGGGGGAAGAGAAGGATGAGCTTTGGCACAAATAGAGCCCTAGTCACACACCCAGGTTTGCTTCTTAATGTCCACTGTTCCCCCTACCTTGCCCCTGTCAAATCAAGGGCCAGAATCATAATCTGCCCATGCTCAGAGAAAAGTGCCCTTGCCACTTTCCCCCGCGTTGCCCCTTCAAATTATTTTTAGAGTAAGCCTATCCAGGCTCCGATTGAACTCCGGCATTGGCACCTCCCAGTTTATCTCCTCTCCTCACCTCACCCCCATCTGTCTCAAGAGGGCAAGCACTCTGCTCGTGTTCAGAGGGCCATTTTGTTTGGTCACACCTCCCTTCATATCTCGGAGGAAAAGGCTCAGCGATCCAAAGGACACTTACCTCCTACACCACTATTGCATCATCTCCTACCCTGCAGTCTGACGCCAGGCTCTACATAGCATGCACTTTGCCCATGTTCAGAGAGCTCTTTTCTTACTCCCCTTCAGCTATTCTTGGGGTAAACCCAAAACACTGGGGAGCAGCTGGGAGGCTCCAACTGAGTCTTGGTCACCCTGCAGCTTGCTTCCTATGCCACCATACCTGAGAGCAGGCCCTCTGCACATGCCCAGAGAGGCATTCTCCCCACTTCTCATATATTCTCCCAGGATAAGGCTCACGGGCCTGAGCTTCCTCCTCCTGCTCTCGCTCCGCCCCTCCAACGCTCCGCCCAGCCTCTAAACAACAACACTCAGCACTCGGTCCATGCTCAGAGGTACACACTCCCTATCTTCACGACCCGCCCCCCTCCGACTCAGGATAAAGTCCGGGGCCTGAGCTCAAACGAAGCCCCCTCTCGCCCCCTCGAAAGCGAGACCAAGCCTCTCAAGTGAGCGCACTCTGCCCATGCTCAGAGGCCACTCCGTTCCTCCGGGCCCTCTCGCCGTCCTCCCCCCCAAAACAGAGGCCCAACTCACGATGGCCCGCCCGTAGCAAGCGGCGGCCTCCGGGTACTTTCGGCTGACGAAGAGCCGGTTGCCCTGCTCCTTGTACTCCTGGGCGCTGCGGCTCTTCTCCGGGCTGCCGCCGCCGAGGCCGCCGCCGACCAGCCCCACACCGGGCCCGCCGCCCGTCAGCCCCGCGCCGCCGCCTCCGCCGCCGCCCTCCTTCTCCTTTTCCTTCTCCTTCTCCTCCTTCCCCTTCATGCCGCCCAGGCAGAAGCAGCTGCAGCAGCCGCCGCTGCCGGCCCGCCCGGAGGAGCCCGGCGGGCACCGATCGCCCCGGCCTCGCCGCACCGCCACAGCCCGGCCCGGGCCCCGATCGCCCGCAGCAGCAGCAGCAGCAGCAACACCGCCCGCAGCACAGGCAACGCAGCCGGGGAAGGAGGGCGGGCCGAGCGGGAGGAGGGGCCCGCGCGAACGGAAAGGGCCGGGCCCAGGCGCCGGAGGAAGCGCGGCCCGCGGTGCGAGAGCGCCGCCTGCACCCCGGCCGGACGCACGGCGGCGCCTTCCCGAGGGCGCAGGAGGGGCGGGAGGCGGCAAACGGCCACGATCCTGTGAGGGGGAGCTACTCGCGAGCAAGGCCCGTTGGCTGACCGAGGGCTCCCGCTTAGGTAAGGCTAGGCTAAACCGCCGCCGCCGCTGCTTCTTCCTCCCAAGTTAGGTTTACGGAGCGGAAATGAAAGCCCCGTGGATTCCAGCAAGGGCTCTTTACTCGATGAGTAAACCCCTCAGGTCGGATCCTGGCTCCGTCCTATAGTTAAATAGGAAGACCCAGAAGTCCCGTGATGCCAGTGAGTCTGCTCGTAAGTATGGCTTAAGGCTGGATCCCTCCCATTTTAGAAGTTGTGGGGTTTCAGTGGGGTAAGTAAACTTAACACAGTACAAGTAAGGGGGAATGAAAGCCCCTTGGATTTCACTGGGGTTGTTTACTCGGGGAGTAAACACCCACATCACCCCGTTTGGATCCGACCTGTTGGAAGATCTCATGAGTTCTGGCATTTTAAGGAGGTTGAATCCCAAGACCCAGCCATCCCCTCAGGGTGGGTCCCAGCTTTGCCATGATTAAGATTGGAAGACCCAAAATTCCCACGATGCTTTAAGTTTGACTTACCCATTGGAAAAGACCCATATATCCTGTAGTTTCCGTGGGACTGATATCCAGGTAGGTAAACTTAACAAACTGCTGCTATCCTCCTCCTAAGTAGGTTTACGGAGGGAAATGACAGCCCTGTGGATTTCAACAGGGCTGTTTACTTTGGGAGTCAAGCCCTCAGGTTGGATCCCGTCTTAGTCATAATTAGAGAGAAGTCCTATGATTACAATGAATCTGCTTATAAGAATGGCTTACGGTTGGATCCATCCCATTGGAGAAAACCTCACACAAGTCCTATGATTTTAATGAGGATGCCAGTGAGCCTACTGAATGGCTTAAGTTTGGATCTGTCCTGTTGAAGACCTGTGATTTCAGTGGGGTAGGTCACTTTAAAACAGTACTGCTATTCTGTGTAGGATTTCAGCAAGGTGGTTTACTCTGGGAGTAAACCCCTCAGGTTGGATCCGGTCTCAGTCATAATTAGAGGGGGAAAGACCCATAATATGCACTGTGATTTATATGGGTGTTTGTATGTGTGACTAAAGGTAAGTACTACTACTGAAAGTAGATGTATAAATTAATGGGCCTAAGTCATGTCTAGTAGTTGTAATGGGTCTACTCTGAGTATGACTACCATTGGATACAACCTGAAGTTGGATCTCCACTTGGTTTACATCCTTGGTCAGTAAACTGCCACCTTCTTCCCAAGCAGGATCATTGAGGGGGGAACCCCATAGTTTTCAGGGTGAGGTCACTTTCAAGAATGCAATCCTTTTTTTAATTATGTTAAGGATTTTTTAAAAGGTTAAGGCTGCCTTACAGTACAATGGCCTCTCTAAGTAGCTGGTAAACAAAAAGCAAATAAAATGCCTGTTCCAATAATATAATCTCAAATAAAATACACATTAAATAAAATACACAATAAAATAGTAAACTGCCATCAGGCATTAAAATAGGATCTAGTTACTGAGAGGTGTAGGCCCATCTAGAGCTCGTTGGGAAAAAGGTGAGGTGTAAATGCTGCCATTATTATTATTATTATTATTATTATTCTTTTCTCCAAGGCCCTGCTGCTTAGTTCCCTGCTTTTGTTTTTGCCTTTTGTTTCAGGAAGCCTTAAATGATGGGGCTGGAAGGAGGACTTTATGGATGTGATGACCCTGCATACTGGAGAGCGGTTTTGAATGTCTACCAGGATGTGGTCATGGCCAAAGCGAGCAAGCAGGGGAAAACCATTGCCTTGGATAAATGGTAAATGTTTTCAGCAGGTAGCAGAACACACCTGCTACAGCAAAGAGCTTCTGGGGGGGTTCCCTCTCTCATTGTACATTCAGTGAAGCAGAACACTGGAAGATTTGGGATGCACAAAAGGAAGGCCTTCTTAACACAGCACATAGCTAAACTATGGAAGATGTATAGTGATGGCCTCCGGACTTTTCTTATGTTCTGATGCTTCAGTTGCAGCCTTAACACTGTGGTGATTTTTCATAACTGGCAGCAGAGCTGGAGAATCTTAAGACACTTGTTTCTTGTTCGTCCCCTTCATATTTTTATCACTTTGTTTTATGTGTATCCTTACTTACCCCCTCTGATTTTTATGTCGTACTGAATGGACCTCCTGCTAAGATTATTTATTGAATTGCTAATTTATTGAATTGATATTCCACCCTTCCTTCCCAAGGAACCCAGGGTGGCAAACAGAAGCACAATTAAAAGCAAAGCAAAAGCATTCTGAAACGATTACAATTAATCCAATCTAAAAGCAGTTTCTGTTAAAAACATTCCTGTATCCAGTGATCTCAAGGTTGCCAGGAACAGAATTCTTTAGCCACCCAATGCTTGGGTAAACATGAATGTGTTTAAATTCCTCCTGAAAGCTGATGATAATGGAGACAGGCACACCTCACTAGGGAAGGCATTACACATCCAGGGAATCGCCACTGAAAAGGCCCTTCATGGGGGCAGCAGCAACAGGGCCACCAAGTCCTCCCCTGCCAATCATACAGTCCAATATGACTTCTGCAGCAGTGCAGTGCCAGTCCCCAGAACAATGAATTGGACAAGTCTGTGGCCTGTGCAGTTCTTCTCTTTTTGTCTCTTGTGAGCTTTGCCCGAATCAATTTAATTGAAGAAGGGGGAAATGTGTTTCTCCTCTCTGATCTTTTCAATGTTATTCAAAACCATTTTATTGTTTTTACTCCCTTCCCTGTGTTACCATTTGCAGGTATCAAGAGGAGCTGCCAATTGCTGTTTCCGGGCGGAAGGACAAACACTTGACAAAAGAAGAGCTGGTGAGGCTGATGGAATGGAAGCTTTCTGTAAGTAATTCTGCCAGAGTCGGTTGCCGTGTGGAGCAGAGGCAGTATGGACCCAGGGGCGTGATAGTGCGTAATCACAGGCACTTGCAGCCCTCCAGATACAGCTGGACCACGGCTCCCACCATCCCTGCTCACTGACCACGCTGGCAGGGCCTGATGGGAGTTGGAGACCAACAGCAGCTGGAGGGCCACGTTCCCCATCCCTGTTTTAGAAAGTCTACCCCTCACTTGCCCCATCTGCTCATGGAAGTTAAAAATAAAATAGAAATATTCACTGACCGTTTAGGTAACGGGAAATGCCTGTGAAATGAAATAACAGTAATCCCATTATAATAATGGTAATATATTTTTACTTTTTGGACTTTATAATCATTTGTTTCCAAGAGGTCTCCAAGAGACTTAAAAAAACATTTAAAATCATCAGCATGAATATACTATACCATTAACAGAACTCATACAGAACACCTGCAATTCCTCTTTATATTTTACACACACAAAGTGCCCCAGTAACAGCAAAATAGCACCAGCTCAGTTATTCAGAAGCCTGGGGGGGGGGCAAGTCTTGGCACTGCAAAGCTGCAACACAATAAAGGCGACTGGCAGACCTCACTGGGGAGAGCATTCCATAGCGTAGCTCTGTCCTGAGTGAGGATATGAGAGTCAGAACTAATTTTAAGTTAGCAGTGTAGGCACAAGTGGAATGACTGCCTTCTTTCTTCCCTGCAGAGAGGCAAGTTTCGTCCTCGACTCCAGCAGCTGGTGGCCACTAACTCCAGCGAGATGGTGGAGAGCTGCACCAGAAACGCCTTCCAGCTCCTCCCTGACGTAGCAGCTGCCATGACTGAGCTGTGCAAACTTAAGGCTGTGGGGCCCGCCACAGCATCAGGTAGGAAAGGCCCTGAAGCCTGCAGGTTTGTTTATTTCCTGTATTTTTTTGCCTACACATTTTGCAAGGAGTTTGAGCAATGATTGTGCTCTTTCATTTACCCAACGTTCTCATAACATGATCACAGCAAAACATTTCTTCTTGAAGGGTGGTAGCTCAGTGGAGGAACATCTGCCTTGCACACAGAAGGCCCCAGCTTCACGTTCCCACTCTGAAACCTGGAGATCTGCTGCCAACCAGTGTTGGCAATACTGATCCAGATAGACCAGTGGTCTGACTCTGTATAAGGCAACTTCCCTTGTGGAAGAGCATTTGCAGAGACAGCAAGGCCCCTTCCATTAGCCTGGCTCGAGTGCTGCCTGGGTTTTCTCAAACACTTGTGCAATCATGTGATTTTTTTCAAACCCATTTGCCTCCCGAAGCTCCCCCACCTCTCTGCCACCAAACTCTTGTGCAGTGCAGAGGATTCTGGGATGATGGCCTGCCAGGTCTCCTCAGCTGAAAGGGCACTATAGAACCGACACAACAGTCTTCTGTGGCTATACAAGGCAAGGTAGCACCTGCTCCACAAGAGGGAAGCCACCCTTCAGAGAAGCTTGCCTGTCATTGACGATCTAAGGAACTCTGATTCTTCAGAACCTGAATTTCTCTCTCTTTTTCTCTTGAAATTTTATATATTTAAGAAAGGGCAGGCACTTCTATAACATACAAGAAGAAAGAAAGAGCAGTTGAATTAAAATTAAACATACAAACATAATGCAAATTTGGATCACTTCATTCACAACACCTGAAAAGAATTATTGTTATTGGGAGTGGAGGTAGTAACGTTTTCCCCCAACATGTATCAATACAAATGTTAGAGAGAGACAGAAATAAACAGTGGTTTGCCTGTTTGACAGCATGTGTTCCACAACTTTAAAAAAGAAGATGAGAAGGCCCGCAGTGTGACTGCTTCTTCATAAGCAGGGATTCCATGCTACTGGAACACCTGAATAATTAGTATCTGGATCTTGCATGTTGGGCTCTATATTTTTTTGCACATATACATGCTTAGTGAAAGAACAAGAGGGCGTCCCACTCTGCCCATGTATGTCCTACGCAGAAGTAACATGAAGAGGGCTCAAATTAATAACAAGAGCTTCCCTCATTCCCCACCTAACCTTGCCTAAGGCCGCATTTGCACCTTACATTTAAAGCTGTTTCATACCACTTCAGACAGTCATTGTTTCCCCCCAAAGCATCCTGGGAATTAGTTAAGGGTGTGGAGAGTTGCTAGGAGATCCCAATTCTGCTCGCAGAGCTGCAATTCCCAGAGTTCCATGAGGAGAAGGAACTGACTGTGAAACTACTCTGGGACTGGGGTCTCCTAACGGCTCTCAGTATCCTTAAGAAACTACAGTTCCCAGAATTCTTTGGGGGAAAACCATGGCTGTTTAAAGTAGCATAAGGAGGTAGATGGGACCTAAACCAAGAATGTGGCTGCCTAGTCCACCCTGCTCTGTCTGAGTGGAGTTTCGTATTCCAGATGGCATATTCTTGCCCCATGTTTATTACAGACTGCTACATATTGGTCTAAATTTTTTGCTTGTTTGTTTAAGCTTTCAGCCAGGATCCACGGGGTTTAATCTTGTCAAGCTGTATGAGCAGCAGCAGCGGTGCTTTACAAATAAAAATAATTCCAGCCTTTTGAGGGCAGGGGTGGCTAATCTGTGACCCTCCAGATGTTGTTAGGCTACGAGGACCGTCATCCCTGACGGCTAGTCATGCTGACTGGGACTGCTGGGGGCGGAGGAGGCTGCCTTATACAAAGTCAGATTTTTAACATCCCAGCCACGCAAAAGTCATGCAAGGAAGAGGCATTATGATTGCAGCTGAAGGAGGCACTCCAGCCAGGCAACAGCACTCGAGGGCGGGGCATGGCCTGAGGAGGGGACAGTGAGACCTGGATCCTTAGGTCATGAAGGGAGGATTCAACCTGCTTTGGATGGAGTTGACAGGAAGGAATAAGATGGTCCTACTCTGCATAATAAGGGACGCGGGTGGTGTTGTGGATTAAACCACAGAGCCTAGGACCTGCTGATCAGAAGATCGGCGGTTCGAATCCCCGCGACGGGGTGAGCTCCCGTTGCTCGGTCCCTGCTCCTGCCAACCTAGCAGTTCGAAAGCACGTCAAAGTGCAAGTAGATAAATAGGTACCGCTGCGGCGGGAAGGTAAACGGTGTTTCCGTGCGCTGCTCTGGTTCGCCAGAAGCAGCATAGTCATGCTGGCCACATGACCAGGAAGCTGTACACCGGCTCCCTCAGCCAATAAAGCGAGATGAGCGCCGCAACCCCAGAGTCGGTCACAACTGGACCTAATGCTCAGGGGTCCCTTTACCTTTACCTTACTCTGCATAGTGCAGATTCTTCTACTCGTATTTCCTTCTCTTTAAGAATCTTGTAGCTTCGGAAATACCCTGAAGATGTTGAGAGCTCAAGGTGCATGTGTGACATTGCTTTCCCGCCATCTTCCCCAACATCTGCCTTTGCTCCCATTGCAGCGATTCTGACTTCTGGAGCCCCGGAAGCAGCTGCCTTTATGGCTGACGAAGCAGTAGAGTCTCTGCCAGGCCTTGTCCCTGTCCAGTACACCCTCAAGCACTACCTGCTCTACCTTGACGGAATCCAGACCTGTGTCAAGAAGCTAAACGAAGGTAAGGCGGGAGAAGTTGGGACAGTGTGCACACTTTGAACGGGTGGGGATGCCTGCTGGATGAGGAGGGTTCTCCTTGTGAGCTAGAACACTGAACATACAGACTTCCAGCTCACAGAAACCTTCTATGTGCATTCCATTGCTACCATATATGCCAGGAAGAGACCCTTCCTCTCTACCCACCAATAGGATTCTGTCTCCACCTTTAAAGCCCCGCCTCTTCACTTAAAATAATAATTATTTAAAAGCTCAAAGCCAAGTCAAGTTTCTTCTGGTTCTGCCGTTATTTGTTCCTGTGCGTTTCCGGCTTTCTTGTCCAGTTCCCATAGAAAGTTGCCTTAGGTTGAATCCAACCATTGGTCCATTTAGCTCGGTAGTATTTCTTGGAGAAACCTTTTTCAGTCTGAGAGCCATATTCCCTTGTAGACAACCTTCTGGGGACTGAGCCAGAGGCAGAAGTGAGCAGTGCTCACAAAGGGCGTGTTTCCTTCTACACACACACCTCTGTCCAGGCAAACAGGAAGCCAGATCACAGCTCAAGGACAAATTCCAGTTGTGCAGCAGAACCCAAGCAGGGCTCAGGGCAGTGAGGGGCATGATTTGGGAAGGGGCGCTGTCCCCCAGTCTCAGGGTTTCTACATCCTCAAAGCACACAGCCCAACCGACTCCTCGTTCTTGATTCATTTCCTAGCTGATGCAGAACAGGCCTGGACGCCTCACCGTGTGGAGATGTGCCTCTGGGCTTGGGCCGTCGGCAGCAAGCTGCAGCTGCCTTCGTTGCAGGCTCTAGGCGGAGAGGGAGCAAAGGCAGGGGACGGGGCAGAAGCAGGCAGGCCTAAGAAGAAAAGGAAAGCAACATGAAAAATTCCAGGGTTCCAGGGCTGCGGCTTTAGAATTGACCTTTGTTCCTTGGTGCATGAATACTGAAGCTGAACTACACACACACACACACACACACACACACACACATAAAAAGGCCGTGCTGTTATCCTGGATCACCAGGACAAATCGCCAGGAGAGTGTGCACCAGTGATCATTCAAGACCATTGAACCTCTGGAGCAAATAGTGCAGCTGTGGAAAACTGGTCTCCCCTCTCAGGACTCTCTTTCATGGTCTGCAGTGTGGAGCAGCACATGGCAAAATGTAGATCAGCCTTCCTCCCCCGCCCACCCCACCCCAAATAATTCGAGAATGGTAAGTCACTCATAAAACAGATTGGGCATCCTAATGTTAAGCTTGTGGTTTATGGCTGGAGCCTCACAGCTGCTCAGGATCTGGGATGAGCTTTATATTTGTGGGTGGGGAGGAGTTTTGCCTCCAGTTTGACGACTGTCTAGTGATTATCTTTCCATGTAATGTAAGGTTTGGCTGACTTGTGTCGTCAGGAACAATTTGCTGCTTGGGTACCACTAGTGGGAGCACCTCCACTGGAAATGCCCTCCCTTCTAAACTCCTCCCCTGCCCTGCAAGCATTCTGTAAGACTGTGGTCTACTCTAGTCTACTTTGAACGGATTAATGGATGAAATCTCTGCTATCCAGATTCTCTGACATGTAGCGAAGCGGAGGTGTTCGACTGACTATCCTTTTTGCCTCCCCAGCTCTGTCACTGCTAGTGAAATAAACACAACCAAAGCACAATTTATTTTCGGAATCCGATTTTGCTTTACGAAATCAAGTTTTATATTAGCAAAATAGAAATTTAAGCTATTAACAACAAGAATTAAATGCATTATCATCCATAGTCTCTCCCTCACTCTCTCACACACAGTCAATATGAGATATGTTCCCAGCTGCATTACAACAGAAGGAAACTATTTTTTTGAATATTATCCTAGCATTTCTCATTGTAGTTCTTTTCCAATAAAGTCCTTATTTTCCTACAAATTTACTTGTTGTTCCTAACAACCTAAGAAGTGCCTGGCTGGTGGATCAGGCCAGTGGCCATGTTCTCCCAATGGTCAACTAGAAGCCTTCCAGAATTCTGCCAGCTGTTCAAAATATGATCTTCCGAAACACATCAATTTGGATAGACTATTGACCATCTCCATTTCTGTGACCTTCCTTTGACTTCTACACCCATTTTGCTTTGCGACACAGGACAGCGGTAGGTCCTTCTGTAGCATCCTCTTAATTCACTCAGGGGTAGGGTGAGGCCCAGCTGGATTGGTGCTTTGGGCAAGCTGTGTGTGAGAGCCCCTCACAATCTGCCCCAGAATCCTTTGCACCGCACAATAGTTCCTCAGCAGATGTACAAAGGATCCCTTGCCTGAAAAAAATGGGAATGGCGTGGTGTTTTCTTTGACTGGAAACGGACCCCTCCCATGTTAAAAAGTCAAACCAAAAAAGGGGGGGGCGAGTTGAAGACTCTAATCCTGAATGCATTTCCCTTGAGAGTTAGCCTCGTTGAACTTAATTCTGAGTCGACGGGTTTATAGGATTGTGCTGTGAGGGTTCTCTAAAATAGGCCACGGGCCCTTCAGGCAGTGGTGTGCAGCCTCATTTTGCTGGAGCCCTTGGCCATGGAGTGGAACCCCTCGGATATCTCTTCTGCCATGTCGAAACGTCTGGCTTTTCCCCCCCTCCCCGTGCCAAGGGTTAGCAAAGCTTTTGCTGCCGCAGCCCAGGAATTTGCCTTCTGGCTGGCTTTGTGCTGGCTTGAGTTTTTCTGCTCCAGTAATTTTTCCTTGGATGCTTAAAAGTCCCCGTGCCTGCAATCCCCCGTTTTCTGTCCTTCGCACAGCCTGGAGATTTTGCTCTTGTTTTTTGAATGTGTGCTTTTGTATTTCTTTTGTGAGTCCTGGGTGGGGAAAGCTTCCCGAGAGCAGGAATAGAAAGTGAGAGTGAAATGCTTTGCCAGTCGCTGCTGGGGAATGGTCTTGAAATCACAACCTGAGGGTGCCCCCTCCTTCAAGTAGCCAGCCCCCATCCAATCCTCGTGCACTAGGGTTAGTTTGGCATCTGTCGGTCACGGGAGACAATGGAGGAGCATGCCTCTGGGAGTGAAGAATTACAGCGCCTGCTATGGCTATAGGGACGGATACAGGAGAGAGATGTTTTATTGCAGGTGGGGTAGATGAAGGCTCCTGGTTGTGCTGCTGCAGATGCACCATGGGAAGCTCTGTGTCCCAGGGAATCTTCCCTTTGTTTTAGTGAGACTTGCACTGATTAGCTTCCCAATAGACTATTGGACTGGCTATATAAGAGCCAAACCCAGCATTTAGTTTCCAGTTCTGCCCCCTTTAAAGAGCAACACATCATTAAGCCTCAAAGCAAATAGTTAAGTACCCCAAGAGCAAAAAACCCCCAACCTCTGGTGTTGAGGGCTGACAGCATTGGCACTAAAACAAGAGGGGGATATTGACATCCACTGGGGAAACACTGAGATTTTGCAGAACAAAAAAACCCCAACCGTCAACCCTTAAAAAAAATAAATCAGCAGCCCATTTTAGAAATCATTCTAAATTGAATTAAGCCTCTCCAAAGCCATGGCTTGCCAATGTGGATGGGCTTCTGCATAAAACATGGACAGTGGAACTGAATCTTTTGGAGGAAGGTCTTAACTGTCTGGCTGGAGTCCCAAAACAGAAACACAAGTCTTGGGAAGCGAGTTTACACACGGCAACATTCTGTTGCAGGTCTGGCATGCTGAGTCCTAAAATAATTGAATGGAAATTTGTGCTGATTTCAAATAAATAGGTAAGAGCACTTGTGGAATTTCATAGTCTGGGGTCCTCATTGGGAAGGACTGGGGGGCGGGCGACCCAGAAGCTCCTCTGCCGTCAGCAATCTTGCAGCTTCAGTATCTGGGATGCTGCACTGCTTTCCCCTCCCAGAAACGGGGCAGGGCCTCCCCACAGAGCGGCATCTTGCCTTCAGCTCAGCTACCGTTGGAGCTGCAGTGTTAGTTCCAGCAGGAGGCTTGGCGCAGGGAAAGCCGGGGTGCTGCAAACATGTCAACACCGGGGGTTGCACTAGTTTTTAACACAGCGGAGCAACTGACCTAGTTTTGAGCTAGCAGAAGTGTGGCTCCCTCCATCCCTCAGGTATTGCTTCACTGACACTTCACTCCCAACTCTCTTCCTATCACCCTTTCTAGCAAGGAACCCCGACCTCCAGCACGGGCCTCAAGCCTGCTGTGCCCAATTTGCAAGCACGTGTCCCATGACCTCTTCTGCGCTTTGTTCATCCCTTATTTTGGGCCATTCCACATGTCTGCTGTCACTGAATACACAGCAGGCTTCCCTGGAGTGACCTGCTGCTGATGATGTCTGGGTTGTCCATTTTCTGCTTCCTCTGCCACCGAAAATTAACACTCTTAAGAGCGTAAAAAGATCCCTCCGGATCGGGCCCAAAGCCCATCTAGTCCACCATCCGGTTCTCACAGGAGCGAACCAAGAAACACACAAGCAGGACCCAAGTTCAACAGCGCTCTCCCCTCACTCTGTCTCAGCTCTGGAAGGCCAAATGCAGCCCTCTCTCTAAGGACCTAGGGACTATCCGCAGGCCACACTTCCTTCCTAGCCATGCCCTGCCCACATCTCTGGCTTGCCCCAATTCACAGCCTCCCAGAAGCTTGTGGCCTAGCTCTCATATTGCCTCTTGCTCACCTGGATGGAGGATTGAGATGCAGGGTGAGTATAAACCGCTCTACTTTGCATAGGTACAATAATGGTTCAAATGTTGCTCCGTCCACTTTTGGCTCTGCTCCCACCTGCGACTGGCATGAGGCCCCTGGAAGGCGGTCCAAAAGGGAATGTGGCCCTTGGGATGAAAAAGCTAGCTCACCCCTGCTCCACCTGGCACACTCGTGAGCAGAGGTCAGCAAACATTTTCAGCAGGGGGCTGGTCCACTGTCCCTCAGACCTTGTGGGGGGCCGGACTATATTTTGAAAAAATAAATAAAAATGAACGAATTCCTATGCCCCACAAATAACCCAGATGTGCTGGTCCCAGGGGGTTACCGTGCGGCGTGGTCCGGGTCTAGTCTGAGGTCAAGGGTGTGGTATGGAGGCTGTCCGTCAAGGCTGAAGCGGGGTCCAAGGCAAGGAGTCAGGTGTGGTCAGGAACTCTGGCAGAAGAGCAGGACAGGGTGCCGGCAGGAACAGGTTACCAACAATGTTGCACCTGCAACCTGGGACTGGGCTGGCTGGCTTTTATCTCCCCCTGAGGCATACGGCGGCCCTGGTCCACAGGTGACTCGCCTCTCCTGGCCTGGAGGCGAGCACTCCTCCTGCAATAACTTAGTTCCCTCCGCCTCTCTGCCCTGAGCCTCTGCAGCTCAGGAGAGGCTGGAGGGTTACTGGACCCAGGGGCAACCTCCTCTTCCCCGACGGGGCTGAGAGTGGAGCACCTGCAGGCAATGGATCCTCGATCACCCCCGAAGCCAGGAGCAGACTCAGCTGGTGTCTGCTCCTGAGGACCCGGCACAGGTGAGGACCCTTCAGGTTCAAGCCCCTGGCCTGGCTCAGCTGGTTCTGGAGGCGGGGACTCCTATGCAGGCTGGGATTCCTCAGGTTCAGCCTCTGAATCTGATTCCCAGGCCATCACACCAGAGATGCATTTGAAATAAAAGGACACATTCTACTCACGTAAAAGCACGCTGATTCCCAGACTGTCCGCAGGCCAGATTTAGAAGGTGATTGGGCCAGATCCGGTCCCCAGGTCTTAGTTTGCCCACCCCTGCTCTTGAGTGTGGCTGCGGAGCCCCTTCCACCAGACATGCAAAAGTCCCAACTGCAGAGCATGATGGGTAGGATGTTTTCCACTGTTAAAGGCCCCGTTTCGTTATTCATTCATCAGAAGTGCCTTGTTCTTGGCATTTGTGTTCCTTTTTCTCCAGCTGTTTGAGAGTGGCAGCCCCCATCTTTCCCTCTGCCTATCCACCCTTGTCTCCGTCTTTAAAAGAGACCCCTCCACACAACACCCGCAATTAAAGAAAAGCTGGGGACTTTGCATGGGGGTGGAAAGAGCAGCATTGAGTAAATTATTCACAATCACATCAAGCAATTAGTTTGTCGCACTGAAATGCCAAGCCACACACATAGAGTCCCTGAGGATCCCCCAACGCATTACTTCCCCTAATCCTCACTGAGAATCGAAAGGATTATGTGATGTTGATACATTCCGTTCCCCATCCGTCCCCTCTATGGTGGCTGCGTTTTGTTGAGGGGAAATCAGAAGCAATTAACAATGTTGTTCTGTTTTGAGAAGGATGCCGCAGATTAAGGTATCACAGATCCCAAAGGCCCAAGACTGTCAGAAACCACAACTGCGTATGCGCACAGAGAAAGCTGGTTGATCCCACATTAGATCCCAGGTGCATCTGGACCAGCGTTGTGAACGGTCAGAATGAGAAACCTCCCGCCAGACGTTTATTTATTTAAAAAAATTGGATACCTTCAACTGCTTTAACACATTGTTGTAATATTGTGGGGTCAGTCTGAATGATACCTCTGGGTCCCTTCCCAAACCTGTGATCTGTGAGGTTACAATCTGTTAGAGACTGTTTCTTTGTAAGATAATGCCCTGAGCTGGTCAGCCAAGTACCTCCATTTACATATCCAAAGAGCTTGCCCTGTTGCTATAGAGACAAGTGGGTGGGCCTTTTCCCCACATCACCTGCAATTGCAGCAGAGTTCTCAGTTATTAGACGTTCTGCAGGCGGGATCTGCAACAAAATGTTGCAGTGTGGAGCACTTCTGTTCAGGAGTCTAGTGTCTCCATTCCACTACCACCCTGCTTTCATTCCCCACCTCCCTCCAGCAGTCAAGAGGCTATGGTCAGTTACCATGTCCAGTCCTGACTTTTTCTAAAAGTTTTTTTGTTATAGTTCTGCAATCCTCAGGGTCTCCCCACCCTGAAGTCTGCTGATAGAGAGATGCAAGAGAGCTGCATTTTATCTATGTAAGGAACATTATTCACACTCTGATCATCAATAGTATAAATGATGATATTAAGTGGAAAGGTTTATACTAGAGGAATAACTATTAATTATAGAATGGGCTCCAGTTTTTGATCCGTGCGGGAGGCACGTTTGCAACCTGCAGTGTTTGCAACCCGTAGTACCGCTTCTGCGCACACATGGGTCGTGATTCGGCGCTTCTGCGCGTGCGCAAAGCACCGAAACCCGGAAGTAACCCGTTCCAGTACTTCCGCGTTCGGCACGGTGCGCAACCCGAAAACGCAGAACCTGAAGCATCTGTAACCCGAGGTATGACTGTACTGGAACAACACCAAACTCCAGTAAAATATTCACAGGGATATTTTGGCTATTTTCTGGGCTGTGTTAAATGTAAGCCTATGGGGTGTATTAGATATAGTTAAATTGCATCGTGAAATTAGATTTAATTTCATTTGGTTGCAGTGGATGGTCTTTTTTGTTTTTGTTTTACTTTTTCTAAATAAATCTGAACTGAAAAAGAAGATGTAGATCGCTTCAGTGCATGAAAGTGGTATTTAGCAAACACTGTTAACAGCTGCTGGCAGACTTGTCTGTCATCTAGACCGGTACTGACTATCGTGATTTAGGGTTGCTGCCTTTTAATGGACAGATGTTCCTGCTCCTTTTACAGCCTTGTGACGGGTAGAAAAACCAGCAAGGGCAGATTCTCTCTCCCCTCCCCACCCTCCATCACTGCCTCTCCATGTTGGGAAGTTTGAATGGCTTTAAATGAGGATCAGACAAATTAACGGAGGATACCTGTAAGTATCAGGGGCTACCAGCCATTATATTCTGCCTCCACTGTCAGACGCATTATGGCTCTGAACACCAGTTACTGGGACTCATGAATGGGGAGACTGGGGTCATGCTCAGATCCCACAAGCATCTGGTTGGCCACTGTGAAAACAGGATGCTGGGCTAGACGGGCCATTGGCCTGATCCAGCAGGCTCTTCTTAAATTCTTAAGCTTCACCTAGTGCTGTGCCAAAACTTGTCCCAGGAATCTTTGGCGAGAGCCGTGACTTTGAAGAGGTACAATACTGCTTTAAATGTATGGTGCAAATGAAGCCTATGTTGTGGGTGTGTTTTGAGGTTTTTATTCTGTTCCAGTTTTTTTTTTAAATTAAGTTTTAAAGTTGGACTATGGTTTTTATTATTGATGCATCTTTTGGGGGGGGGGAACCTTCCTAAGGAAGCTTTGTGCATTTAATGAATAGAACTTATGAAATCTACATTTTAAAAAATCAAATAACAGGCAAACCTGTATGAATGTACACAGCAGTAACCCACTGTACTTAATGATAAAGGTAGCTCAGTTATCATTTTGGGGCCGGGTACTTCTACCTATACACTATTCTTTAAGGATAAAGTCAGTGTTACAAAACCTTGATTAAGCCCAGCTGCCTTTCCCATCAGCCACAAAAGCTGTTGCTTACCCAGTGCATGTTAATTTATCCATTCTCTTCTCAACCATCATCAATAAAAACATAGGAACTACAGAAAGAAAAAGAAAGAAAGAAAGAAAGAAAGAAAGAAAGAAAGAAAGAAAGAAAGAAAGTTGGACTATGTTATAAGTCGCTTTGGGTTACTTCATATTTTTGTTTTTTTGTTCTTTTTGAAACCAGCTAAGAAATAGAATACATTCGAATAAAACCGGCACTTACACCAGACCACATCCCGGTGTGTGCAGTCAGCTGAGATGCCCTGTGTTTTGTTTCCCTTTCCCATAACCTCGCTGTGACCCGATTGCCACTTTCACCATGAATAATTAGGTCTCTCCATTCTCCGGGTAGCTGTTAAAAGTCAGAGGGCTGCCAAGTGACTGCTGCGCAGGGGGGGAAAACCAAAGCCTCTCTCGTCCGAGTGGCAAGGGCAAAGGGGAGCTGGCAGCCAAAGGTCATTTCAGCCCCCTCCTCCTCCTTTTATTCGTACGCTGTCTTTCCACAAAAGAGTTGTGCTCAGAGCAGCTTTCAGCATGAAAGCAGTGGTACATCACCGAAAAATCAACAGACGCAATAACAATATCATGATAACAGCTATAATGAAACAACAACATGCAACGAAAACAACAAATGTAGTAACATTGCACCTCCTAGAAATAGAAATAGCTTCTGTGCCCACTACAAATTAGCTGAGAATGCAGTTAGTCTGATCAAATATCAAGGTCTCAGCTTCCTCAAAGGGTCACTGTTCCTTTGGCATTACCCTTCGGGCAGCATTAGTGCTTCCAAAGGCCAGAGGTGTGGTACAGTGGTGCCTCGCAAGACGAAATTAATCCGTTCCGCGAGTCTCTTCGTCTTGCGGTTTTTTCGTCTTGCGAAGCACGGCTATTAGCGGCTATTAACGGCTTAGCGGCTTTAAGAAAAAGGAAACAAACTCACAAGACATTTCGTCTTGCGAAGCAAGCCCATAGGGAAATTCGTCTTGTGGAACGACTCAAAAAACGGAAAACTCTTTCGTCTTGCGCGTTTTTCATCTTGCGAGGCATTCGTCTTGCGAGGTACAGTGGTGCCCCGCAAGACGAATGCCTCGCAAGACGAAAAACTCGCTAGACGAAAGGGTTTTTCGGTTTTGCGTTGCTTCGCTAGACGAATTTCCCTATGGGCTTGCTTCGCAAGACGAAAAATTCTTGCGCATTTTTCTTAACACCGCTTGAAGAGGTGCATTTGCGACGGACCGTGCTTCGCAAGACGAAAAACATCGCAAGACAAAAAGACTCGCGGAACGAATTATTTTCGTCTTGCGAGGCACCACTGTACCACTGTAGTTGGACGCACTCCTCCCATGATGTTCCTGCTGATGCCTCTTCTACACCATGCAGCTTCTCAATAGCCTTAGGTCTGATTTGACAGTGGGTTGTATCCAGCTGCATTCTATGTTCCTCCTGGAACATCATTTGCCTTTTCATCTAAAGCAGTCTCTTCTGGGCCTCTTTACATACCTTTCAAGAGGTTTTCTGCATGGGGAGGTTCCCTCCCCCCTCCCAGTGGTTTTCAGGGGTTCATCCTTTATTACATCATTTAAAAATACTTTTTATTAATTAAAAAAGCTATGGAATTCAGAAAATTTATTTGACCTACAAGCAAATATGGTTGATAAAGTGACTTAGGGCATTACCCGCTCTGGGATCCCACAGCTCTTTCTCCCCTGGTCTCTACACTGGCCCAAATAGGACTAATTTAGCCAGCTAACCCTGGTGATCATCTAATGTTTATTGGATTTCTCCCCTAAATTAATTTTTGAATTCTGAATTCACGTTTTATACTGTATTTTATGCTGTTTTTTGTTGCATCAATTAAGTGTTTTAAATTTGTTGTTAGCCACCCTGAGCCCAGTTTTTGAACCGGGAAGGGTGGGGTATAAATAAAAAATTATTATTATTATTATTATTATTATTCAGAGCCGACCCATTGAAATCAATAGACCTGAGGGTAGGGAGCCTGTGGCCCTTCAGCTGTTGGTCTCCTGTTCCCATCAGCTGCAGCTGGCACAGCCAAAGGGCAGGGATGGGAGTTGGAGCCCAACAACATGTGGAAAGCCAAAGGTTGCCCTATTCCAACCCTAGGAGGTGTGTTTAGATTTGCAGTCTAAGGGTCAAACTAAATCTAAGCAGACTATTTGCATCAGAAGGGATGTTAGTGAGGGAGACATGGTTGGTTTGAGTGCAGAAGGCTCAGACTGTGGAACTCCCTGCCACAGGAGGCTTTTGTGTCTCTTGTAGCATTATATATCTTAAAAGGTATCCCAGTTCTGTTTCTTATGTAGGGAGCTTATGTTGGTTCATGTGGCCCTCTCTTCTTCCTCTTCTTCTTTTCTTCCCAGCACATATCCTAAGCTCAGCACTGCCCGCTCAAGCCATGGACTCCGCCACAGGATGACGCTGGCAGTGTATGGCTTTGTCACATGCAAACTGGCTGGAGGAGTAAACAGAAAATCTAGCATTAGCAGGCTGAGCACTCCTGACACCAGCAAAAGAAGGAACTGAAAGAGGATGACGCAGCTGGAAGAGACAGAAGCTCTTAAAGGTGTTGCCCTCCTGCGCAGCTCCCAACCAGGTAAAGGAGGGCAGCTTCAAGAGAACCTCATACATGGCAAAGGCAGTCACGTCATTTGCCCATTATGGCCTTTCCATCTTTCATACACTGAACCAACCTTAATGGCTAGTCCCCATTGGGACTGGTGGGCTGGAAGGCAGGGAGCCCAACAGTAGGGGGCGACAGAGCTAATGACAGGCAGAGCCAACGAATTCTAGTTTTGTTCCTCCTTGCTGAGTTCCACAAGGGACAACACTGAAAGTGAGGAGGAGGAGGAAGCTGACAGCCAGACAGCCTCCTCCTACCACATGGGGACCCCAAACTGGTTGTAAGAAGTGTGCACGCACATGAAAGCTCAAACCAATAACAAACTTAGTTGGTCTCTAAGGCGCTACTGGAAGGATTTTTTTTTATTTTGGTTGTAAGAAAGACGCTGGGTTTTTGGAGACCTGCTGAGAGTAGACTGAGGCTGGTGAGTCCTTTGCCCTAACAAACCAATTGCTGCTTCTACCTGATGCATTTTAGGTCCTTTAGAGCAGGAAATAACAAAGACAATAGTATTTTGTGTCAGTGTTATTTTTTTGGTTATTTGGTTATCTCTTTTTCCTATTCTGTAATCCGCCCGGGAGCTAGTGAAGACTGGGTGATAAATATATGTAAAATAAAACCATGTCAAAAGGTGGGAAGCCCAATTAGCTCTTTGGCGGAAAGGTGGGATATAAAAGGAAAAATAAAATAAATGTACTGCTTACATTAAGTAGTGAACGACAAGGTAAATAAAGTACTATTTGTCAGAAACTGAACTGCAGTGGAAAAGAAACAGCACTGATCGTGACACAGAGAGGTCAGGCCTTGCAAGAAATCTGGGGCAGGTGTTTAGTGAAAGCCGGAAAGATCCAATGCTGCTAGATTGAAATGTGACACTCTGCTCCCTAAAACACTGCCATTTCCCTTTCAGCACAGGTCTTCTCATGTGTTCTCTGGTCGCCAGGCTGTCTTCTGCCTCCTTCTGGAAAGGACACTTTCTGCCCTGGGTTGCAAAGCTCACCCCTTAAGAATCCCAGGGGGTGGGGAGTGTGTTTCAAAAGGGCGCACCCCCCCGCCACTGTGGGAGCAGGAGAGTGTTTTTATGGATTCCCAGCATCTCAGATATCTGTCTTAGTTGGAATTATTACCTGTCAGACCGCATCTCAGAAACCCCATATCATGAACCCTGTTATCTTCCTGGGTCCACCCACGCACACAGGCAAAATAAACTACAATATTTTTTTTCAAAAACAACAACCGATCCACATGGAGAGATGCACGCTGTTTGCTCACACTCCCACACATATCACGGCAACTGCAGCTGCAAGGAGCAACACACAGGGTTGGGGCTTGTTTGACTGGCATACTTGTGTGTGCAAAGGAAGGCCACCAAGATACAGAGGCTGCAGCTCCAAATACTACAAGCCTGTCTAGTGCTGTAAAATTTTTTGATTATTTTGTGTGTGTGTCCCAATAGATTATGGGGGCGTAACCCATCATTGGTGATTCAGGGGGCTGTTTCAGAGCAGGACTGCAGAAACTCAGACTGGTGATGGGGAGAGAGAAATGGATGTGACAACAGGTCACATCCATTTATCTGCACACCTCTGCCCCCCCCCCACTACTGCCATGCAGCCCCCGCAAGATTGCTCATGATGGAATACTGCCCTTGGCTAGAAAAGGTCTCTACTCCACTCCCCAATTGTATACAGGACTTCCCACTCTTTTAGAAATCTCCACTTCTGGGTTTTTTTTTAATATATTGTTGTGGATAAAGCCTGAAAATGCACAAGCTGCACTTGCTTAAGCAGACACGGGCAGAAGGTGTCTCTGTATCTCCTAGTAGATTTCTAGGTAACATGGAAGTAGATTGGCAAGGATTTCCAACTCCCAATGATGGCCAAAACAAAAACGAACACCCCCCCACACACACTAAATTAATATTGCTGAAATTAAGAAAGCTGATGGGACCTGGAGTGGCTTTTGGTGCAGAGGGACTGTGATTCAGTTCAGTTTGGATACTTTCCTGGAATCATGGCAGGCTGAAAAAAATGTCACTATCCAAGAATTCTCCTCTGCACAGCTTCCTAGAGACAAAGCTCTCTAAGGGCTCTTCCGGGTTCCTGTTTATTAAGCATTCACCCATTGCTTGCACAAAGCTGACACGGAGGTCAAATTATATCCATTTTTTGTTGAGCAACTGTCCCGATTTGTTTGTGGCCAGCTTGTACAACAAATGGCCATATTCACACCATATATTTAAAGGACTGCAATGCCATGTCAAACAGTCACTGCTTCCCCGAAAGCAGCCCGGGAACTGAAGTTTGTTAAGGGTGCAGAGAGGAGATGACTACTCCTCTTACAGAACTACAATTCCCAGAGCTCCCTGTGAAGAGGGATTGACTGTTAACTCTGGGAGCTGTAGTTCTGTGGAGGGAATAGAGGTATCGTAACGAGACTCAGCATCCTTAACATACTACATCTCCCAAAATAACTTGGGGTAGCACAGCTGTTCAAAGCGGCACCGTAGTGCTTTAAATGTATGGTGTGGATGTGGCCAGGGAACATTCATAGTGATTTGCTTGTGTGGGCATTTGCATACCTTTGCATTCATTCATCCCACACATTTCAATGCATTTCCTTGTTACTTTTCTCATCTCAAAAGGGTCATCTTCAGGCTGCTGCTATTTTGCAGGAGGTATTTTATATATACCATAAGGAGACTGCAGAAGGAGGAAAGCAATATATTGCTTTTTTAACCCCTCTCCCTTTTGATTTCCTCCTTCTGCAATCTCCTTATGGAAAGGGGAATGCCGTAAAGCACTTTAGGCCCATGAGAAAATGTGGGGGAACTCTGGAAGGAGAGACGAGAAAGACAGGCAGATGGTGTGCAAAATATTTATTCATACTTCTCTTCTCCCCCCCCCCTTTTCAAATCAGACTTCAGATCTGGGTAGTAGTGCATTTACTTGTAGCAAGCTCTTTCTCCCCACCCCCCGAAATTCTCCTCCCCCTATTGCATGCTCACCCCTGCCTGTTCATCTTTAGACTTCATCTCTCCGAAGACAGGTGCATTTCCATTCGTAGCGGGACGGAACAATTTCAGCAGCCTGGTGCAGCAAGATCTGGGGTGCTGTCACAGGCCACGTGCCAGAGATCTACTGCTCCCACAGTGCAAAACGAAATAAACTCGCTTCCCAAATGGCACCCCTTGCGACAGGAAGGCACGTTTTGAAGCCAGCTGGAAAGTTTTAAAATTAAAACACCCAGGAACCCTTCCAGGCCTTAGCAGAAGGACGGTGGAGCCCATTAGCTGGCCTTGAGGTGTTGAGGGCTCCACCAAGGGTTTTCACCAAGCCCATCCCATTTGGAGGATTCCTGCTGGAGCACCCTTAGCAAAAGCTGCCTATAAATGGGGAGGGATGGGTTCCATCTCAGGCTGGGCAGAAGACTAAGAGAGCTCCACTCTCCCACCTGCTCAGGCTCCCCGCTTCAATCCCCAGTGCAGTTGAACACTGTCAAAGGTCCTCATAAAGGATCGGAAGATCAATCTAGGCCAAGGATGAGTTAACTGGCCATCTGGAGGGCGCAGCTGACCTCCTCAAGCAAATTTATCCAGGCTCCATGTGGCCTTCCCGTGTCTTAAGCCAAGACTGTTCATGCTCATTTAAGAAAACGTAAAATTTTGTTCAAAGGTATGGCACAAGACAGACCCTGCTTTCTCTCTCTTTGGGTTTTAAGTGGAGCTCTCCTCCCCACCCACCCACCAAGTGCATTTGCTATTTTAAGAGCCAATCCACCCATTCAGGTGATCGGACTTCATGGCAAAATATACTTCCAAGCCTTTCTTCCCAACTACTAACTACAGCACAGAACGCCGCACCTTCCCTGCGCACGCACACATACACACACTCCTGAGAATCCAGAAGTCGGCTGTCCCTGATCTAGACCAACCCCTGCTCTAGAAACCAGCTTCTGGAAACACAAAACCTGTGGGCCTGCACAGGACCGATTGCTCAGTCACTGTTCCATCGGGACCAAATGGGCACCTTGGCAATACAAGGGGGGCAGAGGCAGGGTGATGGAAGAAAGGCAGGAGAAGGAAGCTGCCTGAACCCCATGGACTTTGCAGAGATATTAGGGCCTGGAGTTCCATCCGGGAATCTCCTTTAAGGCCAGAGAGTCCTCAGCGCAGAGAAGACACATTTATAGAAACATAGGATGGTGCTTTGACCCTTGATGGTTTCCTTAAATGATCATAATAATGCACGCAGACCTGCAAACTGGTGTGGATTGGTGTGGACCTCCTGCGCACTCTCTCTCACACAGGAGCATAGGAAGCTGCTCTGTATACAAAGTCAGACCATCTAGCTCAATGTTGACTATACTGATTGACAGCGCCTCTCCACGGTCTGAGACAGTGCCATCCTTGGAGGCGCCAGGGATTGAACTGGGACCTTTTGCCTGCAAACCACATCATCAAACACTGAGCGATGGGAGGATGCTGTATTTCCCTCCTTCCCTACAGAAGAATCCCAAAACCAGACCTCCAACCACAGGTTAGATGGAAGGACTCCCAGGCCAAGGAAAGGTGAAACCCACCCACCCCCCATCTCAGCCCCTCCCCGGTAAAAAAACTGAAGCACAGAGGTGTTACCCAAGGAGCTCGCAGAAAAACCAATTCCAAAGCAAGGGAACGAAGGAAGTTACAAAGCAAACAAGCCAACAAACCCAGCAACTCAAGAGCACAAGGAATGATCTGAAGGCATCGGATGCAGCTGCATCCATCATCACAGACGCAGCTCTGCCAGAGGAACACAAAACTCTGGAATAGACACGGGTAAAGGGGTACCAACCCACCAACCCTCCCTCCCCCAAAAGAATACATAGACTCTCATGCCTATAAGGGGATCTCTGAGAACACGGTTGCTAAGGGATCTCCCCCCACCCCTCTTTGGAGCTGAGCTGGGGGTGGACACAGAGGGAATTCTAGGGAAAGGGGTGGCAGTTTGTTCGTTCCTGGGTCACAGGTTGCCCCATTTGCCCTCCGGCCTCTTCCCGCAGGAGCCTAGCACGGGTCCTTGCTAATCTTGTTTTTGGCATCCGGCTGACGCATCGCTTCGGAGACGCGGCGCGCGGTCGCTGGGCTCCTGCGCTCCTGTGCGCCAGGTCAGCCCCCTCCCTTTCTCTCCGGCGATGTCTGCAGTTTTTGGCACTTCCAGGGCGGGTGTTGCAGAGAGAACTGGGACCGGGAAGCGGGAGGGGATTGCTACGGGGGAGGCGGGATCTGTGCCCCTAGAAGGTCGTAGGCAAAGATGTTCCAGAAGACGGCAAAGACCAGGAAGGTGGCGTAGGAGAGAAGCACCACCCACCAGCCGCACTGGTCCTGGAGGTTCTCCTCATAGCTGCGGAGGATGGTCAGGCCCATGCTGATGCCCACAATCGCCCCTGCCAGGTGGGCCATGAAGCTGGGCTGGGGGCCTGAAGAGGGCAAGGGGGGAGAGAAACGCAGCCAAACGGCCCGGCCCACCTCAGAGCTCACTGCGAGGGGAAAGAGAGAGACGAGAGATCACAACAGCTCGAGTCCCAAGCTTCTAGTCCCTTTGAGGCATGTCTCTCTGTCATTGCCCCTCCCCTCCTTTGGTATGTACATAGTGCCTTATAACATTTATATTAGAGGTGTCCATGTCCCCCTCCCGAGCAGTTTCAGGGTTTAATTGGGCCCAATCCAAGTCAGGGTAATCTGGGGCTGACCCAGAGTGGATCCGGGCCCTTGCACAGTGTTTAATTAGGGTTTCACACATGGGGTCAAGGATGCAAGAGGAAAGGCCTGTGTCTTCCCCGCACCATGGAAGTCTCAACCAAGAGAGACCAGTATACTTACTGCACACCAGGGCTAACACCATGCGCAACAGTTTGTAAGGGCAACGCATCCCTGCCCAGTTCTATGGAGAGAGAAACAGAATTAGATTTTCTTTCTGCCCATAGCTTCTTCTCCTGATACCTTTCTCATCACACCCCCTTCCGTAAGAAGAGCCTGCAGGATCAGGCCTATGGACCTCCTGCAGTCTGTTCTCGCAGCGGCCGACCAGATCTAACGTAAAGTGAAACGGTATCGCGTCCACCAATATTTACAACTCCAGGAGCTTTCAGCCTGATCCTGAAATTCTTCTTCACGGATTTGCCCTGGAATGGCACTGCTCAAGGGAAGCACACTTGGGCCTCTGTCACTGTCCAAGGCCACCGTGAGGCTGAATGACCCACCTCCCAGGAAGAAGGTGACGGCAAGGGGAAGGCCAGCCAGGCCCCAGCCACAGGCCAGAGAAGGAGCAGCCGCAGGGAGCTGGCTTCCTTGCTCGCTGCCAGAAACAGCACCCAGTTACACCAGCCAGCTGTCCCAGGACTGTAGGTCTGAGGAGGAGCACACTCTGTCTCCATCTGTTTACCTGGGTGGGGGAGCTAAAGAGGGCTGAGATGTTTGGATTTGGGGGTTCTGTTGTGAGTCACTTGAAGGGTCATTTGGTTAAGGTGGATATATTCCAAATGGCTAAATAAATACTTGGTTTAGTTTTTCATGACACCGTTCTGTTCTATAACCCCCCTGCGATCCTTGGATGAAGTGTGTGATATACTTTTAATATAATTAAAATAATATTTTTTATTTGTCTAGCCAAGTCCTGGGGACAAGAGGCAGGTATCACCACGTTTGGCAGAATACCAAGGCATGAAAAAGTACAATTCATTTCAGAAAAGAAACCATAGAGAGGGTCAGGGGAGGAACACCCACGCCCAAAACACAGCTCAATGAGGACTGAGTATGCTCAGTGACCACAGAGTGCAGAATGTCCGCTAGGGAAAATGAGAAACAAACAGAAGGTCCCAGAAAACAAGGAGGAAAGTCGAGAATGGAATGGAGTACAGTGGTACCTCGGGTTACATACGCTTCAGGTTACATACGCTTCAGGTTACAGACTCTGCTAACCCAGAAATATTACCTCAGGTTAAGAACTTTGCTTCAGGATGAGAACAGAAATCGTGCTCCAGCGGCGTGGCGGCAGCAGGAGGCCCCATTAGCTAAAGTGGTGCTTCAGGTTAAGAACAGTTTCAGGTTAAGAACGGACATCCGGAACGAATTAAGTACTTAACCCGAGGTACTACTGTATTCCTGAGGGGTACTGGCTGGCTGGCTGGCTGGCTAGAACCCAGGAGCCACATGGCACGGCAACATTTTGTTGAAGATCTCACCACAGAATCACCATATTGAAGCCCACCAAGCGCCCATCAAGTTCCCCTCCCCCATTCAGTTCAAAGTGGCACCCCACTCACCATGACAACGTTGGCCAGGTGAGCGGAGCAGAGGGCGTAGACTCCCCCCGAACCTCCAACCAAAGGTGCCCTCATGTCTGTGATGGAGACGGTCAGGGAACCTGAAAGGGAAATAGGGAGGAGAAATAGGATGGAGTTGGGTAGGGGCACCACAAACAAGGATTTTCATTGCCTCAGCAACTTGACACACATTTAGTTGCCAGCAAAAATGTAGTCTGGACACCCCTCAGTAAATGATCAACACCCATGATCCTCTCCCTGCAACACCCTTGCCTGACCAAACCTCAAGGCATTCTTCACTTTATTTATTATATTTTAATACCACATTTTCTTCCAAGGAACTCAAGGTAGTGTGCACAGTTCTTCTCCCCACTTCATCCTCACAACAACCCTGTGAGGTAGGTTAGGCTGAGAGATGGCGGCTGCCTCAAGGTAACACAGCTAGAGCTCCATGGCTGAGTGGGGATTCGAACCCTGGTCTCCCAGGTCATGGCCCAACCCTCTAGCCATTACACCACACTGGTTCTTCTTGAAGGACTGCCTTCTCCAGCATGAAACCCTTTCACACCCCACACATTAAACACCTGAACAGTCGTGGCTACCCCCAAAGAATGATGGGAACTGTTCTCCTAATTGTTCACTCAGAACTCCTTAGAAACTAGGTAAAGGTAAAGGGACCCCTGACCATGAGGTCCAGTTGTGGCCGACTCTGGGGTTGTGGCGCTCATCTCGCTTTATTGGCCAAGGGAGCCGGCGTACAGCTTCTGGGTCATGTGGCCAGCATGACTAAGCCGCTTCTGGCGAACCAGAGCAGTGCACGGAAACACCGTTTACCTTCCCGCCAGAGTGGTACCTATTTATCTACTTGCACTTTGACGTGCTTTCGAACTGCTAGGTTGGCAGGAGCAGGGACCGAGCAACGGGAGCTCACCCTGTTACGGGGATTTGAACCGCCGACATTCTGATTGGCAAGTCCTAGGCTCTGTGGTTTAACCCACAGTGCCACCTCTTTAGAAACTACAGTTCCCATAATTCTTGGGGGGGGGGTGAACCATGCCTGTTAAAATGGTATAAGGGTCTTTTCAACATATGGTGTGAATATGACCCACACAGGGTCAGCAATGTGATGCCCCCCCCAGACTGCAACTCCCATCATCCCTTGGCAAATCTGGCTGGGGCTTATGAGTTGTAGTCCAAAACATCTGGGGCTTCCCTAGGTTGACAAAGACAAAGAATGGAGGAAGGGGGAAAACAAAAGCCTGACATGTTTAAACAATTTCAGATGGGTTCTCCTTGAAGATCTGAAACCCACCAACCTTCTTGGGTTTGTGGAGGGGAAAAAATACCAGCCTCTTCTGGACAGGCCTTAGCAAGCTGTGAAATGCTCTCCCCAGAGCCCACTGGGGGCAGCCCGGCAGATTGTGCTCCTTCCCTCCCTCCCCAGATGTACTTTGCTGAGACAGCAGCTTGGGAGAGGAGAGCCAGCGACTGATGAGGAATTGTTCACCCTCCATTTCGCTCTCCCTTCCACCACCACCACCACCACCCCGCCTCTCCAAAAAAGACATGGATGGGTGAGTAATTCCAGCAGCTGCTCTAATTGCCCAGGGGCTCAGAAAACAAATAAATAAATAAAGCTTGCAGTGACAGCCAATAAATACTCTCCCAAAGCACCGTAATTTAGAGCCTGATGCCTCCCCGCCCCCCAGCTGTCCTGGACAGGGACCACGTGGGATTTGGTCAGACTGGACTCTCGGGCAGAGACAGTGTGCGATAATGCAGGGATCTTTCTTTGTGTGTGTGTGTGCGTGAAAGAGAGAGAGAGATCTACAGCCAGGGGAGACAGTCTCAATTTTTAGGGATTTAGATGCTCCAGAGACAGAACTTTGGTTCACAGAGCGCTGTTTATAAACTGTCCTGAAGGAAAGGAGATGGAACCAAAATGAAACCCCAACATTGTGTGTGTGTGTGTGTGTGTGTGTGTGTGTGTTGTGTGCTGTACCACAATTTAAGGCCTCATCTGCACTATACGTGTAAAGCAGTATCATCCCACTTATGGCTTCCCCCCCAAATATCCTGGGAACTGTAGTTCGTTAAAGGTGCTGAGAGTTGTTAGGAGACTCCTGTGTTCCCTTCACAGAACTACAATACCCAGAGTTCCCTGGGAAGAGAGAATGACTGTTAAGCCACTCTGGGGATCCTCAGGCTTGAGGACTGAGTGTGGCCCTCCAGGCCTCTCTACCTGGCCCTCAGAACTCTCCCCAGGCCCCACCCCTCTCTGGCTGTGCTGAACAACTCCCAGAGGGTCCTGGCCTGGCTGGAATGTGCCCCAGCCTGGAATGTGAATTTGGATGATGGAAGATGGAGACAGGGGTGTTCAGAGACTAGCCTGCTGCACAAGGCAAAAGGTACCCTTGTGGCCCCGCCCACTTTTGCCTCTTGCCCCTCCTACCCCTGGTGCAAGGCCCCTGGAAGGTCGCCCAGCAGGGAATGTGGCCCTCAGGCTGAAACGTCTTCCCCCACCCTGGGCCTAAGGGCTAACAGATTTATGGTGTCCAGCAGCGGGGCTTAGAGAAAAGTGGAGTTGCAAGCCGTGCTCCCTCACCTGCCAGAACTCCTGCGAGGTAGAGGAAGCTGATGCGAAGGATACCGTGAACCATCTCTAGGGGTACCCCGATCATCAGCTGCAAGAGGGCATTGAAGCCCAACTGCTCCAACCTGGAAAGAGACACGTAAAGGCAGTGAGCTCAGCAGCCAAGAATCCCAGGAGGGGACAGACAATGTTCAGCTCACCTTGCCAGAAACGATGAGAGCCAGAAACGATGAGAGCTCCCCAAACCCTGTGATGTTCTCAGGTCTCAGAAGCTCTCAGGCCCAAACGTCACCTCCTCTAGGTCTGCAGGTGCCGTTTGCCCAAACGAAGGAGCCTCTCCTGCTGCCTCCAGAACCCAAAGGAATCTCACAGAATTGTAGAGTTGGAAGGGACCTTGAGGACAATCTAGTCCAACCCCCTGCAATGTGGGAATCTTTTTGCCCGACGTAGGGCTCAAACCCACAACCCTGAGATTAACTGTCTCATGCTGTGCTGGCTGAGCTAACCTGCAGTGGCAGTGGGCTGGTGCTCCCTGCCCATAGACACCTCCCCGCCCCCATCTGTACCCACATTGCAAAAATACGGAGTCAGCTTGCTCACTTGCACATCTCTCGTCCAGGGAACGTTTCTCAGCTCGAGGGCCACGCTGCCAAACCAGGCAACCTTCTGGGGGCCACATGCCAAGGGTAGGCAGAGGGCCTAATGCAAATTCCACCTTTTACACAGTAGGCTAGTTCCTACACTGACTCACTCACTCCTCTCTAGCCTCCATCATAGAAAGTGAGAGGCACGATCAGAGTTCGGGGACACATTCCAGCCAGGCAGAAACACTCAAGAAAGGGGTGGAGCAGGGCTGGCGAGGGGCGTGGCTGCAGAGGGGGCGTGGCCTGCAGAGCAGTGGCGTAGCGTGGGGGGTGCCGGCCGCACCGGGCGCAACATCTGGGGGGGAGCGCTCGCACTCGCAGCTCTCTGCCCCTACCTGGCTCACTCACTCTCTCTCACTTGCCTTGCCCCGGGTGCTGACAACCCACGCTACGCCACTGCTGCAGAGAGTTCCAAGAGAGAAATAGAGAGGTTTGGAGGGCTGTATTTGGCCCCTAGGCCTGAGGTTCCCGCCCCTGGCTCTGCTGGAAGCAACGAGGGGCAAGACAAGGCAGACACTTACCCCACATGCATGAACATGTAGGTGAGGAACCTCCAGGCACGAGCGCGGTGTCCCGGGTGGTACACGAGGGGGCTCTTCATGTACTCGGGGTGGTATGTCTGCAGGACCCACTTGTTCAGCCGGGCCCCATAGCAGAGGAATACGATGATCTAATAGAAACAGGATGCGGGGAGGTTATTTAGGATGCTCTACTATGGTGTCCAAATGGGTGTGAGGCTGTCCAGCACCTTCGCAACACCCAGAGATAAAGTTGATAAAGCTGCCTCCCCTTCCTATGTCTCTAGTCCTCAAGAAAATAGCTGAAAATGCATTAAACAGGTTGCGTCTAGGCTGGAAATGAACAGGAGACCAGAAAAAGCCGCACAAAGCAATACAGTGGTACCTCGGGTTACATATGCTTCAGGTTACATATGCTTCAGGTTACAGACTCCGCTAACCCAGAAATAGTACCTCGGGTTAAGAACTTTGCTTCAGGATGAGAACAGAAATCGTGCTCCGGCGGCGCGGCAGCAGCAGGAGGCCCCATTAGCTAAAGTGGTGCTTCAGGTTAAGAACAGTTTCAGGTTAAGAACGGACCTCCGGAACGAATTAAGTACTTAACCCGAGGTATCACTGTACTGGTCACTAAATTCTTCTCCTTTTTTAAAAAAAACAAAGCAATATGCTGGTCCTCAGGGTTGCAAATATATGACTGCAGGAAAGAAACAGAGTGGGGGCAATGCCTAGTCAAATCTCAGATGTCCAAATAGTTGGGGGACGCAGAAATTGTTGGGGTTCAGCACCTTCTGCAGCACCTCCTCCACCCATGAGTAGGCAAAGCAGAATAAGTTGTGCAAAACTGGAATGCAGTGGACGCTCAGGTTGCAAACGTGATCAGTGAGGGATGCACGTTCACAACCTGCAGCGTTTGCAACCCGCGTCTGAGCACGCGCGGATTGCGATTCAGCGCTTCTGCGCATGCGCAACTGCCGAAACCCAGAAGTAACCCGTTCCGGTACTTCCGGGTTTCAGCAGTCCGCAACCCGAAAAAACACAACCTGAAGCAGCTGTAACCCAAGGTATGACTGTAAACGAGATCCATTTGCAGCATTTTGTTTTATAACAGCAGGAATTCTTTTTATACATATGGTCAAAACACAGGTGCATGCACACAAGGAGAATTCCTCCAGCTGCAGAACCTGGCGTCTCCCACAAGACGCTGATCAAGCTTTCTTTAAAAGTTTTAAAAGTTAACCACGGGCTGCCTCTTCCCCCTAAGAGGAGGGTGCCCTCCACTGGCACTCGGGCGAACAGCAGATCACCTCTCCGCCCACCTGGGTCAGTGTGACGACTGCCATGAAAACCGGAGGGGGGCAGGTGCGGTGCTGGTAGAAGTACCACCTCCGGTCCATCTCGCAGGGAAGGATCTCGTAGGCCACGTAGCGCACAAAGCGCTTGTAGAACCCCAGGCCCGTCTCGTCCAGGAGCCCATCGCGGGGAAGCGCCCTCTGCCCGTTGGCGATGGCTCGCTTGAAGCTGCTCGACCGCTTGCTGCTGATCTGCAGAGAGGGGCCACGTCAGGCAAAGAGGCAGGAGACCCGCTCCCTGGAGCTCTCGGGGCGAACCAGCCCCCCAGGCTCCAGCTCTCGCCACCCCCACCCCCCAGCCAGCCAGTAAATGATGCTCTGTATTATTGCCCTTTGTCAGCACTGCTTAAAGCCTCCAGTCAGCTGCTAACCTTGCCTTGCAAATATATCCAAGATAATTACTATGAGAAACTGGCAGCAAGCATTGAAAACAGCCTTACAGACACCCCTGTTAGGTAGGTCAGTCCTAATACCCTTTTGTCGCAGATGGGGAGCTGAGGCTAAGAGAGAAAGGCTGGCCTGGTGAGTTCGTAGTTTCAGAAGATACTCGAACGAGGAGACACTGGCTCTTAAATAAAAAAAAGGTGGCTGCCGAGAGTTTTACTCCTGCTTCCCAGCTAAACGCGGACTGGCTTAAGGGAGGGAGACCCCATGTTTGGCCAGCAGGGGGCACTGTGGGGCCTGACCTCCCACCAGCTTCCCTGGTGCTTAAGGGCAAGCTCAGTCCTTTGGGGCTGCATGATGAGCACCAAAAGACCTTGCTCAGGGAGATGAGCTGCATTCGGGAATTGAATTGCAGGTCACACGGTGTGCAGACGGAGCCTGCCTACTAATGCCCTCCTCCTTGCCTTACCATCTTGGCATTCAGCTGAGCCAATTAAGGAGAAATTATTGACTATTAAGTATTCAGAACTGGATAGCTGGTGCGGCCTAAATGCTTTTTAACAAAGAACTTAGGAAGAAAAGAAGAGAATTGGATATTATCCCTTTAATTGGACTCTCCCTCCCCCTTCGCTATCCAAGATTACAGGAGGGCGGGGGATTCTACATCTACTGGGTCTTCCTCCTGTGAAGCCTTCCCCTATAGGAACCCACAGGGTGACCTTGGGACAGTCTCTATCTCTCAGCCTAACCTACCTAGCAAGGTTGTTGTGATGGAGAGGGAGATCAGTGGATATGTCTGACTTCTACAAAATCTTACTGGCTTCAAAATTTGGCAAAACATTTTGCACTCCTGCTCAAGCCAGGCAGGCAGGCAGGGAAAGCACATTCGAGTGGAAAAGAGAGGCATGAAGTTTTATAATTATATTTCGGTAAAGGTAAAGGGACCCCTGACCATTAGGTCCAGTCGTGGCCGACTCTGGGGTTGCGGCGCTCATCTCGCTTTATTGGCCAAGGGAGCTGGCGTACAGCTTCCAGGTCATGTGGCCAGCATGACTAAGCCACTTCTGGTGAACCAGAGCAGCACACGGAAATGCCATTTACCTCCCCTATTTATCTACTTGCACTTTTGACGTGCTTTCGAACTGCTAGGTTGGCAGGAGCTGGGACCGAGCAACGGGAGCTCACCCCGTCGCGGGGATTCAAACCGCCGACCTTCTGATCGGCAAGTCCTAGGCTCTGTGGTTTAACCCACAGCACCACCCGTATTGCATTTATATTGCACCTTTCCTCCAAGGAGCTCCAGGTGGCCGACATTTGTTCTCTTCTTCCTTATTTTGCTCTCACAACATCCCTGGGAGGCGAGTTAGGCTGAGAGACTGTGACTGTCCCAAGGCCCACCCAGTGGGCTTCAATCTGCAAACCATCATTTGCAGGGAGCGTTTGTTACGTCCAATACTTGTGATGTTAGACAGGCACCTTCATCCTACAGCTTTCTTTGCTCAAACAAGCTTACCTACAAAAAGTCTGCTTTTATTGCTCTTTCCAACGAATGCTTTGTGTGAACTTGCTTACTGATTCTTATTTTATCTTAAGAGGTATAGGTCAGAAATCCTGCAGAATCACAAGCACTGATGCAGCCACAACTACGGTGGCTGCCAGGTCTCATGCCACTGACCAGGTCTACCAGCTCCTGATAGCAGATCTGTCCCTCGTCGTTGCTCTGTGCCAATGCCACCAGCATCTCCAGTTTTGCGGGGTCCAGAGGCAGTTCATGGCTGTGTACCAGGCTGGCAAAGGTCTCCACGCCAATGAAACCGGTGTTTTCAGGATCAAGCTGTTGAAGAATCAGCACTGGGCATTAGCGACAACGAATAAGCTGGAAATCAAGAGTGGTGATCCATCTCAGCAGGGCTGTTTATTCTGTGCAAGGACAGAATTTGATACTGGATGAAGAATTCCGTATCCCTAAATTATTGCTGGTTGGTTAGCTCCCACGCCCTGACAACCTCAAGTTCCTAGCCATTTTTTTATTATTGCATTTATATCCCACCTTCCCTTCCAAGGAGCTCATTGTTTCCCACCTTCTGCACAACAACCCTGCAAGGTAAGTTACAGGCCGAAACTGTGGCTGTATTTGCAAGGCAGTTTCGTTTGTTTTCCTGACGTTTCCCTGTTCTACATTACATTTGAACTTTCACACCATGTAGAAGTCACTTTGGAAAACTAACGGACTACAGTGCATGTTTAGAGCTTATTTCTGTGTTATTTTTGATTCCAGAAAAATTCCATTTGCAGCTCCCTTGACCCGGAAAATTGTGGGAGTAAAGTGGCAGAATTTTGGGGTGCTATACCACCATAGAGTTCTTCCCTTCCATTTTCATGGGGCAATCGTGGGGGAACAGAAGTAGACACATGCAGAAAGGGTGGAGGTGTTAACGGAGAAAGAGGTTAGCTGCGGTGTTCACTGATGTTCGTTTTTCTATGTCACAACGTGCTTACTTGGCGTGAATGAAATTTAGAGTGACAGGCTAGTATATCGGTCAAAAAGCCACAGTTCCATGATGCAGCAGGTGCTGCAACAGCAGGTGCTGCAACATGAAAGGGACATTAGAAAATGGGAAAGAAGCTTCAGCATTATAAGCAAGAAAACTAAGGCAATATACCCCACATTTGAATGCACCCTTTGGCTGGCTTCATGACTGAGTGGGGGTTTGAACCCTGGTCTCCCAGTTCCTAGACCAACACACTAACCACTACACCATGCTGACCATGGGGCTTGGTTGAAACTTTCAAGCCTGTGACCGGAGCAATTTTGCAATCCAAAACTTTGAAGTTAAGTAGGGGATACATTGAACCAGGTGTAAATCTGGCTTCAACATCCTGCATAGCTCCTTGCCTGATTCAGTAAGTAGCAGTGATCCACAGGTAAAAGGCAGGCAGGCAGGCATTGAACCAGTAAGCAGCGCAGTCTGAGTGTTCATAGAATTGTAGAGTTGGAAGGGACCCCAAGGGATGTGGAGGTGGCGAAAGTGCAAGGAGATGAAATCTTAAGGATGAGCAAAAATAAATTTGATTGCCCTAACACACTTCGAAATGCATTCCTCCTTCACGTGCCCTTAAAAAACAGACCACTGTGTCCTCAACCATACTCTGTAGCCAAATGAATCTATTATTCAAGATAAATATAATCAACTTGGCTCATCTGCATAATTTGGGGCGGGGGAGGAAAGAATTTGAGACAATGCAGAACTTGGATTTTTTTACACACACACACACGCGCGCGCACACACACACCCCAACAACAATCAATCTTCCAACCGAGACATTAACGCAACAGCTGAAAGTGCCTGTTGCAACAGTAAGCCAAATAATTATTTTAACAAACAGCTCAATAAACAGCTTTTGTTGAGTAATGCTGTGCCAAAAATCTCTCCTGACCATCTTCCATTTGCATTTGAAAATTACCAAACAGAAGATAACATTCTGGGGGACATAGGAAGCTGCCTCATACCAAATCAGACCATTGGTCCATCTAGCACAGAGCTGTCTACACTGACTGGCAGAGGCTCTCCAGGATTCCAAGCAGGGAACATTCCCAGCACTACACTGGGAACCAGGGCTAGCACTGCTAACCAAGGCGATGACTTCATGAGTTGGCTTCAGTAGATCTAAACATGTATGGTAGTTGGTTTCCGAAAGGTTTCTGGGCACTGGTCAACTCACTTCTCAAAATCAAGCAACCTGCCTCATATGCAGTGTTGAAACCCAAATTGATTTCCCCCTTAAGCATTTCATGAGAATCTCAGCTTCATTTATTTGTTGTTGTTTTTTAATGGTATCTATCTGCTTAGGCACCTACCTCCCTAAAAAAGAGAAAATGCATATCCATAAAGGAAAAGCAAAAGGCTGTATAAAATTTTCTTGCGCTAATCGGAGCAGCTAACATATATGTGCAGGTGCACATTTTTACAAGAGGAGTGTAATTTATAATTTAAACTCTGTTTGAAATACATCTCCCCATTATGGAAAAGACTGTGACCAGGTGAGCTGTGTGCCCGACGGCTCAGTCTGCTATCCATGTGTTCAAACCATCGATGGGCAACTTCGCAGTCCCTCCTGCTCTCCTTTCTTAAGGTTCTTTAAACTAAACTTAAACTGGGCGGCCCTTCCGATAAGAGGACTGTCTGCTGCAAAGTAGGACACTGTGGAGACATGACTGAAAGTGTCTCTGGGGGCTATTATAGTCTCCCCAAGGCATTTCTGCTAATCAACATGACTAACCCACCCTGAGATGTGTGGCTATTTTTGTATCTGGAAAGAACTATTTTACACTTGTAAGGCTGTCTTCAGGAATGTCAAGAATGGCTGAACGAGAGAGAGAGAGTTTAGGGAAACAGTCTGTCATGCGCACCCCAATCTCTGAGTAGTAAGAGACTCCAGAGATTCCCACACTTGCCCAGGGCTTAGATCCCTTGGAGTGAAGGTCAGAGGAGTCTGTGTTGTCTTTGGGGTATATCATTTACTTACATATATCTGTAACATGAGCGTAGGACAGAGGGGCTCACAGCATGAGCACTCCAACAGATCTTACCTCCCCATTGTTCCCAGGGAGATCCCCAAGCCATAGCATTGGGTTCAGCACAGAGCAAGACAAGCCTCTGCGTCTACAGCTTCTAGCATCAGCCAAAAATGCATGAGCGCGCGCACACACACACAGCTCTCTTGGCATATTTTTATCCCTCCTATGGCATCCAGCCAGATGAGGTGGGAAAAGGCCCAGCCACTTGTCTCTATGGCAACAGGGTAACCTCCTTGGACATGTAAATGGCAGCACTTAGCTGGCCAGTTCATGCCATTATCTTACAAAGAGTCTGGTCTGACTGGTTCAGCAGAGTTTCCCTTATAGATTCTAACCTCACAGATACAGGATCATAGGTTTAGAAGTGACCCATGGTCACCCCCTGACTGACACCTGCTCCCCAACCTATAACACTATATAATTTGTGTGCACATCTGATGAAGTAGACTTGAATCCACAGAAGCTTATACCATAAAAAAGTATATACAGTGGTACCTCAGGTTACAGATGCTTCAGGTTACATACGCTTCAGGTTACAGACTCCGCTAACCCAGAAATAGTACCTTGGGTTAAGAACTTTGCTTCAGGATGAGAACAGAAATCATGCTCCGGTGGCGCGGCGGCAGCAGGAGGCCCCATTAGCTAAAGTAGTGCTTCAGGTTAAGAACAGTTTCAGGTTAAGTACGGACCTGTGGAACGAATTAAGTACTTAACCCGAGGTACCACTGTATAATAAAATGGGTTAGTCTATATTGCTATTTTGTTCTGTTGGTGGGAGCTGGGGAATACACACACAAAATAATCTAAGGTGGAAGGTTTAGCCAGAAAGAAAAGCACCCCTTGAAATCCCTGCCCAGGGCATCCAAAGTGCCCACGGTTCCAAGCATGTGGCAGAGCTAGTAAAACAAAATTATTCTACACATTGCATTGTCTTTGCCATTTTATCCCTCCAGGGAAGAGAAGGCACAGAAAAGAGAACAAGCTGGCAATGTCATTGAGAAATGGGCAGGACAGGGAATGCTTGGGCGGGAGGGAAGGAGGAACACACAGAGAGAAATGTCATCAGGTTTGAGCAGCAGGAAAGCACTCTGTCCTCACCTGCCCATCTCCCAGCACAAGGAAGTCCTGGCTGGTGAAAGTCAGCTACTAGTAGTTTTCAGGGTCCCACAGCATGCAAGGGCCATGCCAAACATGGGGCTGTCAATACCTGGAAATATATTGCCAAGGACAAAAACATGCTCTGGGGGCGGAGGTTGCCCCAAGCTAAGAACAAGCCTTCATTTTGCCACATGCATTGCAAGCCGTGCCTTCCCCACACCGCAAACAAGAATCAGTCCCTCTTGTGACTTGGTGGGTTGCGCTGTCTAGTGGTGGAGCATTTAGCAAGGGGGTGGGGGAGAATCCATTGCATCTTAGGAGGCCTCCAGACTGTTTTGCTAGAGGGATTCGGGTGCAACCAAAAATGTAGGTTTGCACAATTAAAGTGGGTTAAAAGCGGTCCATCATATCAAATCAACTTTGAAAAGTGATGGGCCAAACGCCAAAAGTCTGAGTAGGTCATAAAACTCCATGCACTTTCTCTCTTGGAGGGAGCATAACCCGAGCAAGCCTTGGGCTCACTTCCCATACCTAGGATCCACAGCACCTCCACCTTGTCAGGTTTCAGCTGCAGCTTCTTGGGCCCCATCCAGTCCATTATTGCATCCCCACTGGTTCAGCACTTGGACAGCATCCCCTGACTCTTCTTTGCCCAAGCAATTGAGCGTTACTGTTTCTACCAAACCCAACAGAACTTTTTAAAAAAACCAAAAACACACACCTTCAGGGATTGTAAGCTGCTGCTCTATTCAGTGCCTGCTGTTTCATTAATTCTGCATTTATGCCTTTAGGGTTTGTTTGCTTTTAAGTCGCCTGCAACTGCTGCCATTACAGTCTTGCTGCTCTGTTTCCTTGCCATGTTGTTGAAGGCTGTTTTTAAGGTTATAATGTTAGCCACTTTGGAAAATTTTCACCCAATGGAGAAAGTGGGAAGAAAATACCTTATAGTACGGTTGGGGGGCCTCAAAGGGCCAAATTCAGACTGCCCGGCCTCTCTCTCTCCAGGCCAAACCTGAGTTCCCCACAACCATCTGTGAGCCTCGTCTTTCCCCCCCAAGCCACACCCCTCTCCAGGCAGACACCCTTTCCCCAGGCCACACCCACTCATCAGACACACCCTCTTTCCTCAAGCCACACCCCTCACTGCCCCTGATTTGCCCCCTGCTTGAGTGTTTTTGCCTGGCTGGAAAGTGTCCTTGAATTCTGACAATGCCTCTTGCTTTGGAGGATAGAGAGGGCGTGTGTCTGTAGAAACCAGCCTCCTTTACACATTCCTTTAAAATTTGCATTTGTGGCTCCGTCCAGTTTTGCCCCAGGCCCCGCCCACCACTGGCATGTCCCCTCCCACCAAGGTTGCCCAGTAGGGAATGCAGCCCCAAGGCTAAAAAAGGCTTCCATGTCCCTGCATTACAGCATGGAATGAAACATGAGAAGGACGAGTCGCATGTCAGCACTCCTGAATCTCCTGCTTAGGGGCTGACCCTGCTGCAGGGTCTTCTCTTGATCCTGGAGGGGCTACCCTAACCCAGAGTAAATTCCGGGATGCTGACAATTAAAGCCCCACTGCTCCTAGCAGCTGCTTTTCCTCTCTCCCTTGGGAGGTCACTGGGGGATAGTGGAAGCCGTTCATGTGGATTATTTAGGTCAGCATATTATAAAGCTAGTCAGCTGCCCCTGTTGTAGCCAGCTGCTCTTTCCTCTCTGCCTTGCCCCGGCACAGCATCACCCAGCGCATGCTAACCACAAAGTACTGTAACTTACACGAAACTTGCAAGTACAGCCACGCACGTTCCTGCATCGCAGTTCACAGGCATGTTGTTCAGAGTCCTGCTGGAGAGGCACTGCCGGTCAGTGTGGGCAATAGTAAGCTGCATGGACCAGTGATCTGACTCACTATAAGGTAGCTTCCAGTGCTCCTACAAGAAGTTCACCCGCTCCCTTTCACCACACACAACTTGTTGTGTGAGTCAGGCACATCAGTGGCGGCTAATCTTTGTGTCCCTCCAGACGTTGTTAGAATCAACACCCAGCACTCCTGATCATTCGCCGTGCTGGCTGGGGCTGATGGGACTTGGAGTCCAGCAACATCTGGAGTGCCAGAAGTTAACTGCTCCCCGCTTAGATTAAATACCCAGCTTCATGGAGTTCTGTGCTAACACAAAACTTCATCTCTGCCCCCCCTGCCCCAAAAAAGTGTGCTTTGAGAGGACTGAGCCCAGGTCATGCAGTAAGTTATCTTTATAGGAAGGAGAATAGGGCAAGCTCATTCCTCCCCTCGCATCAGCCCCTGTGACTGAATAAACCAGGGAACAAAACTGTATTAGATCAGCTGAGTCAGTTGAATTTCTAATTTTGTTTTGTTTGTTCACATAACAGTGATGTGGTGTGTGTGTGTACACAAGCTTTACTGTTCCCATTTCACAGTTGGGAATACTGAGGAAGAGCTGTTATAAACTTGTCCAAGTTATAATTCTAAACCTACTAGGGAAATAAGCCCCATTCAATGTCGTGAGAGTAAACAGTGCTTAGGGCTGCTATTCCCATTGTGCAATCCTACGGATGCTTCCACAGAAGTCTCACTGAATTCTGCACTTCTTACGCCCAAGCAAGTGTGCATAGGATCTGCAGTCCCAACTATCTTATAGCAAAGATTTTATCTTCCAGAATTCTATGTGACTCTCACTTTAATGATGGTGTGAAGCCCTAGCTGTGTTGCTCTCCAGTTAATGGAGAAAGACTGTAGCTGAATGGTGGAGCATCTGCCTTGCCCCCAGAAGGCCTCTGGTTCGATTTCCGGGTAGGGCTTGGAGAGCTGCTGCTAGTCAGTGTATACAATACTAAACCAGATGGGCTGAGAGTCTGGCTAAGGCAGCTCATGTGTGTTTGTGGGTCATAGTATGCTGCCCAACTAATATAAAATCTGGGGCTCATCTACTGGTCCAGAAGCAGTAACGACATACTCCAGTTTTCACCACCAGGTCAAGGCCACTTGTTTACATTGAGATTTAATGCAGTCTCATAATAATATTACAAAGAGCTTTCAATAAGAACATAAGAGGAGCCGGCTGGATCAGACCAATGTTCCATTCAGCCCAGCATCCTGTTCTCACAGTGGCCAACCAGATTCCTACGGAAAGCTCATAAGAAGGATCAGAGCACAATAGTTCTCCGCTCTACAACAGCACTCAAGCATTTCACATCCGTTATCTCGGCAACACTTACAACAACAGCCCTGTGAAACAGGCTGGTGGTACCCATGTCCCCAAGCTGCTGATGGACGGTGCCAAGACAGACAGCATGGCGACTCCTCAGCCCACCAACTGAACTCTTAGCCAAGGAGCCATTTGAAGCAGGGGCTGTTCTGGGCTTTGCAGCCGCTGCTTTGAGCCAGACCGTTATGCCAGCGCTCAGCTCAGAAACAACAGCAGATCCCGGCAGTTCTTACGAAGGGATCCTTCACAGACAGCCAAACAAACGGTCACTTTGACAAAACGAAATATGCCATGGAGGTTCATGGGGGGTTTTGCCTGAGAGGCTGCTGACTGATCTGGACACAGGGGTGACGGAAGTGACAGAAGCACAACTGGCTCAGCCTCCAGCAAGAGAATTTCAGCTGCTCTGCAGACAAGGTTTTGAGTTCCTTGCAAAGTCACCAAAAGATAAGACTCGGGGTAGCTCAGTCAGTAGAGCATGAGACTCTTACTCTCAGGATTGTGGGTTCCAATTCTATGATGGGGAAGAGATTCCTGTGTTGCAGGGGGTTGGACTAGATGACCCTCATGGTCCCTTCCAACTCTGCAATTTTATGGTACCCAAGAAGGCAGTGGTCCCACTATGACTCAGAGCCCTGATTCCATCAGTGGGGAATCCACAGATCCTGTCATGCTGCAAACACATTTTTGTCCCCCTGCCAGGCAGGCTGCCCTGGGCTTCAGCCATGGCAGTGGCCGTGTTGTGTAGCGGTTACAGCACCAGAGCAGGACCTGAGAGACCAAGGCTCAAACCCACACTCATCCTGAGTAATCTTGGGCTAGGCAATGTCTCTCGGCCTAACCTACCTTTCAGAGTTATTGTGAGGATAAAATGGGAAGAGGGAAGAACTACGCACACAACCTTGAGCTCCTTTAAGAAAAGGTGGAATATAAATGCAATGATGAATAAATAAATGAGCATCCCATCTATTTTTCAGTACAAACTCGTGCCAGTTCTTCCTTGGTCTCAGACCTTTAGGCTGGATAGGCAAGGGGCCAGGGCCAAAGGCAACAGCAAAGATGGGTTGCCCACCAGCAGCAGTGATTCAGCCCATGAAGTCTGGCTCTATGCTCTCTGGATCAGCGGCGGGCAGTGCTGGAGGTCATATCTGCACTATGCATTTAACACACTCTCAGACCACTTTAAACAGTTATGTCTCACCACCACCAAAATATCCTAGGAACTGTAGTTCATTAAGAGTGCTGAGGGTTGTTAGGCGACCACATGCAGAACTATGGTTCCCAGCACCCATAACAAACTACAGCTCCCAAGATTCTTTAGAGGAAGCCATGACTGCTAAAGTGGCAAGAGAGCGGTTTGAATGCATGGTGCAGGTTTTCACGTTGGGTGACCTCTGGGTCATGGAGCAACATGATAAATGCCAATAGGAAGACCACAGGTCTGAAAGCTGGGGCTGGGGCAACACCTGTCTAAATCTCCCACCCCACCAAATAAATAAATTAAAATTCCAAGCAAATCCCTTATGGCTCCATCGTGAAATAACCCACCACCATCTAAATGGGCCCCTGCCACCCTCCAATCGGAAGGTGCTCATGGAGGGCTCTACCTAGTCCTCACCCCGCCCATGCCTGCCCATTTCCTTCCCTCCCTCCCTCCTGCACCCTGAAGCTGGAGTATCTCCTGGTTGGCACAGCCACACGTGGCCCGGCCAAAGCGATGCCAAGGCAAGCAGCGGGAGGGCTGGCACCGTGCCCGCCCGACCCCACACCAGCAGCCGAAGGAGTCGCTTTTCCGGGGCACTGCAACCTGTTTGCCCAGCTGCGACCCTCTCCCCTCCACGAGATGCCACTGCCCCCACCCCATCCCCGCCGCCCCCCTTCCTCCCCACCCCCCATGCCAAGGGGAGCCTGCCGGCAGCGACGCTGCCGTGGAAACGGCGCCTCATCCCGCCTGGCTCACCTGCTCCTGGATGAGCTGCAGCAACGAGCTTCTATCCATATACCTGCTGGGCTGGACGGCGGAGGGAGAGGAGGACAGCGGAGGAGCGCGCACGGGCGGCGGCAGCGGCGGCACTGGCACCACCGGCGGCTGCCTTGCCTTCTTTCCCCCGCCGGGAAGGCGACCGAGCAGCAGCAGCAGCGGGACCAGCAGCAGCAGCAGCAGCAGCCCGGGTTCCCGAGGCGAGTGGCAGGCAGCAAGCCGGGCAGGCGGAGCCTAGGGCAGCCCGGCGGGGCGGGGAGAGGCGAGGCGAGGGAGGCGCCCGCTGCGCCTCGGGCGGCGCGAGGGAGGGCGTTGCGCAGGAGCGGCGGCCGGGCGGGCAGGCAGGCAGGCAGGCAAGCGCCGCTTCTCCTCGCTGCTGCTGCTGCGAACAGGGACGGGTGGACGGGCGCCCGGCGCACGCAGCAGCAGCAGCAGCGCTGCAGCCCCCTCTGGCGCCCTCGCGAAGCGGCGCAGGGAGAAGAGGAGCGCGCGGCGGGCCACCCGGAGCCGCAGCGGCCGGCGGCGCCCGCGAAGCGAGGGAGGGAGGGAGGGAGGCTCGCTCGGACCCGCCTCTTTCTCCCACCCGATTGGCGGGGAAGGGATCCCAAAGGACAGGGGCGGGGTGGAGAGCCCCTTTCCCCCTCCTTCCAGCCCGAGGGCCGCATTCCCTCATGGGTAACCTGCCGCGGGCCACATGCCGGCATAGGGCAGGGCCAGAGGCGAAAGTGGGTGGAACAACAGGTGCAGTCTGTGCACCGTAAGGGGCGTGGTCCAGCCAGGCAAAAAACAGAAGAGGAGGGGGGCATTTCTCTCCACCCAGGCAAAAGCAGGTGAGGAGGATGGAGAGCGTTTCTGGAGGCTTAGGGAGGTTGCATGTGGCCTGGGAAGAATCCCAAGGGCCAGATACAGAGGCCTGGAGGGCCACTGGTCCCACATCACTGTTACAGAACATCTTAAACTAAGAAGTGTGCATGCATACGAAAGCTCATACCAAGAACAAACTTAGTTGGTCTCTAAGGTGCTACTGGGTCGCGGGTGGCGCTGTGGGTTAAACTACAGAGCCTAGGACTTGCTGATCAGAAGGTCGGTGGTTCAAATCCCCATGATGGGGTGAGCTCCCGTTACTTGGTCCCAGCTCCTGCCAACCTAGCAGTTCGAAAGCACGTCAAAGTGCAAGTAGATAAATAGGTACCGCTCTGGCGGGAAGGTAAACAGCGTTTCCATGTGCTGCCCTGGTTCACCAGAAGCAGCTTAGTCATGCTGGCCACATGACCCGGAAGCTGTACGCTGGCTCCCTCGGCCAATAAAGCGAGATGAGCGCCGCAACCCCAGAGTCGGTCACGACTGGACCTAATGGTCAGGGGTCCCTTTACCTTTAAGGTGCTACTGGACAATTTTATTTAATACCCTGTTTATCATCCACAGGGATAGAAAGCAGTCCTTTACTCATGCCTAAGGGCTTGTTGCTTGAGCCCAGTGGGGATCCAGGCTTCCATTTCAAAAGTGGTTTGCTATGTGGCCCAGGGATGGGGGTGGAGAAGGTTTGAGTGCCCGACATGTGTAGGGACCAAGTTGGTCTGGGATCAAGTTTAGATCCTGGCCACAATATCGTATTAATATTAATTGGGCACACTTAAAAGGTTTGCATACATTATCTTCCCAGCAATGCACTACACAGTGCAGAGGTGGAATTAGGGCAGTGGGACCTGTTCCTCTACACTGGGTGCTGAGCCTTGGGGGTGCTGCAGGGCATAGCAACTATGCCGTAGTGAATTGAGCAGAATGGAAGACAGTAGGCAAGAGGGCACTGAATTTTCGCCTCACACAGGGCACTGCTGAAATTTGAAAGATCGTTATCTGCCCCTGCACAGTGGGCCAAAATGGTAGGTGGATCCTGCAACAAAATGTTGCAGCACATCCTCACGTCCTAGCAGAAGTGTTCCTGTTCAAGACGCCGTCTATTGTGCCTGCCATCAAGATGCTGGTCTTATCCTCTTCCCACCTCTCCAACTGGCACTCAATATTTCATGGCTACCGACAAGTAGGAGAACAGTCCTGGCTCCCCACTGCCACAATGGGGAGCTCAGCATCCTGGAGGGAGTTAGGAAAATTGTGGGGAAATGCACTGAAAAGTGTGGGATGAGCAAATGATCAATGAATGTTTGCTACGTGTACACCCTGCAAGAAAATCAGGATGAATGCAGGATGAATGCTCAGTAATGACTGGACACAGTCTAACCGCCACAAAAGCAAATCAGGAAGAATGCTGAATAAACAGGCCATCTGAGAAGTGTGTTTTCCAGCAACCATTCTAGGACCACCATTTCCCCACCCCTGTTCAAACCATATTCACAATATGTAGAACGCAAGACACCAGTTTTGCAAAATGCCTTTGCGTGGAGGGAGTGTTGCTCTTCCAGGAAACACTTTGCATGTTCTGAATATCACCATTTGCACTGAAAAAGAACCTCACCAAAGTTTCTTGCTTGTAGATGTTCACAACAGGACTTAGGCAAGGGTTGCCAAATTACGTGGGTTGGTGGGGAGTGTCCTGACCTTGTCTTGTACCGTTTCCAGCAGCTAAAATGTGGAGAAATCAGGAGGGGAAGGTTTTAATGCCACTATGAAGATATTCCTATATATAAAGGTAAAGGGACCCCTGACCATTAGGCCCAGTCGTGACCGACTCTGGGGTTGCGGCGCTCATCTTGCTTTATTGGCTTCCGGGTCATGTGGCCAGCATGACTAAGCTGCTTCTGGCGAACCAGAGCAGCGCACGGAAACACCATTTACCTTCCCACCAGAGCGGTACCTATTTACAGTGGTGCCTCGCAAGACAAAATTAATTCGTTCCGTGAGTTTTTTCGTCTTGCGGTTTTTTTCGTCTTGCGAAGCACGGTGTCGGAAAAGTTTTGGAAAAGCTTCAAAAATCACCAAAGTCTTCAAAAACCTCAAAAAAGGCTACCACACCGCATGCTATGAGTTGCTCCACGAAGTCAAGTCGCAACTGTATTAACGGTTTTAAGAAAAAGGAAACAAACTTGCAAGACGTTTCCGTCTTGCGAAGCAAGCCCATAGGGAAAATCGTCTTGCGAAGCAACTCAAAAAACCAAAAACCCTTTCGTTTTGCGAGTTTTCCGTCTTGCAAGGCATTTGTCTTGCGAGGTACCACTGTATCTACTTGCACTTTGACGTGCTTTCGAACTGCTAGGTTGGCAGGAGCTGGGACTGAGCAACGGGAGCTCACCCCATAGCAGGGATTCGAACCGCCGACCTTCTGATCAGCAAGTCTTAGGCTCTGTGATTTAACCCACAGTGCCACCCGCGTCCCAAGATTCCTATATATACACCTGCATTATAACCTGCTTATGTCTCAACGTCAGCTGTGTGCTTTAAAGGCATCGCTGCAAGAGCTGGCTGAAAAGTTGGCAAGTCTCATCTTAGGCGGCGAACTGGAAAAGGTCCTACTGTGAGGCAGGGAAGATGTGTGGGTGGATGGCTTAATAATCATTCCATTGGGCTAATGCTCATCTGTCTGGTGGAGATAGGAGAGGCTGGCAGCAGCTGGTTAGCAGGTCGTGAAAGCCATGGAACCAAGGATCCTGAATATTCATCTCTGCCCCATACATATTCAGATCCTCTGGGAAGTGAGGAATTGTGGGCAGGAAGGAGAGTGCCTCCATTGCCTCTCTGCCTGAAAGAGTGTGGTGAAGACCCAAGGGTGGGCAAAACCTCAGGGGGAGAGCATACATACATCATGCATAAGGTCCTTCCCAACAGATTTCCAATTAAAGAATCTCGGGTAGCAGCAGAGCAGGAAAACTAGATGAGATCTGGGCGGTAAAATTGCCTGTTCCTGTTTCCTTTGACAAACAGGGCAATCTATAATTTGACAGGAACTAGAACCTCCAGATACTTTTTAAATATTATTTGGCATTCATTTATTATATGGATGGTATGTAATACAACAAATACATTTCATTGTGTTTTTAATATTTTGTTGGGAGCTGCCCAGAGTGGCTGGGGCAACACAGTCAGGTGGGCAGCATATAAATAATAAATTGTTGTTATATATACAGCAGAAGTATCATTTCACAGACAACCATCGTCACAAGCCAAACAAGTCTGGAACTACGCCTGACAATCAAATAACACCAATATTCTACCTATGTATATGAAGATGACTTTTAGTCTTGCTTTTTTTCTTTTCTTCTGCTGGATTTCGTGACTTAACTCATATGTAACTGTGCTTGTTCTGTGTACCTATTTTATGGTTTTGCTTTTTTTGTGTGTAACTAAATGTTCATTACTTTTTTCCAAAAATAATAATCAATAAAATAAGGATACAAAAATCAAACCACCATCTATACTTCTAATAAAAAAAATCCTACTATTTTACAAACCTTCTTTTGAGGTTCTTTAAACCTCAAGACTTCCTTCCACCCCCTTCTACTGGAAACTGAACCCTGAGACTCCTGGAGTCTTTCGCCGCTCAGAGATTGGGGTGTGCATCACAGTATACACAGCGCAAATAAAACCGGCCAGTTGCGGCCTACTCTCGCTGTAGCCCCTTGGCGCCAGTATTATCTGTGCAAATATTCCCTTTTCTCCTCGCAGCAGGCTTTCTGTGTGTGTGCATGGGTAAGGGCTGTCCCTGCCCCCTCTCTCCCCTCCGGTCACCACCTTCCGACATGGGATTTGAGACTTATTAATACACGGCTTCCCGGCTGCTTCTGCATGTTGCTGCCTCAGGCGGAGAAGCCCTGTTTAGATCTTCATTAAAGCGGCAGCAGAGACAGGCCTCACGGGAGGAGCACGGCCCACTTCTGATCTCCCCCTCCCCGTCTTGTCTCCCCAACCCCTGCGAATACCAGCTTTAAAAAAAGAAATCTTATTATTAGCCACAGCAGTGTTTGGGTATTTAACCACCATCCCTGAGGAAACAGTCCTTTAAAAATACACCAGGCTTGGGCAATTAAAACAAAAACCAACCATCAAACTAAGATGGCCAGGTAGTAGACAGGTGAGGGACCAGCTGAGGTAATTCCACCTGACAGGCTGTGGCTCAGTGGTAGACCATCTTCTTTGCATGGGAAAAGTCCAAGGATCAATTTCTGCATCTCCATGTAGGGCTGGGAGAGACCGTTGTCTGAATTCCTAGAGAGCCGGTGCCAGTCAGTGTGTACAATACTGAGCTACATGGGCCAATTGTCTTGACTCAGTAGAAGGCAGCTTCCTATGTTCCCGGCATGGCCTTCATATTATTGATATTGTCAACTGAGCCCAACACAACTAGTACTAGAATTGTGGGGAGAAAGGTGGGCAATTCTACAACCCCAGGCTGCTGACTTCCTTCCATTTTAGCCAAATCTATGCCCCTATAGGCATGCGGGTGGCACTGTGGTTAAACCACAGATCCTAGGACTTGCCGATCAGAAGGTTGGCGGTTCGAATCCCCGCTATGGGGTGAGCTCCCATTGCTCGGTCCCTGCTCCTGCCAACCTAGCAGTTCAAAAGCACGTCAAAGTGCAAGTA